AGAGAGAGAGAGAGAGAGAGAGAGAGAGAGAGAGAGAGCAAGAGAGCAGAGAGAACGAGAGCGAGCGAGAGAGAGCAAGAGAGAGAAGAGAGGAGATCGATGAAACAAACCACTCCAAATTCACTTTAAGATCACCTCCAAACCCTCCAAACCTTGGCATCACGCTCGAGACCGATATTGCTGATCGCGTAGCTGAACAGAACCTCCACCTTGTCGCGGACCATTTCAAGCTTTTCCTTATCGTTCGCAGCCCCAGAATTTCAAGGAAAGCGACCAACATCCTGACGAATTCGTTGAAGACACCATTAGTGGTAATAAAAAAGGATAAATCGAAAAACTAAGGTTTTATTTAGAACGGGCTGCTGAAGGAGCTGATAGTATTGCTGCGGATTGAGCGGCCACAGTATGCCTTCAGTTTCCGTCGACGACCAGCCAATATGTAGTGGGAGCGGCACGGAATTATTCTTCTCTCTCCCCCACTCTCTCTCTCTCTCTCTCTCTCTCTCCTCTCTTGGCTTTTAAAGGGACGATGAAAAAAGAGTCTCTTGTAAAGAAGTGTATACCATTTTCGGGACCACTTCTCAGCCTCCATCCAGATCTCTGACCGGTTTCAGTCCAAATCACGGAAGGGTTGACGATATCGACATGGAATAGATCCGTCGGCCTAAAATCTGTTTTTAATGTAGACCTTCTCTATTATTTAATTATTAGTAGAAGTACATTGGCTTTTAACGTTAAGGTCCCGAAAGATCAAAAACTCCGTACACACATCCTATCACTCAGCAGAAAACCACGTCGAGCTATAGCTCTATCTGGTCCTCAAAATGCGTATCAGATTGAGGTAAAGTCGAGGTGCGACTTGTTGGGCCAAGTGAGTTTTCCAGGATTACAAAAATATAAAAAACCAGTGCATTCGTTCATGAAATCCATAAATTTAAATTATTAGCTATTTAGGTAATTTTTTAGGAAATCCTGCGTCTACCGTACCCCAAAAAACTCGACGAACCATGGCAGCGCATTACCCTCGGGATGAGCTGCCAAACATCCGGTGGAAATCTTCTAAAAGTCCAGGCAACCGTCGGCACCTCTTACTATCTGAATGATGTCACAACGGCTCCGAGGTTATCGTTGATAGGTGCGTAGCGTAGTCAGGCACATCAATAGCCTTCTAGGAGATAAGGTTCTACAAATATCGCAGTGCTGCTCGGAGAAGCGGTTTTGAGGGGCGTCCGGTTGGGCCGCACTACGAGTTGACCAATATTTTTGGGTTTAAAGGTATGTTAAGTCGATTGGCTTGCTCTTGCTGACTCTCGCCTCGCTCTCACATCTCTGTCTCGCTCTCTCGGTCTCGCTCTCATGCTCCAGAGATGAAGTGAGGAAAGAGAGAGAGAGAGAGAGAGAGAGAGAGAGAGAGAGAGAGAGAGAGAGAGAGAGAGAGGTGGAGGGGGGGCCCAAGGACACCGAGATAGAGAGAAAGAGAGCGAGAGAGAGAGAGAGAGAGAGAGAGAGAGAGAGAAAGTGGGCGATAGATAGTGAAAGCTGAAGTCCCAATCTTAGGTATGCTGAGCCCGTCCTCAATCTTCACGCTCGCGGCCCTGGGCCCCATCCCTACGGTCTCTCTGCTCGGCCGCCTCAAATCGGGTTGGCCTGTGCCCGGCCAGGGTTCTGAAACCAGCACTGTTAAGGAGGCACTATACAAGGTAGACTAGCATTGATTCTTGAGGAGATTTGCTAATGTTTAGACCCTACATCGAGGCAGCCCTGGCTGATAGTGACTTGAAGCTCAAGTTGTTACAGGTTCGAAATTTCACTTTATAAATTTTTCCGTCATCTAGCAGATTTTCTAAAATTTTCTTATAGTTGGATTATCTATTAAATCTAGTAAAAATAAGACAAAATATTGTTTAGAGAAGTGTTCACTTTTTCCTACTCTGCGAGACGCCAAACTCATTTCAAGTGGTCGGAAAATCATCTACAGTGCAGGAAGTAGGAAATCTCTCTCGCTCTCGCTCTCTCTCCCTCACTCTCTCCCTCGCTCTCTCTCTCTCACTCACTCACTCTCTCACACTCTCTCCCTCTCCCTCTCTCTCTCTCGCTCTCGCTTTCCCGTTCTCTCTACTGCACCGTAATTCCCCTTCATTTTTCAGACAGATCCGTTGGCGCTTAACAAGAGAATACTACTGCCGGTACCGTACTCCACAAGAGATGATGGCCAATCAGAAGGCAACCCTTGACGAAGCCATGGAGGTTGCCGGCGGACTAGCCACCTTTGTGTCTCTTTATGCATTGGTGAGTTTGATAAAAGCTTGAATTGGAGGTGTCACGCCCCCTTTAGAATCTAGAAAACAATTTTTCTAGCTAAAATTTCTGAATTTTCTTATTTCTCTTTCAGGCCGTCGATGCTCATGCTCGAGGCATCGGCCATCCCGAGACTCAGCTGCTGGCTCTACGACTGCTTTTGGTATATTCCAGGAGATGGAGGTACTGTAGAATCAAAAACTCGTAATCACCGTGCTGGTTTAGTTCCCAGACCTGCGAGGAGATCCCGAGGATCAAGGACCTGTTGTCGAGGATACTGTTTGCCGGGGCATTCTGCTCCCCGAAACCTGGGGATACGGTAAGGCGGCTATAGTACCTATGCGGATTTTTTGAGAGGGCAGGCTAGCAGAGATTCTTTGGGAACCCCATCGTTCTGGAAGTTTTAATAGATTCCACAATGTTGTTTGGGTCGTCTGAATCCGGAAACTAACCGAGATCCCTTTCACTAATTGCCTGGTCTTTCCACTTTAGTTAAATTACATTTTTTACAATTTTCGAAGCGGGCAAACTAGCGGAGGTTCTTTAGGAAACACAATCTCAGCCCCCACGATTTTTTTAGCAACTCCCAACGGCTTTTCCTGAGGACGAGGAGCTGGACACCGACCCAAACTCCCGGAATCCAGAGACGATCTCTGAGGTGGAGCTTAAGCATATCAGCAACAACTTGAAGCTGTTCAGATCTTCCTTCAATATTGCTTCCGGTGGGATGCTGATGGGGAGAAGACTTCAATAATTCTGGAGCCGGAGCTTTTGCTGGCGCTCGTCGAGCGGCCGTTGCTTTGGGTGGGGGAGCATAAGTGAGTAAATCCATAGAATCGAATCCATAAATGGACCTTGTCTATCCCTTTAATCGACATTTTTAGAATACGTTTCTGGCTGGAACTCGTGGACGGAATCCGGGAGTCGCTCTACGATCCCCAATTCTCCGAGTTCAACCTCGTCCAATGGAAATATGTTGATCTGTTACATCGCCTCTTATTGGTCAGTATGGCATATTAATATTTAAGTTTAATTTCTATTAGTTGAATTTTCTGTGTTTTGCAACTTGTTTATTGATTTTATTTTTCTATTTAATTCTCTAATTTAATTTCTTAATTCCAGGCCCTCCACGAACTCTCCGCCCTCACGTTGTGCTGCTACCAGTGCGCGGCCCTATTTTCGGAGGGTGTCACGAGGATCGTGCCGTACATTACGGACATCCTTATCGGGGATCAGGCTCACAATGTTGCTGTGAGTTTTTGGAGGCAAACTAGCAGAGAAAATTGGGGAAATACGTAATCGATTACGACATAGATTTTAGATCGAGTCCCTGTGGATTTTTATCCTTCACTCCCATCCGCCAGAAAAGACGTTCATCAAGAACACAATCACGTCTTATCACGATTGGCTGAGAGCAGGTCGGGATTTTGTCGGTATTTTCTGCCGTAATATCGAAAAATGCCGACAGCAAAAAAAAAACAAATTTTTCGTTGCGAAGCTAAATTTTGCTAATTTTCCATAGAAGTCGGTATTTCTAGGGTTTCGATATTTTCCAGCTGTCGGTATATTCCGTGTTTTCTGCTTGTCGGTATTTTTCAGCAAAAATTCTTTGCGGAATTTTTTATAGAGTTACCGCATTTTACAGAAAACGCATATTTTTCGGGTATCGGTATTGTTTGGCTTAGACTTTCCCTGGTTTTTTCGACATTTCTATTTTTTGTCGGTATTCTGACTGTCGGCATTAGATGTTAGCGCACGTAAATGAATTTTAAACGTTTTAATTTAGACCTTCCCTCCGCCTCCGAGGAATTTCCATATCCCGTCTATTCGACAGAACTCTGCGAGGTACGGTAGAAAAAGCAGATTAAAGGGACTGGAACACAAGTTTCGGGTCGAAAAGAACGAATTTTTAGACGTTGAACAAGTACTACGACGAGTTCTGCACGGCATCCGAGAATCGGATACAAAACCTCTGGGAGAATGAGATTGACATTGTACAGCTGCGGAAAATGTATGACGTGGGGAATCCGAGATCCAGGGATGAGGTATTGTATTTAAAAATCGTTTAACTTTCTTAATTCAGGTATTAAAATTTTAAATGACCCGTTTTTAGAACGAACCGGCTAGCCCTTCATTTACACCTCGAAATCGACAAGAACGTCCACCGGAACAGCCCAGTGTCAATTATTTGAGGGCCGGTAAGTTAACAGGAACAAAAAAAAAACATAAAAATAGTATTTATTTAATTTTTATTTTTATTTACTTTATAAGGTTAAATATTTTTAAGAACCGACGGTATTCCCAGCTATTTGAATTAGCATGATTTCGCTAAAAATCTAAAATATCCCTTTTCAGCGCTGATCGAACAACTAGTCTCTGTCCTCCGCTGTGGCCCGGATCAGCTCATCTACGGTCTACTCCACGACACCATTGGGTGGCAATCGATAATCGTTCTCCTCAATCGTCAACGAAATCAAGCCGTTCAAGCGGCAGTTATGCGACTGGTCGAGTGCTTTTTGGTAGGAGTTGCGCATCAATTTTTAAAGTTTTCGATAACTTCGGAAAAAAACTAGAAAATCAATTTGCAATATTTTCCATTTTAGCAACGCTCGCCCGACTTCACGAAGGCAATGTTCATAAAATTCTGCGGTGGTCCCTTGCTGGCTAACCAGCTGCGAGGCCACGAGATGAGCGAGCGGATCGCGGACGCGGCGTTCGGGATGATGATCGGCGAGCCAGTGCTCATCTCCCATGGGTTCGAGCGGTTCACATTTATTTCGATTTTGGAAAAATCTATGATCTTTCTGGGCTCCATTTTCTTTTCCGTGCTCGCTCTTACTCGAATTACATAATCCCGAAATTTGGGAAATACCGACAGCCAGAATCCCGACATTGGAAATATCGGCGACCAAAATCCTGACAGGCGAAAACCCGGACAGGCCGGAACGCCGTTAGGGCAAAATGCCGACAAACCAACATCCCGAAAGCTAAAATACCGACAACCGTAATCAAAATGCCGAAACTCAAGACTACGGTCGGTCAAAATCCCGACAAGCCGACGCCCGTTAGCGGAACTCTGAGTTCGGTATTTTGGCAGTTCATGGTTTTGGCGATTTATTTTTTATTGTCGGTATTTTGCGGATTTCCTATAAGAAACACAAGGCGTAGAAAGGAAGCCCAGAAAGAGCAGAAAAGTTTGTGCTCCTCACCCATCTATTTTTAGACTCGACGGAGAGCTCCTCGCCCGTCTCGAGGTCAATCAGCTGAACTGTGAATCGACGTACATTGTACTTGCCGTACTCGCCGGGTCCACTCACGATATCTCTGTTTTTGCAAGGGTCTCAAACTCCGTGGCCAAGGTATCTTTTGCATCATATCGCCTGTATCTGCCAATTTTAGGTATTTGAATACAATTCCCAGCTCCAAGCCGCATTTATCGATAACGGGATTGTTGATGTGTTGGTGGAATGCTTGAGGAAGGTCAGGATTATACCTTTAAAAATTAGACGATGGCAAGGACAAAAGCCCAGGAAAAAACGAGTAAATTGACCATTTTCCTGGTTCTTTTGCATTATCGGGGGGTACCAGACCTGTTCTCGTAAAATTCCATTTTTCAGATAGCCCTATCCCACGACCATGACCCTGAGTATCGATACGGAATGAGGGATATTTGGAAGACCCTGGCCCAAAAGGTGTTGGATGCCGGGATACTTTACAGGTGTTTGAATCACGTTTTTCGAGTACAATACACTCCTAGTGACGAGCGGGTGTACATCGGATGCCGACAGTTAATCGTGCTCATCACGCTGCTCGATCAGCAGTTTGGGGCCGACTGGAGGAGGTTGAGGATGGAGGATCCGGATTCGTTAGCGACATGGGAGGCACATCAAGCTTTTATGTAGGTTGGAGAGAGAGAGAGAAGAGAGAGAGTGAGAGATAGTGAGAAAGAGAGCTGGAAAGAGCATAGAGAGAGAGAGCGAGAGCAAGATTCAGATCAATTGCTCTCCAATTTTCAGTGAAGTACGACGTTGCTTATGTACGGTGCTGAACGAGTGGATACAGCGTTTTTGGAGCCTCAAAAAGGACACGATGAAGTCAGCAAGTGCTCCTTCCAGTGTTGAGTCGCTTAATGGTGAGTTCGAGAGCGAGAGGGAGGGAGAGAGAGAGAGAGAGAGAGAGAGAGACAACGAAATTGAACTTTCAGATGACTGGTCCGTCGTTGATGGCGACCTCGTCTCCGGGCAACGAAATTCAGAAGGAGACACCGGGCAAACCGTGATAGTGGACGACTATTCGGTCAGCCCCTCCAGGGCAATACTCCTTGACGGTACCTCACCCACCGCCGCGTACGCTGGCGGCCAGTTCGCCGAGTTCAAGCAGCGCATGACCAAACTGGGAATTGGTGAGTTTTTGGGGCAAGCGAGCAGAGATTCTTTGAGAGAGCTAACAAGATCCATATAAGCCAATTTTTCTAGTCGCCAAAAACATCCTAAAACCCCGATACAAGCGTCGCGAGAAGCCGGCCGGCCTCGCCCACCCGCACCGCATCAGCGAGAGGATGATCTTCGGGCTGGACATGTGCCTGGCCGTGTTCTCCTACTTTGAGACGATGGACACCGAGACCAGGGAGGAGGCAGTGTTGCTCAGGAACTACTTGACGCTGCTGATCACGGCATTTTCGGCTGAGGTGAGGGATTTGCGGTAGCTTATTGGTATTTGAGCGGAAGAAACGTAACTTTCAACATTATCATATCTATAAAACTGGTTGGAATCTGAATCTAATTAAATTTAGGGCTCGATGCGTGAGATGTGGAAATCGTGTACCTCGCAGGCCAATTCTCGTGCCAGAAAAGCCCTGTCCCAGCTTGCCGCCTTCGTCATCTACCCATCACTTGAGTATCGGAATGTAAAACCTTATTTTTCGAATTACCGAATTTTGATTTAGCGCTGGCTGGACCAAGGCCTTGGTCCAGAACGTGAAGCGGAAAAGTGGATGTTCCGGAAACGGGCCATAATCCTGTCGGCCTTGGTCAAAGATTTGAGTGGGGACGCCAAACCTCAACTTCGCGGACTTTTGAGAGCATCAATGGTATGCGTTTCGTCGAAAAATTTGCGTTTCTAAAAGGGCTCGAAGCCTTGGTAAAATACAGTAAATTTTTCAGCATTATCAAAAAAAAAATGTTGAAAAATTAAATTTACGGTTATTATGAATTTTCCTGTAGTTCACTAAAATAATTCCAGGACGATACCTACACGATGTGCCTTGGCATCATCGATCTGGCGCTGTTGAGCGAGGGGGCTTCCGAATCGACGCTACGGGACTGTTCCGATATCCAGTCTGCCATCAAGGATTTGAATGAGGACTCGCCGTTCGACTTTTTCAAGGATTCACGCGGAGGTACTTTCCTAAAAATTCCTTAAAAATGTACTTCTAAGATTAAACTCTTTAAAAATTTCCTGCTTTGTGTAAAAGGAAATGTCCAAACCTATTAAATGCAAAAAGTGCCTTTCAGAAGCCCTGAAAAATTTCGCGGACAACGAGAAGCTCGCGGCGTTCAACTACGAGAATGAACGCGGAAAGCTGATGAACGTGTTGAAGCTGGAAGCGGATGCTATCAAGAATGTAGATGCGGAAATCTCAGCAGCCTTAGCGATGGTAAGAGCTCTTTTTTAGCACTAAGTTTCCTTTTAGGTGGCCATGAAACTGACGACGGAAGTGGTGGAACAGACGACAGCTTCACGGAAGAGCCTGGTTGAGGCCCCGCGCGAGTTGATCCGAAATTTGCATACGGCCGAGGATTTGTTGCTGCATTTTGAGGTTGGTTGGCAGGGCAGGCCAGGCCAGCCAGCAAAGGCCATTTGCGGAATTCTCATTGCTGATGAAAAAACGTTCTAAAAGCCCCTGTTTCAGGGCCGTCTCTTCCACCCGCTTGCACCACTTCACAACCCTCAAAATTGGCCGAATGGCTTCCAACTGGATACCATTGAGGGTCCAAATCGAGAAAGGAGACGGTAGGGGTACTGTAAAATAAATAAAAATACGTTTTTAGCCTAGTACCGGCAGATTATGAGGTCCAAGATCAATATTTTCGAGTCGCACCAGCCGGCCGAGCGTTGAGACCGAATTTTGAGGCTATTCTGGTTGGTTTAGGCTTCATTTAGGCTTGCTATCGGTTTTGGCTTAACTTAGACGTAGGCTCAAGCCGAGGCATAACTGAGCTTTCCTCCAAAATAAATTTATTTTTAGGCTTCCGGTTCATTCCGGCGACGGCGAGACGAACTGACCGTCATCGACTCGTACAAGTATCATTGTGATGTGGTTGAAGTGAGGGGATACGCCGAGTGCGAGGTGGGCTAGAAACTTCAAAAATTGTTATTTTTAAAACGTTTTATTTCCAACTTAAAATGAGTTTCTAGTATCGATAAGGTAGCAAAACTCCTTGTCAACTTTTGTAAAATATCAACTTCATTAAAAAAACAGGCAAACTTTTCTAGGGAGACCTCGTCGTGGCCGAGCAGCACGTTCACTTGCTGCCACGAAAAACCCGTACAACACATAAACAGCTTCCCCTGGCGCATGGCGAGGGATTCCGGATACCGTATACCCAGATCACGGAGATTTGGGAAAGGTAAAACCGGCCTTACGATGCCTTATTGATACAAATCCTAGAAAATACCTACTGCGCGACATTGCCTTCGAGATCTTCGTCAAGGACGGCCCGGCACGGTTGATTGTTTTTGAGAATACAAAGGTTAGCCGAAAAAATTGCAAGATTTTTCAATAGTTTGAGGTCTTACAGACGGATCTAGACGTAGCGTAGCGTGGCACGGCGTATCGTAACGCACCGTAACGCACCGTAGCGCAGCGTAGCGAAGCGTAGCGTATGTAACGTAGAGTAGCTTAGCGTAAGCGTAACGCAACGTGGATTCTAGAAAGCAAAAAATTTATCCAAGCATCCGAAATAAAAAATTTCAGGTGCGGTCAACGTTCCAAGAATGGTTGGCGCAAATCGGGTTCGGACACGTTTTTCCGGATCCCAAGAAAACGCTGCAGATCGCGACGGAGCAGTGGCGTCACGGTGTTCTCAACAATTTTGGGTGGGTTTTAGAGCGTAGCGTAACGTAGCGTACCGTAGCGAAGCGTAACGTGACGCAACGTAACGTAGCGTAGCGTAACGTAGCGTAACGTAGCGTAACATAGCGGACCGTAACGTAGCGTAGTCTATAGACTTGATTATACTTCTACTCATTAGATACCTGATGTTGCTGAACAAGATCGCCGGCCGAACGTACAACGACTTGATGCAGTATCCAGTCTTTCCATTTGTCCTCTCCCAATACACGATGGCGTCGCTGGACCTGGCGAATCCAAGCAATTACCGGTAAGTTTAACAATTTTTTATATTGTAATATACGATATCTACCGTACCTTACTGTTTCTATTTTAGATTAAGTGTTTATGATTTAAAAAACCATTTCCTTCCAGAAATTTCACCCGCCCGATGGCCATCCAGGACCGGACGAAAGAAAACTACTACGCGCAGCAATATGCACAGCTTGAAGAGGCCGATCTGGGCGAGACCCTACAACATGGGCCTTATCACTACGGTAAGAGAGAGAGAGAGGCAGAGAGAGATAGAGAGAGAGAGAGGGGGGCAGAGACAGAGACAGAGCGAAAGAGCTCGCTAGAAACACCATTTTTAGGCAGCCACTACAGCAACAGCGGGATCGTCTCCCATTTTCTGGTCCGGTTGATGCCGTTTACAAAAATGGCGCTGGAATATCAGGTAGTTCGATCAACGCAAGCTAGCAAAGAGTCTGTAGGAATTTTGGAAGGGATTATGCTAATTCGGAATTTTCAGGACGGTCGCTTCGACCTGCCGGATCGGTTGTTCAACAGCATCGAATCTGTGTGGAGGCTGTCGAGCAGTGAGAGTACGACTGACTTTAAGGTGAGAGCGAGAGAGAGGGAGAGAGAGAGAGAGAGAGAAGAGAGAGAGGGAGAGAGCGTGATAAAAAATTAAATACCTTCTTTCAGGAGCTCATCCCCGAGTTCTTCTACTTCCCCGAATTCCTCCAAAATCGTCACAATCTGAATCTCGGGGTTCGGCAGAGCTATGAGGAGGTGAACGACGTCATGCTCCCACCATGGGTCCCCTCAAACGCCTTCCGGCTCTTCACCCTTATCAATCGACAGGTACGCTAAAGAAAAATCCTAGAAGTCAGAATTTTAGGCCCTAGAATCGGCATACGTCGTCGCGAATCTCCACCATTGGATCGATTTGATTTTTGGGTTCAAGCAGAATGGGAAAGCGGCAAAGGAGGCGATGAATGTTTTCCATCCACTGGTAAGGTTTTATGAGGCAAGAGAGAGTGAGAGAGAAAGAGAGAGAGAGAGAGAGAGAGAGAGAGAGAGAGAGAGGGAGAGAGAGAAAGAGAGGGTGAGAGAATGAGAGTGAGAGAGAATGAGAGAGAGAACGATAAAGAGGGAGAGCGCTAAAAATCTATTTCGTTTTAGACCCACATGGCCAACATTGCGCAAGCCGACATGGGCGATGAGGTGGACCGAGGAGCACGAGCTACGATAATTCGGACGTACGGCCAGATGCCGACTCAACTTTTCAACGTAAGTAGGATGATTGCGGATTAACGGGGCCAAGAGGCGCCGACTCGTAATCTTCCTAAATCTCTGCTAGTCTGCCTGCTGTCCTACCTTCCTATTCACTTTCAAACCCAAAAATATCGTGATTTTTATGCCAATTTAGGCCCCACACCAACCCCACCTAACCCCCAGCGAGCAAAAAGGCGAGAAAATCAACGGTATCCCGTGTGCTTCCGTGGACAATATACGGTAGGAGGGTAGTTTTTAGAATTTATTGATTTCTTCAGCTGGGGAGAATATGTGGGCAGTCCGGTACTCGGGCAATGCGTAGCATTCTGGAAGCATCGAGCGACGAGGGATCGGATATCGTGCTTGAGCCTGTTGCCCGACAATATTGTCGTCGGGTGTGGGAGTAATATGATTGTTGCGACAACGACGGCAAGGGATTTGAAAGGTATGTAAAAGCTTTCGAAAAAGTCTCTGCTAGGCTTGCCTGAACGCTCGAGAATTCCCAGAGAGACGAACTTTTTTGTATTAGTCTAGAAATGCCTAGCAACAGTTATAGAAAATGGTTTAATAGCGTTTTCAGCAATATATAACTATAGTTTACCTAGATAAATTATTTAAAACTTAAAAAAGTTGAAATTTCGGACAAAAATTTCATATTTTTGCTATTTTTAATACAAATTTGTAGGGTTGTCAATTTTAGGAAAAATAAAAAATCATTTAGAAACACTTCCACTAATTATATTTGAAAAATTAGTCCATAAGTAAAAAGTTCGTTGTCGTCCCTCGAAAAATCCTAAATATTCTCTGCTAACCCGTAGCCATCATCCCCTGCAAAAATTCTCCAATGATCTCTGCTAGCTTGCCTCCAAAGATCTCCAATCTCCCCCCATTAGTATACTTCCTTATTTCAGCTGCAACAGTTGTCGGTATCTTCTGTCTTCCCACCCCTTCATCCGGTCTAATCCGCTTCCGCATCCACCTCATCGACAAGCACATCCAACCCCAGCAGGCCTGGATCAACGCCATTGATGTCGGCGCCAGAACGGTACGATATTAAGGGCAAACTTTAGCAAAAAGCTTAGGTCACCGCCATGGCTTATTCCAACTTTGGCCTACTCTTCCTCGGCTTTGCCAGCGGCGTCATTTCGGTGTACAACGTACGCTTTGACGACGAGGTGGGCGCTTTCAAGGGTTATGGAAGTTAATAAATAGGCTTGTGGATTACTTGCCTGGCTGATCCCTTTAAAACACAACCCTCGATTTCAGGGTCTTCACGAAATGTCACTACGAGGCCAACTCTTGGCCCACTCGAACGCGATTCACACAATTTTCGTGTGCGACGAATTCTCGTCGATAATTACGGGATGCTCCGCCGGACGGGTGGTACTTTGGGACCGGAATGGGTAAGCTTTGCAGTTCCTCAAGAGTCTCTGCTAAAATGCCTAATTTTCTGAGGGACCTAACCTTTTATAGGTATTTTTGAGGAGACTTATTCCTCAAAAATCTCTGCTCTTTCTCTGTCTCTCTCTCCCTCTCGCTCTCTCTATCTCGCTCTCTCTCTCTCTCTCTCTCTCTCTCTCTCTCTCTCTCTTTGTCCTGTCCATCCTAAAAAATTGCTGCTGGCTTGCTTCTTGCTCTCGTAATCCTAAAGATTCTCTGCTAGCCTGCCATTACCGTTCCGGAAAATCTAAATTTTGTGATATAGCTTGAGCTTCGTCCGCTGCCTCACCCAACCTGGGCCTCCGTTGAGTGCCATGACGATGAGTCGAGTATCCGGTGACATTGCCATAGTCACGCCCACTCAGGAGGGCAGCCGTGTACAGCTACTTTCGGTGGGTTCTTTGGTATCTATCGTATTACAGTACCCTTCAGATAAACGGTGACATCATCGGGACGGCAGAATTGGACTGCATCGTCACGTCGATCACCATCAGCGAATTACCAGAGGGAACTGCCGTTAATGCGCTGCTATGCGGATGTTCGGATGGGATTATACGGTAAGATAGGCTCCGCTACGCTACTGTCGCTACGATCGTACTATTGAATGCTACGCCACTGCTTATCACGCCACGATGCAATTGAATACGGCAAACTACGTGAGCAAAGATACGCAAGCTTACTGGACACTCCGAGAGGTTACGGTAGCTAAGATACAGATACACTACGATACGACTACGCTACGATACCTTACGATACGATGATTCTTGTACAAGTCGCCAGGCTACGATAGCAAACATTACGATACGCCACGTTACGTTACGTTACGATACCGTAAAAAGTGCTAGAATTTTCCACATTTTAAACGATGTGACACGCAAACGTACGCTACACTACGATACCCTTCGCTACGCAGAAAATCTTTTTCGGCATTCAAATTATGGCGATTTCTTTCAGCGTCATCGACCTGTGGGGAGTACGCGAATTTGGGAAAATCAGCAATCCAGCCGAAAACCTGGGTAAGCCTCAATTTCTATGGAAAAAAACGCATATTTAGGTTCCGCCGGAGATCCTGTAATAGCTACCGTATTCTCCGCAAATCATCGTCGTCTGTTTGTCGCCCGGCAATCCGGAAATGTCGTCGCGATGAGGTGCGTTTCGGAAAGTTGAAAAATAGAAATAATGGCTTTTTGAGGTGGTAGGCTAGCAGAAAGATTTTGGGAATAAGGATTGGGGGCAGCTGGCAGAGCAATTTGAGATTTAGGCAAGCTAGCAGGGATTCTTTAAGAAATTCGCGGTCCAAAAAAGCCCCGAAGTATTTTTAAGGAATAAAAGTAAAAAATCTTAGCAGAGATCTTTGGGGAATCAAGAACCAACGGCAGGCTAGCAGAGATCTTTCGGAAATGGAGAAACCAACGACAGGCTAGCAGGGATTTTTTGGTAGTTAAAGTGCTCTAGGCAAGCTAGCAGGGTCCCTTGAGAAATTCGTTTTTGAGGCAAGATAGCAGAGATTTTGTTACGATCCCAAATCCCGTCATATTAAGCTCTAAATGTCTACTCAAGTCAAAAATATCTTCAGATCCGAACGCGACAATGCCCTCTCAAAGACGGTCTCCTTCATGCATATCACCGCCTATCGGGACCCACTCTAGATATCGATTTTTCAAAGATTTTTTAGCTTTAATTTTTTTAGTTGTTATTTCCTTTCCAAACCATCTTTATATACTATATGCGGTTTTTCCACGGTTACTCTGGCGATTTCTGTGATTTTTTTACTTTTCTGCTCACCTCCAAATTGATGCCTTCTGCATTTTTGTGATAATCTTCAGCTGATGTGTCTTTTTGATCGATTCGGGTGTGGAACATAAAGGATATTGCATTGGAATTGAAATTGGATGAAGATTCTGGCATGCTAGCAGAGATTCTTTCGGAACCAGCAGGCTGGCAGAAATATTTGAGGACGGCAAGCTAGCAGAGACTCTTTGAGCAGGCAGGCTTGCAGAAATTCTTCAGAAGGCAAACTAGCGAAGATTTTTTGGAAAGAGCAAGCCAGCAGAGATTCTTTTGGAAGGGAAGCTAGCAGAGATTCTTTAGGAAGAGGCCTACCAGCAGAGATCCTTAGGGAAGGGCAAGCTAGCAGAGATTATTTAGGAAGAGGCCTACCAGCAGAGATCCTTAGGGAAGGGCAAGCTAGCAGAGATTATTTAGGAAGAGGCCTACCAGCAGAGATCCTTAGGGAAGGGTAGGAAAACAAAGATTCTTTAGGAAATGACACGCGAACAGAGATTTTGTAGGGAAGCAAGCTAGCAAAGATTTTTAAGGAAGGTAGGCTATCAGAAATTCCTCTTTATCAGAACCCTTTTTAGACAGGCAGACTAGCAGTGATTTTGTGGAAAAGACGATTCAACAGAGATTCTGTAGGAAGGCCAGCTAGCTGAGAAATTAAATTTTTTAAAATGAGCAGGAAGATGCAAATGAGGCAAGCTAGCAGTCATCTTTCAGGATTTCCAGCGCATTACGATACCTTTTAAAAACTTTATTCCTTTTTTAATAGAAAATTCAAAGCACCAATAGCATCAGGGCATAGAGTTCACATCCTGGGTTGCAAAAATGAGAATCTGAGAATCGATCGAGATTTCGGGGCGGGTGAGGTAAGTTTAACGGCTAATTATAGCGTATTAGAATCGCTAAAAAATCGAGCTAATAAAGCAGGACAGAATTGGTGGGTTTCTTGTCCTTCTCGGGGGTTCTCGGCACTTTCGGGCGGGCGCCGAACACGGAGATGTACTCGTAGGCGCTGAAAAATCGCATAGAACTATGGTACTTTTGATACGCTATTTTCCATATTTTTTGGGTATCAGACCGCCTCTTTAAGTTGCTTTAAATAAATGTTTATTTTTTTATAGCCACAGTAGGCTTAAATTGATATTAATCTCCGCATTTTTAAAAAATGATGCGAAAAACCCCTTAAAAATGAAACTAACATTTCTTTTTTTTCTAAAAAAATATAAAAGTATTTTTTATAAAAAACGTCACCTAAAAAATCTAACGCTTTCCGAAAATATAAAATTGTACTCACTTTGCATCCTCCGGGATTCGCTTCGGGATTTTGTCGCTGACCGGGGCTGCCTCGGGAACGATTTCATCGATCGGGATTGCAATAGGAGACGGCTAAATTATAGACAAAATTCGATTAATAAAGTTATCAATTACCTTCTTCCTCTCCTTAGTTCGCTCTTTCTCTACACCGGCCACATTAACATTTTCCTTCGCCGGAAGTGGAGATTCGGCTTTCGGGGAGCGGTCTTCCTTCTTTTTCGGGGACTCCACTATCTAAATTATTTTCATTAAATTAGATTAAATAGTTAATTGATAATTGCTAAATTAAGCTGATGCTCATTCTCAACAAATCTGGCTTACTTTTGGCTCAGCTTCTCTTTTCGATTCCACGGCAATACTCCTTGCACTTTTCATCGCTGGCTTCGACTTTTCCTCTTGGTGAATCGAGTGTCGCTTGCTGAAAAGTAAAAGGTCGACAGTATTCCGTCTTTCCTCAAGGATCTCTGCTAGCATGCCATCGATTTCTTACCATTCCCTGCCCTCATGGTGATGGTGGTGATGCGGTATTTCGGTTTTGGGCGGAGAATTTCTTGGTCTCCCAGAGTCGACCTTCTTCCTCAGGTCCCTCGGGTCTTTTGGTCGGTTTTTGGCTTCTTCTCTAAATTTCGGAACGATGAATAAATTTCTGAATATCATACCGTAATCGTTCCTCTTCCCTCTTCCGCTCTTCCTCCTTCCGCTTGTCCTCTTCTGCCTTCGCTTCGAGCCTCCTCTTCTCCAACTCGGCATTTTCCTTTTCTTTTTGTTGATGTCGATATTGGAGGGCAGCTAAAGTAAAGCTTAGACTTGGCTTAGGCTTAGCTTAGGCTTAGCTTAGGTTTAACTTAGGCTTAGCGTAGGCCTAGCTTAGGCTTAGGCATCCGTCTACGATTGAGAAGCTAAAATCACCTTCAGTCAAGCCGACAGCCACAACACACGGCTTCCGACGGTCATGCTCGATGATGAACGTCGCCTGAGAGGCGGTGGTGGCCAACCGGGGCTCGGATCTGAATTACAACTATAGCTTTCAAGTAGTCCTTTCCAACCTCGATCCTTCAAACGTCACCGTCCGGCTTCGATTCCGGCGTATAGATGCGTCTTTCTGAAGTCAGAACTCGCCCATAAAAAGTTCCCAATCACACCCACCTTTGTGATTCGTGTCTGGTTTGGATGCTTTTGAGGTACCGTACCCGGGACGTTGATCTGAAAGCGGTTTTCGATATCTCTAACCTTTTAAAGGAATGGTGACAGCGTTTTGAGCTTGATTTTCAGACTCGATGAGCGCTTAATAGTTATTCTAATGTACCTCCTCTTGCATTTTCGGTTCTTCCTTCCGGCCCTTTGCTATTAAAAGTCGTGCTCCGCTGAGTTCGGAACCGGAGGAGCGGAGTGTGTCGGAAGCAGAGATGTCGGATTCGAGGTTGTCTCCTGCCTAAAAATTGCTAATACAAAACGCTTTCCAAAAGTGTCTCCGCTGACTTCCCATCTGCAGATTGTTATCTCCCTCTCTCTCTCTCTCTCTCTCTCTCTCTCTCTCTCTCTCTCTCCCTCTCTCTCTCTCTCTCTCTCTCTCTCTCTCTCTCTCTCTCTCTCTCTCTCTCTTTCTCGCTCTCTCTCTCTCCCTCTCTCTCTCCCTCTCTCTCTCTCTCTCTCTCGCTCTCTCTCTCTCTCTGTCTCTCTCTCCCTTTCTCTCTCCACCTCTCACGTCTATGCTACAACACCAACAAAGAAATATTTTCCCAATCCACCCCACATTACTTTCCTTTCCATCTCCCGTTCCAAAATCCCAACAAACAACTTTTTCCCCCAGGTGTTCCCGCACAGATTTCTGTAGCCAAACCCGGGCCGCATCCAAATTTAGCTCAAAATTCGTACAGCTGGCCTCTCTTCGGGCTCACTGGCCGGTGCGCATTTTAGTAATTCGAAAAAGGAAGATAGAGAGAAAGAGAGAGTGCGAGAGAGAAAGAGGGAGAGAGATAAAGAGAGACAGGGAGAGAGAGAAAGACAGAGAGAGGGAGAGAGAGAGCGAGGGACGGACGCTCGCAGGTTTTTGCTCAAAAAGACAGGTGGGATCCCGCAGCGGGGGATCCCCCGTCGCTTCGCCCACGGAATTTGCCATTTTTTTGTGCGGGCGGATTTGTCTGGGGTTACTGTAGGAGGGGATTGCTTTAAATTGAAGAGCAGTATAGGAGTCACTGTAAACGGCAAAACCCGCCGTCTCTCCCCTCAGTCGTTCTCTCTCCCTTTCTCTCTCTCTCTCTCTCTCTCTCTCTCTCTCTCTCTCTCTCTGTCTCTCTCTCTCTCTTTCTCTCTCTCGCTCTCTCTCTATGGCTCTCTCTCTCTTTATTTTTTCCGGCATTTTTACGCGATTTTAGAAGAGTTTTTGGTTTCTCCCCCCACCCTCTAGCTTGTTGCGTGTCCGCGTTTTTTCTTGCACCCGAATACGGGGAATGGGTGTGGGGGGGGGGGGTTTTGTCTGGTCAAGGGGGTGAGGCCCTCGGGTCCTATCACGGCTTGGTACGCGTCCCCCCGCATCCCGCGTCTTTTTCCCGGGGAAAAATCGGTCCCGGCTGAGGGGAGGACAGCCCCCGGCACTCCCAAACACCAGAGAGCGGAGAGAGGGAGAGAGAAAGAGCGAGAGCGAGAGAGAGAACGAGAGAGAGCGAGAGAGAGCGAGAGAAAGCGAGTGAGAGAGCGAGTGAGAGAGCGAGAGAGAGACGAGGATTCCGGTCTTTTCTCTAATCATGTACGGCTTAAAGGGACGTGCAAGGCATGGCTATGGATTTTTTAACCTCCGACGCAATGCCGTAAGTGATGACACGCGACGCACACGCTACCCTGCGCACCTTGAAAAGAGTCGGGTAAGAGTTTACTTTACCCCCCACAGCCGAAGGGCCTCAAAGTTGTCGGTATTTCCGCTTATTTTGTCGGGATTTTCGCAACGCCATTCGATAGAGCGTCGAAAAATATACTAAGAGTTTTAATTTGAGCCTACAATAATGTAAAATAAAAAAGTTATAGCCAAAAACTTCCGGCTGGGGGGGGGGGGGTAAAGTAAACCGTAGCCAAGAGTCGTGTTCCATCACGTAACTGACCGCGAGGCGGCGTGTTGCGTGTCGCGGCGAAATCTATGGACACTTTAAAACACCGCACGACCTCCCATTTTTGGCGGCTACGGGCATCACCCTTTAAAATGAATCCAGACACCCTTAGACCTAAGAAATTTTAGGCCGCGAGCAGAGATCCATTGCGGAATTAGGAGCCTCGGGTTCGAGTCAGAGCTAACCTCACAAAAATCCGAAACCTACCGTATCCTCCTCATCCGTGGGCGGCAACGGAATTCGCATCATTTCCACCTCTAAACATGTTACGGGATGGTAATTGTCATTTTTCTTTTGTCATTTTATTTTTATTTTATTCTGGATATACGGTGGATAGTCTCGGGGGTGGGTTTGAGCCGTCGGCCTGGGCCCCGAGAGCTCATCTTGTGACTCCGAAAAGTCGTCACAATTGAGGTCTCAGGGAGCAGGCCGGGCACCAGTTTCGGTGGGTGATGATCGTTCGGAGGAGTGTAGCGGAATTTTAGCAATTAAGGAAGGTAAAAGACGCTTAGAGATATTTGTAGGGAGGTGTGTAACGGAACGCGAAAACTTCCGTGAAGTCAAAATCACGATTAAGCTATACTTAGAAGTTTGGCTTCATGTCACCATCCCTTTAAAAGTAAAGCCATGAGCTTGTTCCTATCGCATTAAAGCTTAAGCTTCAAATAAACCTAGTAAAACAAGCCGAATTCCATTAAAGTCGGCTTAAAAAGCTTGGAGTAAACCGAGGCGTGGACTTAAGCTGGCCTGGCCCCTTTAGAAGCCTTAGAAAACCAAGAGCTCGATTTAAAGTTTCTTAGCTCAGTTCGAGTTTAATTGAGCTAAGAAACTTCCAATGTTTTATTAGCTCAAGTCGAAAAACGAAGCCGGCCTGCTTGAGTCAGAAAAATCCCATCAAAAATGCGGAGCTTCGGCCTATCAAGCTACCTGTCACTGTCCCTTTAAAATGAAGTCCAATTTCAAGGTATATTTTTACGTCTTAGAAAAGTTACTAGCAGCTGAAATGCAGCCCGAATTGCGCAGTCTCGAGCTACGATACGAGACAGGTGTATTTGTAGGGTAGGTGAAGCCCGGAGGCCGCTCCCCTTACCCGGAAATCTCTTTCCCTCTCTCCCTCTCTCTCGCTCTCTCTCGCGCAGAAAGTAGGAGAGGATGATGCCATGTTGCCATGGTCACTGCTTTTCGAGATCCCCCGAGCCACAGCCCGGGTGGCCCCGAGGGCATACGGTAGCCAGGGGGGAGAGCGCTGATTTCCGCTTGGGACTGGGGGTTCTATGCAGGTAGTTGGTAATCCTAGGAAAATCTAGATGCCTTTTAGAAGACATATCCCGATAACTAATTTCCGGGCAGCAGGAAATTATCGCCCCCTCGTGGGTATCACGAGTTTAGGTCGAGCTCTACCGGGTAAAGGTTTGTTATAGGGGGTAAAATCTGCTTAATTTTTTGGAATTAGAATAAATAATCGGATCGTCGAGTTACAAAAACTAGAGCATCGGTAGTATTCAAATTTTTTTGGTGAATGGTGAATTCTAAGCCAGGCAAAGAAGTTAGCTTCACTCTCTCTCTCTCTCTCTCTCTCTCTCTCTCTCTCTCTCTCTCTCTCTCTCTCTCTTGTTCTCTCTCACTATCTCTTCGCTCTCGCTCTCTCTCCCTCCCTCTAGCGCTCTTATTGACCTCTAGCCCCTCATGTAAATTGCGTTTAAAGGACCCATGAAGGTTGAAGCGTCTGCATACTGTAGATAGTATATAGGTGGAATGATATTGAAAATGCATTAAAACCAGGTAGTCAATTAGGCAAAGTAGCGACCGAAATAAAGCCAATTGGCTACCTAGTAGCTACTGGTTTTCGAAACACTCCGTATGCTAATTTATATAGGCTCAGGATGGAAGGTTCGAGACGGCCATATGGCCCCCGGTGAGTCAGCCAATTCGAAAAAGCCGTCTGATCGTCCAGGGATGAGGCATATGTTTTTGGGCGGCGGAGGTCCCGCATGGATGCTCCGGAAAATATTATGCTAAACTACGGGGACGAATGGGCGGGGGGGGGGGGGTCAATAAATCGATGATTAATTGGTCTGGAGTGGCGATTTTTGAGGTTTTACGTGACCGTCCTGAAGCAAACAAATCAATACTTAAGGCAGCGAGTCACCTTAAAATTACCGTAATCCTTCCAACACTACCGTAATTGATCTTTGGAAAATTTCGCCGAAGTTAGAAAAATCGATATTGTGCAAGTTTCGGAAATTTTGGCTCAAGAATATAAAATTCCCACAAAAGTTTTTTTTTAGCGAATTCTTGCTGTATTTTTTGGGGGTTTAAAGGGATGATGACAGCGGTCTTAAAAATTTGTAAAATTGGGTTTTTTTAGGCGGCCAAGGATGATTTTAAAGGGACAAGAAAGGTTATAGGCGCTGAACCTACCGTAATTTGGTAAAATCAGGAAACGATCAGTCAGGAACTGTTTTTAAAGGGATAGTGACAGAACTTTACTTCTAAGCCCGAGAAATGGGTTACTGTAGAATTCCCGAAACATCGGTTTTTAAAGGGACAGTGACAGTGAAATTCAAGCACTCAAGAAAAGAGCTGTTACTTGGAAGTTCAAGAACATTAAATACCGGGTTACTGTAGCACTAAGCAGGCCACCGTAACCCATTTTAAAAGGATAGTGACAGGCAAGTTTTCACTCTCCAAGCAAAGCTGTTAACAGGAAATTATAGAAACTTGGACCATGGGTTACGGTAGCTCATCCAGAACCACCGTTACCGAGGTTTAAAGGGACAGTGACAGTTGAAATTAGGATAGTAAAGGAGTTTTTAGCTTGGGTTACGGTAGTTCTCATAGCACTACCGTTACCTGGCCTTAAAGAGACAGTGACAGCAGAGAGAGACACATAACAAACCGCAAACTCCTCAGCGACGGGCTATCGGAATAGCGTAACATAGCGGAATCACAGAATTCCAGTCTCGGGGTACTGTAGAGAGCTAATCGAGCCCGAGTCTGGAGAACGAGTGGAAGGAGGAGTGGAGGGGAATTTGGTGAAGGAATAGGGGGGAGGGGGGAGGTGAGGATGGTCTGGTTTGCCCGGAGGGGGGGAGGGACCTCAGCCCGGCACTGACCAGCCCCACCAGCCCCCGACTAGCTCCGGCCCTCGCCCCCCGAGCACCACCACCTAGCAGCCCTTTTTCAGGGGGAAAAAGCGGCCCCGGCTTTTCAGTGGGGGGTTTTTGTGTCTGGGTCTCACTGGCTTGCGCTGTCTCTCCGGGGTCTCTAAAAAAGCCGCGGCTCTCTGGTCCACTCCCTTTCACTGGCCCCTGGCTGTCTGGGTCTCTAGTTCTGCCCCACTCTCTCACTCACTCTCTCTCTCTCTCTCTCTCTCTCTCTTTCTCTCTCTCTCTCACCCCACTGACCCCTCCCCCTTTCACTTTCCATGCGAAAAGCCGAGGGAATGCCCGAATTCCCACTGACCCCTGCTTGGCTTCTCTTGGCCCTCTCGCTTCCCCCGGGTCCCTCGCTAGACAACGGCCCCTTGTTGGGCCCTTTCTCCCCCGGAATTGGGCTTTGATCCGGGGGTGAATTGGTTGTGGAGGAGGAGGTCGATTTGGAAATTGGATCTTCTGGAACTGTGCAATGGTATGGCTGGAAAAAAGGAGGATTTCTGCAAGGAATGTTAGAGAAAATGTGAGAGAGAGTAGCACGAAGGTTGTGAATGTGGATGCGACAATAGAAAATTTGCAGGTGCCGCTTCAAATCTTGGGCGATAGAGAGAGAGAGCGATAGAGAGAGCGAGTGAAAGTGAGAGAGGAGAGAGAGAGAGAGAGAGAGAGAGAGAGAGAGAGAAATAGGGAGTTCAGGAGACCGAGAAGGACAAAAATAAGCCAAGATTCATATCTGTAATGCTAGCGCAATTTTTTACTTCTCAAACGTCTAGGCCGTAGTTTCCCGCCGCAGATCATAAATTCTTCCCCATCCATCCTCTAGATCCCTCCTTAGATTCGACCTGAGCCTGGGTAGGCCCAAAGTGGTATTGGCCAGCACGAAAGGGCCCTCACTACCCCTCCTCTCTTTCCCCTAATCACTTTCGAATGAGCCCCGCTTTTCCAAAGCGGGCTCGCCGGATTGGGACACGGTAGCGACCGCCGGCCCGGGGTGGTGCTGGCCTTTTTTTGGTGGGGTGGGAAAGGCCATATTGTGCTCTCTCACTCTCTGGGATCTCACTCACTCTCTCGCACTCTCTGTCTCTCTCTCTGCCACTTTTTTGCTTGCCTGCCTGTCTGGCCGATACGTGACAATCCGGAAATGCAAATTTCAAAGGGTCTGGTGGGAACGTCCGGAAAATTAGCGCGCCATAGGCCACTGTACGTTACAGTGGCATATACGCATCTACAGTAGCACCTATGGTGCGATGATGTACGCTACAGTACGAATTATTCTACGCTACTGTCTGCACCACAAATGACTTTTGTGTACCCCACTATGCGCACCGCACAGTACTCTTGTGTACGGTGATATACACACCTAACAGTACGTTACTGTACGCCACTGTACGCGACGATACGTTGCCCTATGTAGCCCAAAAATATGCATGGGCAACTAACAATTCCATTATATTCTCGCTACATTACACGCCTATGTGCACCCAGTATACTGTAGCCGGATTTCCCCCCCGGTCCAATCGAACTTTCGCTTTGACCCAGAAAAATGGCTGTGAGCCCCTGCTGGTGCTCCGAGACGACCTGGCGCATCGAAACGAGAAAAAAGGGAAACGGGGTCAAAAGGACCGGCACCGGCTGGAGCTCCCCGCAATCCTGTGCAGCCATTTTTTGGAGGTTCCGTGGGATTGAGAAGTGAAAGCTGGGTCATTGGGTCGACGGAGGAGTTCCGGGGGATAGAGAGAGGGAGAGAGAGAGAGAGAGAGAGAGAGAGAGAGAGAGACTGACATTCGCATACACACAAAGCCAACGCAAAAAAAACGAGTCTTCTTATCCCGGCTTCCATACCTTTCGATTCAACCCCATTCGGAAGCGGAGCTGGGGGGTTTGCGATCCGGGACGAAGCGGTTTTTTAGATAGAGCTACCGGGGTCACAGATCTGGGTGTGTGCTTTAAGGAATTTTCGTAAATTTCTAAAACGTATTCATGCACAAGCGCTCTTCAGGATTGCCTAGTAACTTCATAGTAATTTTTTTTTTTGTTTTAGTGAAATTCAACTATATGTTGGTTGGAAACCCGCCTAAAAACGCATTAGAGCATGTTAAAAATTCTAAATTTTGGTCGAAAAGCGGCTATTTTTGGTTGAAAAATCTATATATTTCCGGAATTTTCGAATACAAAGTGCTGAAGTTTTCACGTTTAGGAAAACTATAAAACGGTTTGTTTCTTATTCCCCCCCCCCCCCCCGATAATGCGAAAGATCCGGAAAATGGGTTATTTTGGGAAATGGGTTATGCAAATCACAATCTCGGTCTTGGCATTCTCCTGAATTTCCGTAAATCGCCTTTATTCCCACTTCTGTCTCACTCCCACTTTGCAACTTTTCCTGCACCACCCCGGGCGGTTCCCACGAAGCATCCCGTTTTTTGCGGCTAAAAAAGGCAAAAGGGGCAACAAATAGGATGCGAGAGAGAGAGGGCCCTCTGCTGGTGGGGGGTGACTGGTGGTGGACGGTGGCGACACCTCCCCGTCCCGTCCACCAAAAAAGCCCGAAAAAGGGCCCTGCTGGCTCGCTGCTGACCACGCCGCCGACACTCCAGCCTAGCAGACAGAAAAGGAGACCCAAGGGGGAGGGGGGTCAGCCCCGAAATGTTGCGATAAAACGATGGAGGAAACGGAATTTAGTCGGAGACGGACCGGAACCAAGAACGATTAAAAGCCCTAAAAGTCTCAAAATTTTAATTTTTCCGAAGCAGAATGTCTGAACAGTTTTTTGTGCATCATTGGGAAACACACTTTTGTTTACGATCGCATTTTAGCCCCCCCCCCCACTAATGTACAAGAACCTCGAAAAATCTAAGAATTGGACAAAATTAAGCATCTTATTGACTCGGAAACTAGAAAAAAACAACCTTTTACAGTCTGTATTCTCACATTAAAGGGATTGGTAAGGTGTGCTGAATTTTGGCATCCCTATGGCGTTTCGGCGTGTAAATACGCATCGCAACGTAGTGTACAGCAACGTACGATGCGCACCGTACGTTCATAGGGCATAATTTAATCTGAATATACTACCGCGGCGTACTATACGTAGCGTAACGTACTAGCAGACGACAAGCTACTGTAGCGTAAAGTATCGTACTGAAAAGTACTAACAACGCTACATGTCTCTGCACGTAACGCGCACGATAATGCAATGTTATTGTAACGCGGATAGTCATAAATAGCACTTCAGCAAGTCCAAGATTTTGAAATATCCCTTAAAATCTGGGCTTGTGGTCGCCATGTCTTAGGATCTTGATTAAGTCGGCTTATGGACGCTTAGAATTCAGAATTCTTCAAACTATCTCATAGATAAAACAGAAACAACAATTAAACGCATAGCGCAAATCAAAAACCTGAAGTCACCTGGCTCTCCTCGTCATTTTTAGGAATTGGTATAGCTTCGGAATCGCACCCTCTTCAGGCCCCCAAAAATACAAATGAATCCAAAAGCCCATCTCCACCTGACTGGCATCGACCGATCAATAGATTCGAGACGTTCTGCCCGATTTGTGGGGGACTACCGTATCCATGCCTGTTTGTCAGTCAGGAAAGGGGGTGTGGAAAGGCAGGGGCCGTAGTCGAGCCCCAACCAGCCAGCCAAAACAACTCCTCGCCTTGTGACCACCGAGTTGAGGAGGAGGAGGAGGTTGGAGAGAGAGAGAGAAAGAAAGGGAGAGAGAGAGCCAGCCCAAAAATTGGAACGCACGAACGGCACACAGACAAAACGGCCCTGAATCGATGAGTCTCGCCCTCTCCTCCCGCTACGCTCTCTCTCTCTCTCTCCCTCTCTCTCTCTCTCTCCCTCTCTCTCTCTCTCTCCCTCTCTCCCTCTCGCCCTCTATATTTGTCCCGTTCGCGGGAAACGGCACGTTCACTCTTTTGACTTTTTCCGGACTGGGGTCAGCGTTGATTTGGATGGAGAGAATTGCACGTGAGCCAGAGGAGCGGATTTTAAAGGGATGGTGACAGAAAAATATCTCCGGCTTAGATATCTACCAAGGTAATTTCTATCTGAAAAATGCCGTCACTCTCCCTTTAAAGGGAGAGGCGAGGCATGGCAATGGATTTTTCTGGAACAGAAAGTTTCAAAGATTCTAGCTAAAAACATACAGATACAATCTTCTTTAAGATTTGCTCTTTTAAACAAAGAGGAAAACACCCTCCGAACCTTAACTAATAAAATTTCAAGACCATCCACCGTATATCCAGATTCTTTAGACATTTTTTAGCATTCGGAAACTCCTCGAAAATTCGCCCACCTCCCCGTATCTGACGCATTAGAAAAGGCAGCTGGAACTCGTCAAGGGTGCAGTCGGACCGGTCGAGTTTTGCCTAAGAACGCGTGAAAAAGATTGAACGGCTACCGGTACCTGAAGCACCGGTTCGAGACCCATATCCCTGGCTCGAGACCGGGCCCTCCCCAGCGCCATCAGCCCGTAGATGCTCCCGTTGAGGTAGGGGCACATCTGGAAGGAGATTTTTGTGTAAATAAGAAAATCCGGCTTCTAGAAGCTGCTGTAATTTTCATAATTTTGGATGTTTTTCGGATTCCTCAAATTCTTCTGAAACGTAAAACTAACCGCCGGGTTATTCATACGACTCAGGCTTTTCAGGGTTTGCAGGATGGGCTCGATGAATTTCAGCAAGGTCGGCTGTCCGGGCTGGCACATGCACAAGTTCATCAACAAGGCGGCCCCGAATTCTTGGGCTAAAAAGTTATATTTTACGTATTTTAAAGATAAGGATACCGTATTTTCGTAGTCGCCGGATAAATCCCTTAATTTTTAAATACCTACCATAACCCGACAGTCGTCCTTCAAGCAGTGGCAACAGCCAGTCGAGGCCACCAAGTTGGAGCAGTTCTTTTTGGACGGAGGCCCTGGAAAAAGCGATTAAAGGGGCTGTGACAGCAAGAAAACCGTAGCTTGAAGTCTCAATTACATAAATCTAGGCCGAAAAAGTGACAAAGCTCGTTGTATTTTTCGCAAGTGTTAGCTTTCTGCCTTCCCCAGTTCCTTTAAACCTCTTAAAAGCCACTGACCGTATGCTCAATTTTTGCAGGACGGCTAGCAGATTGTCCTGCGTGTGGCTGTGGATGCGCTTGGTGCGCAGGCAGCCCAGGATTTGCGTGATCAGCTCTTTGCCCTGGCTGATGGAGAGCAGATAGTCACGGCCGACTAAAAGAGTGTAAAATTAAAATTCAAAAAAAATTTCTTAGTATTATTATGTCTGGGATGACAGACTTGGGCCGACTGTACCTTTAAAAGATGCGATCGCGTTGACGAAACGGGCCAATTGTTCTCGGCTCTCGATGCCGTTGGATTCGCTGCCGAGGAAGATGACGGAGGGAAGGGACTGGAATTGGTGGATGCATTAATGGTAGAGAGAGTGAGAGAGACAAAGAGAGCTAATGCGAGAGTGAAGTGTAAGTTACGACGAGACAGAGCGATGGAAAGAGAGAGCGCTAAAGTAACTGCACGGAACAAGAGGCGGCGAGAGAGCGAGAGCCGGAGAGAGAGAGAGAGAGCGAGTGAGAGAGAGCGAGAGAGAGGGTTGATTACTCCTTTTCAAGCTAAATTGTAGATTTTTAAGAAATTTTCCTCACATTTCTCCGCGTCTTCAAAAACAATATATCCCGCTCGGCGAACAGCTCCACCGTCTTCTTCGCGTAGCCCTTACACGAAGCCACCGAAATTTGCTGCAATAGCATAATTAAGCGTTTTAAAACCTAAAAAATATTTAAGATGGACGGAAATTAAATTGCTTCAAGATAATTTGAACTTGATTTCGAAGCGCTCCAAGCTACGCACCTGACGCAACGCCTGCAATATTAGGGCGGCCTGTCGACTTTGTGGGGATTGCGCGACGATGGTAACGATTTTATGGAGGGCCAGCTCCGAGACGAGGGGTACGGTAGGTGGTGATGGGCTGAAGATACAGATTTTTGAAAATACGCCAAAAACTGACCCCGGATCTCTTGGCGGGGAGTGTGGATCGCTGGGGACGTTCGTCAGGGATTCGCATTTTCGAAGGGTGCTTCGAACTAAAAAAAAAACTGATAGATTCTTTAAGACAGCCCTGCCTTCACTGCCCCTTTAAAGGTTGGTTTCAGATGCGCCTTGCGTGCGCGTCGCGTAAAAGGAGCAGGAGGGAAGGAATAAGTGAGAACGAGAAAATAGCGAGCGCGAGCACGAAAGCGACAAATGATGACGAGAGAAATCAAGAGCAGGGCAACACGGGAGGGAGAAAAAAAAAGAAAGAGAGAGAGAGAGAGAGAGAGAGAGAGAGAGAGTGAGAGAGAAAGCGAGAGAGAGAGATGAGAAGATGAGAGTAAGCCAGAGAGGGGGGAAGGAGCTAGAAGATAAACCTAGAGAGAGGAAGAGAAAGACCGTACCAGTTCGATCCGTCAGTGACCTTCCCCTCCTCGGTGTCACGCCCTTTCGGGTCATCTTCTTTTCGGCCTCCTCATTGGTGGTGTTCACCTTCTGGCGAAATTCAGCTACCAACGAGGGTGAGGGCTAAATCAATCGATCACGCTATTCTAAGCTCGAGATCAAACCTTCTCTCCTCGTACCGTCTTCTCCAGATGAGTCACCATGTCGCAGGCGGCATCGTAGACCTCGTAGTAGTCCGACTGCAGCTCCAAGTAAGCGTCCTGAAAAGTGAATCTTTTCAAGGGGTCATGAAGTCCTTCTGCAATGGATTTTTAGCGGCTTTGGTTTGTAGCACCGATGGTTTGATGCAAAATCCATTTCTAGACAAATAGCCAAATAGCAGATAGCCTTGAGGAAAAGCTAGGAGCGAGAGTCTGTCTAGCAGGAACCCTTTAGACAAGCGAGCAGAGATTCTTAGGGAATTTTGCAGAGCTTACGAAAAATGATGATCCGAGATAACTAGCCGAGATCTCTTAGGAAAGCTAAAACTTGAGGAAAAGGCAATCTAGCGGAGATTCTTTGGTGAATGAAAAGTATAAGAAATTAGCAAGAGCGGCAAACTAGCAGAGATCCTTTGAGGGTTAAACGGCATCGTTGAAGTACAATAAAATCTAGGTGGAGAGCGAGAGAGAGAGAGAGAGAGAGAGAGAGAGAGAGAGAGAGAGAGAGAGAGAGCGGAGAGAGAGATAGAGATAGAGCGAGAGAGAGTGAGAGAGAGCGATAGAGAGTGAGAGCAACAGAGGCAGCTCGAGAGAGACAAATGGAGAGAGAGAGAGAGAGAGAGCGAGAGAGAGAGCGAGAGAGAGAGAAGGGGGGGAGCGCGGAGCAGCGAACGAAATAGACAGAATCTTTCCAAACCTTCTTTTTCTTCTTATACATCCGGACGTCTCAGCCCCAAAATTACGAATCTCACGCCAGTTAGTCCAATTCAAAAGCAATGCCCCAATCTGGATGGGGGGCAATGGGATTCGAGCAGACAGGTGGAAATGGAGGAGCCGAAAAACCGAGGTGAAGGCACGCGCCTGGCCCGAGGCTACAAAATTATCTGGGGTTGGTGCGTTAAAGTGGGTAGCACATCGCGTAATTAGCTGCGCATTGTACTGTTTTTTTCCGGGTTGGGGCGGTTGTTTAGGGGGGACAGACGAGGTGGAATATGGAATTAGTAGGCAATTTAGAGTGGATTCCGTTAGTGTACGGTGGACATGGGTCAACAAACGTCGGTGAAGGGTTATGGGTACGAAACACTACGCTATGTTGTGTCAAGAGGTTAGTTTTCGGCTAAAGTGCCTGAAAAAGCACTGATAGAGGGAGATCAAAAGGAGAGCGAGAGAGAGAGAGAGAGAGAGAGAGAGAGAGAGAGAGAGAGAGAGATAATTTCCTGACTAATAGACCCGGAAGACACTAGCCAACCGGAAGCCCGCTATATCGTTGTATGTTTATGCCAAGTGGGTGGCCGTTTGCTTTTTCGCAGGAATCACCCCGTGAGACCGGTGGCATTAGGAATGGGCAGTGTTTTTCGCCTCCGGAGCCCTTTTTGGGGTCCGGGTTGGGGCCGCACTACAAAAGAGGCTTGATCACTATGCTGTTTTTCTCAGAAATTGAGGAACAGGGAGCGAGAGAGAGAGAGAGAAAGCGAGAGAGAGGGTGTAAAACATAAGTCCAAGCTACTGCATGCGCGCAAAAAATCTCTGCTAGCATTCCCGAGCAAGAAATCCTTCAGGCTCGCCTCAATTGCCGGTCCCTTTGGCCCTAAGGTCCTGCTCTCCTTGACGTAGAAAAAAACTAGTGCTTGCTCATATTTCGACCAGAGCACAAGCGTCTTCCCAGCTGGCCCTTGGCATGTTTCCAACGGCAACAAAAACGCGCAGCGTTAGTCGCCCAACCGCCAAAATAACGTGCAACACTCCCCCCCCCCCCTAAAGTATGTACACGCCCGGGTTTATTGCGTATAACTATAGCTTTATGGCTTGTAACGCCAATGACCCTCACTTTTTGGCCGCTACAAATTAGCGGCTGTACGATTGGGGGGGTCGAAAGAATAATTGGTGGAGGGCGAGTGCACTTTTGTTTTTTGCGTGAGACTGGAGGTTTGTTTGGCGGGTAGACAGAAATAAAAAACGGGAGAGAGAGAGAGAGAGAGAGAGAGAGAGAGAGAGAGGGGAGAGAGAGAGACATAGAGAGAGCGATAGAAAGCTAAAGAATTCCGCTCTTGAAAGAACTAGAAACTTTATATAAAAATAAACACATAAAATTGGGGAAAACCCAAAAATAACCCCGCGATAAACCCACCATTTTATCGTTTCCCGCCCCGCTTCCGCATTGGCGAGTTGGCTTTGAGTTTTCAGCAAAACCTAAAGTACGTGAATAACCTTTATTTCATGTTATTCAAGAAGCAAAATAATCAAAACAAAAATAGTCTAGTAGAGCGACAAAATCGTTGTAGGACCCGATTGAGAAAATGGCAAAAAATCATAAATCCGGGGAATGGGTTGTAAAATTGGCCAATAGTGGCTACACAGGTCTGGGAAAAGGTAAAGCCGCGGAAAAGTCATTAAAGAAGTAATATCAGTACTTTTCCAGATTAAATCTGCCTCTTTGTGCTTTGAAAAGATCCATTCCGTTGCAATACATGCTAAAAATACAATATTAACGCTTAAAAGGTTCAAGCTCGATCAGATGACGCTCTGGGTATAAAATAACCGAAAAATGGTAAAACTTCATTTTCTAGTGGTTTTCGAGATTAGCAACATTTTGAAACCAAAATTGATGCGAAATATGCTGTTTTGAAACACGAATCCAATCAACTTTATATAAACACGACTAAAAAACATTCAAAATACACAGTCATCTAAATAATAAAGCAAAAAAACGCAAAAACATTTAATTTCAAGCCATTTTCAATATATGTTTTCGGCGCTAGCAACACGCCGGGGCCACCGGGCGTGAAAAGTGGAGCGGTTGGGCGGTTGGCAGTTAGGGCCCAATTTTGAGCCCTATGGGGAGGGTAGAGGTGGGAAACCTTGGTAGATGAAGAGACTACACAACAAGAAGCAGTCTATAGAAGAGGGGCGAATAGACGAGCATGTCCTCGTTGCCATGACAAAACTCGAGCATGTCCATCGGGCGGTCAGCTGGCGGCAAGGCGAGGGGATGGAATCCGGGGAATTCCGCATGTAAGTCTCATAAATATATATCCAGATTTTAGCTTTTAGTACTATACAGTTTTAAGCATGTTTTTAGCAAACTATCGAAGCTGGAAGAGACGGGAATTTGCAAAAAAAGACGGTTATACCGCAATTTCAAACTCAGTTTTTCTCCTAAAAATAAAAACCAATATTTCAGCATAGCCAAACGCTTAAAGTATCTCCGCTAGCTTGCCTACTGGTATTTGTTTAGGCCAGAAAAGGATCCCAGAATAATAAAGGGCTTCCAAAGCCCGGCACGTTCCACCAGAAGCCTTACGTTAACAAATACCCGGAATCTGCATGTATCTCTTCGCCAGCGTAAGTCCAAAAACAAGTAAAATATGCAGTTAGTTTCTTAGAATATGAACTCGAAAAAATAGATTCCACCCGAAGCGCCTGGAGAAAAAGAACGGCCAATCCAGAGCTAGCCGAAAATTGCCAGGTCGCCCCGGCTGGCGCGATGCTTTATGGGTGAAAGATGGTCTGGGCTGTAATTACTGGGGCTAGCGGATAGTCTATTCTATTTTTTTCGTGTTTTTTAGGTTACTGGAATTTTAGAAGGCTTCTAAACTTTAGAAGGGAAAATCAGACGGTTTTAGAAGGTTTCGGTCGCTAGTTTGGACGGAAGTTCTTTTTTCAAGCTTTAGACTCTAAAAAGAGCTTCAAAAATTGGCCGGAAAGCCTAGCTGATCGCGTATACTATTTTTGAGTATTATGAAGGTTTCTGGAATATACCACGGTTTTTAAATACCTCAAAAAGAAAGGGTAACTCATTTCAGGCGGTTTTACCTATCGGTTTTGCTGTGGCGCCCCGGTCCTTCAAGCTTGATATTTTTTAAAAAGTCTAAATAAAAAGTGTAGCTAATATAATACATTTACAGAAAATACAATAATAACGAACAAACTTTTAGGATGTTCCTCATCCTCAAAATCGATCCCCGTCATCCCGGGCCCGCTTGAAAATGCATAGCCATCGGGCTCGGGCGCCGAATGCTATTTTTTGCGTGTGTGATGGGATAAATGTTCGTTTCATTGGAAACACCATAAAAGTCGGCTATCTTTTTCTGCGGATCAAAAGCAAAAAAAAACAGTTTTCTAGGGTTTTTCCCTCAAGTCGTTCTCACGAGTCTTCATCCACATCGACAAGTTGCAATAATAAACATTGTAAAATCTTTATTAACCTCCAGGAATACATATAACCCACACAAATCGATAATTTCAAGAAAAAGAAGATTTTAAATATCGGAGGGCGGCTCCTCGTCGTCGGAGGCGACGCTCCCTCGCTCGCCCCAAGTGTTCCAGTACTTCATGTCGGGGCGCAGAAGGCAGTGCGTTTCTGAAAGGATAATAGTAGTAGTTAATAAGCTTAGTTAATAACTTTAAAACCAAAAAAACCCACCGGCTTCACCGCTCTTCGCCTCGGCGGTGTACTCGAAGCAGATGCGCAACTGCTCGTAGGCGGCTTCACTGAAAAGAAGAGGTGATAATGGCAAGCTAGCAGAGATGATTTAGGAATTCCAGAATCTATTAATTATGTAATACTTAACAAAATAGAAAGAAACCGATGAAACAACGACTCCGGCGGGATGGAGAAGGAATAGGCGGGAGCGAGATGGATCTCAACGAGGTCCTTGTGCCGCCCCTCCACCTCCCGAATGTCGAAGGCGTCGTTAGGGCGGCGCCAGACCTGAAAGTTTGCTATAATATTTTACTACCTTGTCTGCGTAAATATTAATTTGTATTTTTTAATGTAGTATTTTTATATTAATTTCAGTCAATTTTGAGCTATTTTAGAAAAAACTATCTAAGGAAATTACGAAACGTTGGAAAACTCGAGAGGAAATTCGGTTCGATTGTTTCGAAATTTTTGTCATTTTAAGTCCAAAAAATCTACTTTTCCATCTCAAATAAAATTTATTAGTCCTTTTCCTAAGGAAAATAATCTTTGAAATGCCTACCGCAACCGTAAAGCACGACACGTCACGCGAATCCGGGAGCGCGTTCATCCTCCGGCCCGGGATCAGGCCGTAGACCTTGTTAAAGTAGTAGGCATAGTTATCCGAGCAGCGCAGCTGAATTTCCGGAAGGTAAAGCTTAAAATATCCATACCTTAAAAGCCACCGGCGTATCCCCATGGTTGATGATGGTGAAGCGGCGATGTTCGGGCTCCTTTTCCTGAGGTAATAAAGTTACGACAACGCAGAGTCATCCCTTACCTTTAACGGAAATCGAATCCAATTCACATTGATCGACACCATGAGCCTAGGCTCGATCAGCCGAACATCTGGGTCCTAAAGACGCTTGGAAATTCACGCGTTTTGTCGGGACCATGACAGTTGCGCAACGACGTTTGAGCAACTCGGGGAAAACGACATTTGAGCAACAATGATTTCTTAGTAAACGCGGGAAAATGGGGTTGCTCAAACGTCGTTTTTGCCCCAGTTGCTCAAATGTCGTTGCGCAACTGTCATGGTCCCGTTTTGTCGTACATCGTTCGTCCATAGGACCGTCCCGTTGCTAACGAACGAGGCGTCAGCGGGGAGTGTGCTGTGTTGCCGCGAGTATGAACGGGCTGGGCCCTTTTTTCTGAAAGGCCAGGCCATTCTACCACTTCCCAATTAGCATCCTACGCTGGCGCATCGCTGTGGGTGGGCATCGATTACGAGGTGTTCACCTCGAGGAATTCCTCGCGCCTTCGGGGATAATAAATTTTTGACTCGCTTTTTTTGTGCAATCCATTGGCAATGCTAATTACTATATTGAAAACTATAAAACAGCAATGCTGTCGTGTTTTCAAACGAAAACAAGGCCTGTCCCGTACATGTTTTTCTGTCTTTTCTCTAAGCAGCGCCTGTGCTCCAGATGACAAACGAGCGTCTTACGCGAACTCGCGTATTTAACAGCACCATTGCTGCCAGTAGTATCACAATTTATTGACAAAGCTCGCTAGCATCAAAATGCACGGAAATAAATGTCGCCTTGTAAATGTGAACAGCCACTAGAAGAAACTATGTATTAGAATTTGTCGATCACAGTTTAGCGATTGGTGGTTGAATGGGCGGAGAGTACGAAAAACTATGCAGTTAGTGTATGTGTGTAAATCGAATCGATCGGGGGCAAGAAACAGAGCAAGTGCATGCGCGAACGCGGGGGTAAAATGCCGGAAAGCTTGCCCGAAAAGCTGATGGTGGTGTGGGGGAAAGTAGTAAGAAGGGAGGGGAAATCGCCGGTTTGTGTAAAGACTACCCATTCAAGTACATATATAAGGAAGGTGGTGAGTGTAATACGTTAAATTAAGACAAAGCAAAAGTAAGTTATAAGAAAGAGTGTGGCTTTTTCTAGGGTACCGGCCAGCCGAATTAAAAAGTTCAGGCAAAAAAGAGAAAGAGGGTTTGTGCAATCACAGGGAGATTGGTGAAGGGGAGGAGCTTTTAGAGAACTTAGAGGAGAAAAAAAAACAATTCAAGAACCATAGATACAATGGGAGAACACGCAAAAAAAATTGCCGGCTTCTGTGGAGCGCGACAGTGCACGGGGATGGGAAAACGGGGGGAAAGACCAGATTTGGATGGAAGGGACGAGCTCGAGGCGTTCAGGATCAGTTCAAAAATACAGCCCCGAGCTCGCCCTATTATGCAGCAATTGAGACTAGATGACGTTGACTACATGGACGGCGATGGAGAGAGAACACGATTTTGCGGATTTCGAAAAACCCGTAAAGTCGTGTTGCTCTCCGGATCGCCTAGCCCCTCTGGAAGAAGGAGCCCCATGCCGGGATGTAGCTGTACAGGCGTTCGGTGAGCGGCTGCGCAGTTGTCACGGCTTCATCTGGGCGCGTGGTGGTGGGTGCTGATCTGGTGGTTCCCTCGTTAGTGCACTGTGGCCCCGCGAATCCTCAGCTTTCCATGTGCTCCTGAAAACCAGATTGTTAGGGTGCGTAGGTTTTTGCAAATTTATCTTTGAAAATTTACTAAATTTATATCGAAAATCCGTATGCGGAAATTCTTTACGCCGTAAATTAAGACACCGACATTTCATCATGTCGCAATCTCAATCTGCAGAAATTTCATGATATCGATTAAATCATTGTCAAAACAAACGTAAAAGTCCAAATCACAAACCTTGATCTCCAGGATCTCGGGGTGTCGCTCAATGACCCGTCCCAATATCCCGTTGATGTAGACACGGAGCTTCTGGTTGCAGATTTCTTGCTCGCGGAGCGCGTTGACCAGCTAAATGTGGATTATAGAAAAACGACGATAAAATTACCTCCGTTGTATCCTTGCCGTGCAGCTCGTCGGCCAGGGAAAGGCCCATGCCGTCCTGGAGGAGGCTCTGCCCGCGTTCGACGCTGTCGTGCAACATTTGCGCCTGGAGGTCGTTGTTGTTTTGGCGCAATTCGCGGCACTCGGCCCTCAAACGAGCAACCTCTTCTTCAAGCTCGACCATCTGGAATGGAAATTTTATAAAAGATAACCCAACGAAAATCCAATACATTAAATTCGGAAAGTGTTTAACTATAAATATAAAAACTAAGAAAACAAGTTATTACCTGCTCGGCAATGCTGCCCGCTCTTGGCATCGAGGCGCGAGATCGAAGTTCTTCCGTTTGCCGGCTCAATTCTTCGACCATTTCGCTGGAGGAGTCAATTTCGTGCTGGGTCTCTTGTTTGAACCTGGAAAGATAAAGCTACATTTTAATAAAATGAAATCGCCTTCCAACCGCGCTTTAGCGGTAGCCAACTCACTTGCGATATTCACGCTCCAGACGAATCCGCTCGTTTTCGAGGTCTTCTGCCGTCAAATGAGCCGAAGCCAGTTCGTCTTTCAATTTTTCCACGGAGTCTTTGTGGAGGCGAGACTCTTCGGCAAGCTTGTCGCGTTCCCTTTTCATCTGGATGAAGTCCTTCTCGAGCACCTAAAAGAGTAAATTAAGAAATCACTAAAAAAAGCTAAATTAATCATCAAACCAGCCGACTGACATATAACTCACTTGATATTTAAGCTGAGCACTCTCGTTTTCCAACTGCTTTTCTCGCTCCATACGGCCATTGATATCACGGTTCCGCTGTCGTTCCTCATCGAGTTTTTCTTGAAACCTAGAAAAACAAGACTTTCCTAGCCCTTTCAAAAGCTCCTCACCTTTGTTCCGTGATCATCAACTGCTCTTCAAGCACATGAATGCGCTCGTTAAGGACGGCATTCTCGAGCTTCAGCCGTGTTCGCTCCTCGTTGGTCACCGAGTGGTTCTCCTCCATTTCATTGAGCCGCTTCGAGATTGTCGATACCTATGCGGGAAACGGAAGGTAAGCAGCCACCGAAATCGTGTACCTGGGCTGACAGTTCGTCGCTATCGCTGAACGTTATCAGCTCTGGGTCGCTGCCGAACGAGCCGGAATCTAAAGATAAGTACATGAATTCGGTTGTCTAGTGGAGATCTGAACAAAATTTAGGTGGTTTAGAAGTTTTCAGGTTTAGAAAAGGGGATTTCAGAAACAAAACAGGAAATTATAGATTTACAAGTTCCATTCCCTGTATCAATTTTCATTACGTGCCTTCACGATTTCGGATTTTTCTAAGTTTAGAAGAGACCTAGAAACAAAAAAAAATCGATTCACATTGGTTATCAGAGATTATGAGAAAAATCACGCTTAAAGCGCTCCAACCAGCCAGCTGACAAGTGGAAAGGCCGGTTGTCATAAGTGTGAGAGGAGCCAGTGTAAGCAGGGTGGCTAGCCCTGGGCTACATGGCACCGCCGGGAAAATGATATGTTGCCAGCTCATCATGACTGATCTCCCCGTCCCGTCGGGCGTCTAGTATCTGTGAATTTCGCTAAACGAACGCCGTACGTTTCAGGTCAAAAATTCTTCATAATATTTACTAAAAGTCCCCAAAATCCCAAAAACTTTTGTTGATGGCTTTCCCGTTCCTGGGCTATCAATTTATAAATCAAACAAAGGCCCGCCACGCCCTCGCGCCGGGTAAACAATCACAATCGATCCGCCAGCCCCCCCCCCCCCCAGCCGAAAGCACCCCAAAATTTAGCGGCTTCTCCAATTCCGAACGAAGCATCCATCATTTACACGCAAATTCGCGCCCGGTGACTGGGGCCCATTTTTCGGGCAGACCAACGGGCCGCGGGCCCCCATTTCGTATTCATACAAATTTTCGGCACGCTCCACCGCACCCGGGCGGGCTGGGGGTGCTGGCGGAGTCAATTGGCACTTACTGATATTGGGGTAGTCTTGGAGAAACTGGTTTAGTTCTAGGGCTACTTGTAGTTTTCCCAGCTAGCAAAAAATTAGCCAGTTGATGTGGGGGATTTCTGGGATCGCAAAAAAACGGAGAAACGTAAAAATTATCGGGAGAAATAAAAATACCTTCACTACGCTTCTAAAAAATACGAAGCCTCTTAAAAACTAAAAACGAGAAACTTACTAATGGGTCAAAGCGAAAGTTAGGCTCCTAAATGAGTCATAAAGGTCACGCAGACGTAGGTCACATAGACAGGCCCAGAGATCGGTCCATCAGATTGCCAACGCCACGGGAGATGTCTCGACGGATCGATCGTGACAGTCTCAAATGGGCTGCAGCTGCGAAAAAGAGAAAGAGACTAGAAGGGGTGAGGGAGATGGGGGAGGACCGGCGTGCCGAGGCTCAGATAAATACACACCGCCCACGTCGATGGTGCGAAAGCGAAAACGAGGCGGACAATGGCTCCGGTATGTCGCCGAGAGGAAAAGCTGGGTGGGGAGGAACCAGTAGTTGAGGTGTTGGGAGATAAAGTGGCGTGGTGGGAAATTGGTGGGAAAGATCCGGGTTGTTTACGAGAAATTCGCTATCGAGAGCTTCAACGGATCTTAAAAGTCTACTGGTCAAAAAAGTTCCGGCTAAAAATCTAGAGGGAGAGCCGAAAAAAAAACTTTTTGGGCCATTCTAGACATGGAAATGAATGGAATATTCACTCAAAGGACCATTCTATCAAAATCAAGCACCAAAAGCCTCCCCACCCAATGCAATTGACCCGTCTGAAGAGGATTGGTGGAGACCGGAGGGGCCGATGCGAAGGTGAGGGGATCGCCAAACAGGAAGCTAGGTGCCGAGTGATGGGCAAACAACGGCCCTGTCCAAATCCGAGGCCCTCGGGCGTCCCGGCCGAATAATTGGCCATCGGTATGGGGGACCGGTATTGATGGGTATCCCCCGGTCGTCGCGCAGCACAATAGCCTCCTCTACACCTGGACCTCTACCGGGGGTCTACGGGTTACCAAGGAAAGTACAGGGCGGCGTAATTGACTTGGCGAAGGAGGGGATAGGAGGAGAAGGAGGTGGTATAGTGAAGTAAACAAGATTTTTTTTCTATTCGGATTTTTCTTTTTCTAATTCTCTAATCAATTTTTCTAATTCTAATCAATTTTTCTAATTCTTCTATTCGATGGACTATGCCGATTTTCACCATGCCAATTTACTTTTCTATATTTTCCCTATCCAAGGTTAAATCATGCTCATTTTTCTCAGATTTTGCATGTATTATGTATGGCATCCCCTGCCGAAAAAGAATAGCGAAGAAAATCGGCATAGTGAAAATCGGAATAAATAAAAATGGGCCGAGTCGAAACCGGTAAAATCAAAATTTACAAAATTCTCACCTCTCCTCGACGGGACACCGTTGCTGTTCCTCCCGCTGTAGAGCCGGGAGGCCACTTGGGTCGACGAGGACCCGGAACCCGTCAGGCGCATCGAACCCAGGCCGGAGTCCTGAAAATTGGCATTATAATCGATTTCAGGATCATAAGTAAAACGCCATAGAACTGGATAAAAGAAATTTAAAGAAAAACCAGGAGTTCACTGCCGAAATTTCACGGTTTTCAAATTAATAAAATCCCTAAACCCCCAAAATTCCAGCGCACATCCGCGAAAGCGATTTTTGTGGGGTGGGATGAGCATTTTGTGGGATAGTGGTCGTGGTGCGGGAGCCACGGGCTGTTTGCCGAGTCATAAAAACGGTGCCAACGCATGTTTTATGGACGGCTTATTGCGAAATCGCCCAATCCTCTAATATTGATGACTTCCAAACGATTGATGGTTGATGATTGATGCCCAATGAAAATGAAAGTTCTGGGTCGCGTTCGCGGGCGTCAGGAGGGGCGGCTTCCGACTAAAAGCCAAAAAAGGGTGGATGTTGAAATCCTCAAACCGATTCCGCCCCCACTCAATTAAACGGGGATCATCGCACAGGTGGAGGTCGCTTTCCAAAAAACCGGTCATTCAGACCAAACCGTCGATTGAAACCAGGGAAATTGAACGCCCACCGAGTCGACGGATGGTCGTTTCCGGCGGATTTTTCGTCGTGAAACTGATGGTGGGTGTGTCGAAAATACTTCTTCCATAGACGGATAGGTAATCCGAATATTTCAGAGTTCAGAATAGCTCAGCGGCCAAGACTTGGATGAGGGTTTGAAGCCAATTTCGCAAACGTCAGACAAGCCGGTGGCTTGAAAAAGTAGCGAAATGGCCGGAAAAATATAGCTCGTTCGGCCGGTGAAGGGAGCCTGAGCGGAGGTCGAGCGAAATGCGCGAATATGGCGGAGGTACTCGAGTTGCCCCCAAAATGGAGCCTCCCTCCAGCCAAGGCTATTTGAGCACCTGGCACATGGCAACGGTTGTCAGGTTGAGGCCTAGGGCCAACCCGATCGATGCAATTTCTATGAAACGGGCGTGATTTGACTTAATCCGCCGGTAGGGCAACGAATGCCCCGCGGGAAAATTCTCACCATTATTACCTAGGGATTTTAAAATTTCGTAAGAACAAAAAGCGGAGGCCATAAGTTTTGCCTGTTTCCGGTAGGAGCCCTTTGCTGAAATCGAAGCCCTTGTTTTGGAAATCCAAAAAATCATAAAAAATGTTTAATTGAAAGATGTCACCTTTTTGACAAAATGAAGAATTCGGCTTACTGCCCCCTCCCCCCGCTAAGTAATAAAAACGCGAAAAAAGCTAAAACAAGATGAGATGGTAGGTCACGGCTACTGAATACCAGTAACACAAATATTATGTACCCGGTTCCACTCACCGCGGCGAGTTGTTATTGACGCCAGGAACAGTTTTGAAATGTGAAAAGCCCCAGAATAGACTAGCAAACAGACTTGTTAACGCGCTGCCACCAATCAATGGCAAAGAAACTTGGCAACCGCCCCGCCAAACCAGTCACAAAAACAACACATTACGGTAAGAATCTGGATTTATGTGCCGTGGCGGGACGGTGGCGTGTTGAGTGGGATGGGGCTAGCTGAAGAGAACGTATCGAGTGGCGGTGCCCTCTCTTTTTCGCGTACGCCACGCTACAATAGACAATCCTTGGTGGTGGTGCTGTGGTGGGTGAGGGTGACTGTGTCTGTCGGCTCTTCCAGCCTCCTAGGTCTTCCTTTTCCCAATTTCCCCACCAGCCAGTAAAGAGGGAGTCGCGCGCGATCCAGTTCCCGAGGACGACCAAAGTGTTCTGCTGCGCGTGCGTGAGGCTGGGGCTTTCGAAACTTTGAACGAGCCGCTTCCCAGCCTGAGGGGAACGGGATGGCTCAATTAGGGACGGCGCTGATGGAAGGGGACGACGGGCTGATGGATCAAAGGAGACCGCGGAATAAAACTGTCTCCACTTTTGAGCCCACGAAAACCCGACAACGAATATCGTAAAATCGACGGAGAAGCGAAGCGAATTGTTGGAAAGCATCGACGCTGGAAATAGATGCGAGAAAGTGGGTGGGGAGCCGGGGGGTCGGCGCGGGCGCGTGCCCACTTCATGCAAGGCAAATATAGGCAATGTAGCCGTTTTTACAGCTGCATAGCGGAACGAGAAAATTTTGCAAATGTTTGCGAAAACGCGGCTTTAGCTGTAATTTGACTGTGAAGCCGCCTGAGTCATCTAAAAGAAAAACCCTGATTTGTCTCAACAGACATTTTTTTATGTCGAACTAGTCATAAGCTTGAACAATGGTAATGTCAGGGCCCTAATCAAGCGCATATCAAGAAGGGATCACTAGAAAACAAGCAAAAGAATTGAGGAGGGCCGTAAGGCTGCGTTTCGCCACCCAAAACGCAAAGCATACAAACCGCTCCAGGAACACTGGTCGTAACGGCTCCGCAGGAACGGAAGAAAGGAGGGACAAATGGACAAACAAACATCCCACACCTCTTCCCGGTCCCGGGGCACGGCGGGAAATACGCTGGAATGGGCGCGCCGAACATAGCTAGCGTTTTGACCAAAAAGCAGCTGTATTCTCGAAGCGATAGTGTAGCGCCGACCGGATGAGTCATTGCAAACCAGTCAGGAACTCTATTTGCGAGCGAAACGCCCCACCTACTCAACATCAACAAATTGGAGATCAGCAGGGGTCGGATGGGGAAGCGCAGGGGTGGAACGCGAATTTCAAAAAGATGGCGGATCCCGAAACGACAGAACCCGTTTCATTTGCACCAAGCCGCCGGGGTCCACGGTCAACCTGATCTAATCAAATTACCCCATTCGGCTCTTTCCAGCTTTCCTAAAGCTGGGAAGACAAAAAGATTCGGGTCTTGAAAGCAATGGGATTGGAAATAATGAGTCAACCCAAAAAATATGGCCAGACACCAGCGCTGGATAAATAAGGAAAGAGCACAGAAAGCCCCAATGCGGGGAAGAACCGTTCCCCAGCACTCGCACAACGTCTTTTTGAGGAAGGCGCCGAAATAGCCGACGGGCCGATCGCGGAAGGAAGCCCTTGACCGCCTTGTATAGGGATTTTCGGCCCTTCCCCCGTAATCGGATCCTGTAGAAACACCATAAAAAGACGAAGAATGCCCTCTACTCCCAATTCAGACGTCCCAAGGCTAATCCCATTAAACACGAGCCCAATAGCCCCCCATTCTAACGGGCAAGCGAGCAAAAAAAGTGAGCCGGGCCGGGGGAGGCACTAACATTTGCATAACTCATCGAAAATTCCGCTCCCGAACCTATTCGCGTCCGGGAACAAAAAAAGCAATCTAGGAAATGAAGCTCGGAAAACACTCACATCAGGATTTCCAGAAAAGCCCTCGAAAATTTCGGTCATCCGTAGTTGAAACCAATCCGCAGCGATGCCTCCCTCTCCGGTTTATTACCTGAAAAGACGAAATTGGAAGATGTATAGAAAGCTGAGCAGTCCATTGGCAAATCGGAAAACTGCCGAATACCAAATAGAATCGATTCTGTGAATGGGCCGAAAAGAAAGTCATTGGCGGTGGAGGGTGAAAAAGGACTGCATTCCCGCCGCTCAGCATTTTGATTTTATCGCGTTCCGTTTGACGGGAAAGGGCAAATCTGGGGTGTTTCAAACCCGTAAAATCATAGACTTTCTGGAACACGACGAAAAACTTTCATAAGCGCACAGCTGTCAGCAAATACCAGCACGCGACTGGTAAAGCCGAACATTGATAAGGAGCGGGGCGGGGTGGCGGTAAAAAGCCCGGCTGATTGATGAAGTTAATGGGCCCACGGGTAGATGCGAAGTAAAAAGCACTGTGGGGAGAAGGAGATGGGCCCGGGTACGACTGGGCATCGACCTGCGAAATTGAGGAAAGCACATAAATTTGGCCCCAGTGAATTGGCCGTGAAAATGGGAGGGAGGCCGGAAGCGAAGAAGCGGCGTTTGAGAAATGAAGGGCCACGAAAAATGGGAGGATGCTGCAGATAGGGTTTTTTGGATTCTGGAAGAGCCGGTGGTATTTTTTGCACCGAAAAGCCCAGCTTCTCGATAGAACGAAAGCTACTCCGTACGAAGAGCGTCAATTGTACTGCAGCGGACACGATACTTTTGACCGTAGGCCCAGGCTTCGATAGAACGGAGCTTTCCACTCACTAATAATAACCCCGGAAAGAAAAATCTATTGATGGAAGCGCCTGCGTTCAGCGATGACCAGTCGCCCGATGGGCCCGTCAAAATGGATGCGAGGTAGACGCGCCGTGGCGAGAATCGCCTGGCTTACGTCCACAAAAAGAAACGCACGGCGTCAGGGGTTGCACAAGGCAAAAACGAAGGCAAATATACCCGTCAATTCTCTGTTTCGGCCGGCGAGGTGGCCGGCGAACCACGGCGAACTTCGCCCGGCGTACTGCGCCGGCCACCTCGCCAGCAAGGGGTCGGCGAACTTCGCCGGCGAACCAGCTCGGCGAACTTCGCTGGCGAACCTGTGCGAGCTAGCTGATGCTTAATCCCCTTGATTATTATTGATTCAACAATAAGGATCTACGAAGAAAACATGGATTAATAGAACCAGGATGGATTGGACCCAGATAGCGACTGCAGAAGGGGGGGGGGCTTAAATCAATTTATCAACAGTAAAAGTTTAACAACGGGTGAAGAAATGAATTTCCTCGCAGGAGAAGCGGCTTGTGGAGGCCTGAATTCGATTCGAAATTGTACCTTTTTGAGATTGTCAGAAGCGAAACGTTGTGTTTGGTACCGGTTTACGCTTTCGGCGGTATTCCTTTACTGACTACCTTCATCTTCGGTTTTGATCAACTTATCGCTACCTTACCATTGTTTCGTAGGAGAGCTGACGTATTGTATTATGACTGTAGAAATTTTCGAAGGCCAAATTTCCATGCATCACTGCGGGCTAAAGAATTACGGAAAAAGCCTAACAATTTAGCTTACCTCTTTCATCCAACGAGCCTCGTTTTCTTCCTTCTAATAACATCACAGACCTGCGTATTCTTCCATTTCCGGCACTGTATCCTCCACCTCATCTGGATCCGATTCATCGTTCACCGATCGTAATATTTCAGTAACGCGTTGGATCGCCGTATCGCGCATCCGCCGCTTCTCGTCGGCAGCTTTTATATCTATAAGTCTTTATAATAATAGTATCATTCTTAAAAAAAACCTGTAGTTTCGGCCGCCGGATCGCACGCCGGTTGTTTTTTTTGCAAATAACTTACGACTTTTTTCCTCTCGCAGCCCGCCACTCCGGTCGCGTCGTGGTTCGCCGGCGAAGTTCGCCGATCCCCTCTCATCCCCTTTTCTGGCGAAGTTCGCCGGTGGTTCGCCGGCCACCTCGCCGAGCTCTGGTTCGCCGGCAACTGCGCCGAGGTTTGCCGGCCAGCTCGCCACCCCCTTAGGTTCGCCGGCCACCTCGCCGGCCGAAACAGAGTTGGCGAGCGGGGGTAGTGACCGGGCCGTCACGGGGGCCAAATGGCAGAAGACAGAATGGTCGTTGGGATCATTCAGAACGGTGGGTTAAAAGAAAGAAACATTTTAAAGCGGAGAAAAATACCATTTTATCGAAAAGTAGCTTATTTTTACTGCTACGCCCAACCTAACCCAGGGCACCCCAGAGAAAAATTGACAGCCGTGAGGATTTGTGGGCTGCAAAGAACCGCGGCTTCGAGACGAATGTTTCGCGTCGGGCTCCGGGGGCGCTAAAACATGTGTCCTCCCCGGTTACAACAAATGGCTAAAAAGCGCCGGGGTTACGCGGTCGGCTGTAAGAAAGTGATGAGTAACTCGCGGTGAGTTAGTCGAGAACACCGGAAACAGTAAGAGAATAAGAAGAAAATCTCAAAGAGTCCAAAGATTTCTAGAGAACGGCTTTCTCAATGTTTAAAAGCTGGCTGTTTAGCCGTTTATGACGTTTTAGTGGATATTTACAGTGTTTTTAGTAGTTTTAAGCACTAAAAACCATAAAAACCTGTTTGGAAATGTACAAAAATTTGAAATTTTGGCCATTTTGATATTTTCAAAAATTTTGATGTGTAAAAGATAAATCGTGTGTTTGATTTTGAAGAAGTTTGGTCCCAAGCTACGCTCCAGAACCAATTTACGATCCTAAAATTTCTAGCAATTCCGCCGATATCGCAACATGGGCCGACTTTGGAAATCCAGCGCTGGTGAACACGCACCCACAAAAAACCGGGGTTAGTTGCATATTCTAGCGGTCGATACAGAGAGACACAAATGGGGGAGCGGGACTCCAACCGCATGCGTTCCGAGCAGTTTTCGCTTTGAGTTGCAAGTTGTAACAATGTTTTTGAGCCGAGAATTCCATTAAAAAGCAAAAAGGAGGCTTTGATAATCTCCAACTTCAGGGCTGGTACCCAGATCAAAATTACACGCCTGAAATTTTACCACACGTGTAAATTTTTTACACACGCGTGTAAAAAAAATACACGCGTGTATTTTTTTTTTACACGCGTGTAAATTCCGAAATTTTCCTTAACAATTTGTTAACAAATAAAAATACACGCGTGTAAAATTCGACAATTTTTTACACACGTGTAAATTTTATTTACACGCGTGGTAAAAAAAAGTGACGTGCTCGGAGACGGAGGAAAAAACCGAAAAAATTACACGCGAGCGCCAGAAATTTACACGCCAACTTTGGAAGCCTCCAGCAAATCGGAAAAATATTTTTTTGGAAAAGTTAAAATGAGACAAGCTGCAGACGGGTACCAACAGTGAGTCAAAAAAAAGTTGGATCGCTAAGTGCCCTGGAAATTTTTTTATATGCCGTTTTGTGAAGGCCCTTTTTTTGAGCGATTTACACACGTTTTCCAAATGTAATTTTCTTACCTAAAAATTTACACGCGTGTAAAATTTTTGAAATTCACGTGTAAAATAATTGCTGAATTTTGAACTTTTGAAATTCCCGCCTTCGAATCCGATTTACACGCGTGTAAAAAATTTACACGTGTGTAAATTTTCGGCCATGTTTCCTTGAAACCCCTAATAAAACTCAATTACACGCGTGTAAATCCCAAAAGTGACGTGTAAATTTGACGTGTAATTTTTTTACCACGCGTGTAAATTTTTGGCTGTTTATACACGTGAAATTTTGATCTGGGTACCAGCCCAGGTCCGGCTTTTATCGGCAGATAACGCGCCAGGGATGATATGAAGATCAAGAGGCTGAGGTGTGCGCAACGTAAAAAGCCGCAAGGAATAACTATGTCAATCGGGCGTGCGCGCGCTGTGGATTATCGGAACGGCGTGTGCGATTGCACACTTGTCGAATCCGAGGGTCTATCCCTCAAATCGCAGCACCCCCACGTGGGATTTGGGTCAATGGGCCGCTGGCGGTGGTTTTTGAAGCGCTCGCCAGTTACTTGTTGGGCGGCAAATAAGCAGTTTGGCTGAAATTGGTGGGGTACCCCTTTGCGAAACGGAAGTTTGGAAAAGGGGAAAAGTCCAGCTTGATCTCTATTTTTCTGACTTGGTGACTGTAAAAAAGGAATGATTACGGCCCTAAACGTAAAAACGTTACAAATTTTATGAAAAGCACACAAAAAGTAGCGATTTTCCGGTCAAAAATAGCCGATTTTTTCCGAAAATCACCCCTTAAAAATTTTTCTACGTTGTTTTTCATATTGTTTTTCCAGGCAAAATACAGTGAAAATTAAAAAAAAAAACTATTTCAAAAACCCTTCTTATTATGGTACTAGACATTTCTGGACTTATAGAAAACGTTGGTCCCCCCGATAATGCGAAAGATCCAAAATAAATTTAAATACATAGTAAATAAATCCTTTCTTAGAAAACCACCGAAAACCTACAATAACGTACACGTCCTTGCAAAGTACCAAAAAAAAAAACAGTTTTTCCATCCAAAACGCGATAAACGTTAACCGATTCTACGTTGGCTATTTGCCGAACGTCGAAAGGCGAGATGGGAACCCCAAGAGATTTATTTAGACAACGCGGGACACTGTGTACAGTCAATTGTGAATGTTGTATAGGGTAACACCGAACAGTGCCGCTTGGGGTACAAGGGTGGCATGAACGAACCCTCGAAACATGCCCAGGGACACCTGTCAAGGCCTAATAACCTTGCCAGACCCCGAGTCAGGGCAGCCCCCCTTCAACCCTCCTCATTCCGGGCCGGTGACCCTGAGAAGGCTCGCTTATTGTTGGGTGACTGGGGTGCTTGCATGCATATATGGAGCCGGGCGGAACGGTCTTGAGAGGAGACGCACGCGTATTTTTAGAATATTACATGCGAGGTGGCTTAGGTGGCTGTAGCTATAGTTAAACTAGGAATAGGTACCATAAGCCCGAATTTCGAAATTTCGAAGACACAGCAAGCTCAAAATCCCAAATTCCATAAACCTAAAGGCTTAAACACGGAATTCAAGCTTTCATTTCCCCTAAATTACCTTTTAACATAGCGATTTGATTTCAGTGTTATAGGATTCAGGCTTTGGGAAGGTACTGGACGGTTAGCGGGGGGCATTTATGTCTCTAGCACATTAGGATCGAACAAAAAAAATTCAACGTTTTAGAGGCTTATATAAGAAATTTTTACCGGTTTTTGATCACTAAAACGTAATGAACAGTGTTACCCGTAGACATATTAAACATTTTGCACTATTTTATGCATTTTTGGCGGAAGAATCCAACGTTTTCGTAAATTTTTAACCTCTTGCTAAACTTTCGATACTTCAAGAGGGCGTAAACAATTTTTCATTATTGGGACCGTGGCAATATACGGTCAAAGTGTGGCACCCATTACCCCCCCGGTAACAGACAAGTACCTTTTGGAATTCTGGATTATTAGCGTGGGGGAGTTTAGCAATTAGCACCGTCTATTCCGTGTAACGAAATAGACCACCAACTAGAAGACGTAGAGCGTGAACTTTCTAAAACTCGCCCTCGGAGGCTGGCATAAACTCGAGCACAAGCGGCGGGTCGGCCCAGTGACCCGGCAGGGAGGGTCGAGAAGCCGGCGGAGGGTGCAAGCGAGAAGTTGACAAATGGTGTGTCCCCGGAGGGTTGTGTCAAGCGCCACACATGCCCTCGGTCTGCAAAGGGTCTGGGAATCCGACCACCCCACCCTACCCTCCTTCGCGCAATTGCCACCCTCGAATCAATCAAATTAATGGCCGATGGGTGCAATACGGGGCCAGGATGCTGCTCAACCCGAAATGCTTGGAACGAGAAGCGGATACCTGCGGGGATTGGAATTTAAGGGAGCGTGACAGGGATTAAGGGGCCGCGACGCGTCTGAATTTCTTTTACTTCTACTGCGCCGTAATGCTCAGTGCTGAAAAAACGGCCCTGCCGAAAAAGCCGGTAATGCAACACCAAATCGACTTGTCTGTGACCACCGCTGTTCTACGCAAAATTTGGTACTGGATTGTTAGCGGGGGTGGTGTTTAGCGCGGTAAACGCGATCTAGCGTCTTTAACAATTTTTAACGTTTTATCGTGTATTTTTCTCGAGTTTTTCGTAATTTTCTCACTAAAAGTATACAAAAAATTGTAGAAAACCAAAAATGACGAAATTTTGCCCATTTTCCTGCTTTTTTGAATAGGTGAAAAAGCGGGAAAGACTACAAATGGTGCATATTTCATTAATTGGGGCCCTACGATGCCATGGCCAAAGTTACCTCCCCCCACTAATAGCGCAGTACCCGAAACGTAAATATTTTGTCCTGTTTTTACCGCTCGTCCGCCTGTCAGGACGTAGGGTTTTTTCCACGATAAGCTTGTAGAACCCATTCCAACCTTCAGTTTGGAATCGTCCATTCCTACCGCAAGGGCCAGCCTAGGCTTTTCCAGTGCCTTTCACCGGCTGACCGAACGAGAGGCCAGAACTGTTTACGCCAGGTTTTGCTGGGTCCGTTGTTTGTATACCCGCGTTGCCATGAAGGGAGCATGCAAAGTTGCGGGTTCACCTCTTCCGAACGATTGTCTTGAGATTGCAGGCCAAATTTGTGCCCCAATTCATTTGGGTTCGATTTTTTAGGTAGTTTTAGTGATTGCGCAGCTGTAGCAGCTTTCAGGTATAATTTTGCTGAACAAACACTCTGCTGAAAGTCATAGAAATTTTCTGGACCTCATGTAAACGGTTGCTATTGGAAAATTACAAAAGTAACCCATTTTTGAAAAGTCTTTGCCAGTCTTAATTTAATAGATTAGGCGGCTTGGATAAAAACAAGATTGGCAGACCTTAAGATTGCCAAGACTGAGATTTTTTGCAAAAGGCAGCTTATTAATATGGGGCGAGACCAAGATATCCTCATGCATAATTCATTGCGAGGTTCTTTAGGATTTCCGGGGGGGAAAGTATTTCCGGGGGAAACCAAATTTTTCCTGGTTTTCCCGGTTGTCCTAGTAATCAAATAATATAAAGTGTTTTCACATTGTTTTTAGTAAATTTTAACTATATTTAAAGTAGAAAAACCTTTCAAAAAAGTTAGAAAAATGTTTGAAAAAGTCGAAAATTTAGTCATTTTGGGTCTTTCCCCCCCGCTAATCCTAAAGGTTCTATAGGATTTTTCGACCTAAAATTAAATTTTTTAATTAAAATGTGGGTAGTTTTTATGCTCAGGACTAGTTAAAAACCATTTAGAAACGCATGCGCTACTTAGAAAAAAATTTAGGCTCGGGCCGAAAAAATTTGGTTTCCCCGGAAATACTTCCCCGGAAATCCTAAAGAACCCATTGCGAAGTTAGACGCTGAAGAGGAAAAATTGACGTTGACATGGAAACGTGTTGGCTTTCTTCCAAATTCTTTTTTTGTTTCCTTTCTCATGGGGCCCGGGTGGACGGCGCTAATCCCCTTATTTGGTCGGATTGGGTGCATGGCCCGGCCATCTTTATATTAAAAATCTTATTACTTTGTTGTATTTTCAAGATAGATACACAAAAAAAGAAACTTTTATGATTTCAGGCAAACCCAGACGCAGCTTTGCGTTGATGAGCACGCTCTCGTCGGGCCGCGAGGTTAGCCGCTCGCGTGCCGGGAGCAGCCGGTGCGACTTCGTTGGCGTGGAGCCGAGAACGGGTTCGTTGCAGATTTCTTGGCACTTTTCTCTCATCTCCTACCATTCCCCTGGTGGTGATTTATGGGCCGAGGTACGGAAAGTGCCGCATTTGGGGCGGGGGTGGATATTTTTGATTATCTCCCCCGGCAGGTTGTTATCGGCAATGTACCATGCAACAGGTAAACAAACGGTATTTCTGCGCCTAACCCTATTTATCGTTACATTTTTATGACAAAAACCTGATCCTAGGGGGCTCGAGACGCTCGTCAAACATCCTCAACAGCCCGGTACAACATTTGCTAAAGGAATGGGCGGAAAGACCATGGTATTTATAGAGTTTCACAAAAATACTTCGAGTTTTAGCCCACAAATGGACATCGAGGCCCTTCCACCTCATCTATTGGTCCCCGGCTCGAATAGCCCAGTTCGAATCATTGATCTTGGAGGCCCTGGGCACAAGTAAGATCTCTTTAAATTGTTTAACAATTAAAATTAAGGCAATTGGTCTCCATCATCCTCCCATGGATGCACGTCGCCATCAGCATCGGCAACGAGGTGACGCTCGAGCAGATGAAGGCCCTGATTTTCGGCAGTATCAAGAGGTTGGCAGGATATCACCCGGTAAAAAACTCAAACTTAAATTTAGAATGGCCCATCCACAATATTCCATCCAGGCCGAAGACTATATTTTTCGGGTGGTGACGATTACCGGAAGTTCGGACCTGCCCGAGCTCACCGATTTGTTCTTTGAAGAGCAGATGCTTTGTAAAGTGGAAATGACGCCGGCTTACCCAGTCTTTTTCTTGTATGAACCTGATGGATTTAGGAATGAGAAGGACATTGCAAAAGCGATAGGTGAGTTTTTATTGAAAAAGTATACCTTATTCAATTCAGGGAATGCATTGGGATACCCGTTGATACAACTCGAGTCGCAGATCGATGAAGAGCACCGGGATTGCCGGGTGAAACTCTTCAACGAGGTCGAGCTCGCTGTGGGATCTAGAGGATTGGTAAGGAATTTTACGACGATGTTTACAGAATGATTTCAGGGTGGAACCGAGCACTACGCTTTCCCGGAAGATGATGTCACTTCCGAAGATACAACTTGCCCTCAGGCCTTGAAATCGAAAATCGAGTGTGAGCTTGGTTGCTGGAAGCTTTAGCCATGAAATTTCAGCAAATAGTCTCGCCTACCATGTTTATTATCGGACTCAAGACGCAGAAAAGGCGAATGACGACTCTAAAGCCAAGCTGGTGGTGATCGACTTCATGGCCGAGTACACGCCCACGACGCTGATCCAGAAAACATTGTCAAAGCTGAAGGAGGTACGCTCCAAAAATAATCATAACAATTATTTTTATACAGTTTATACGTATATCAGGAATTTTTAGACCGACGAGCCAGCTGACGCATTTATCCTCCAGATTGCCGGGCAAAAATGCTATCTAACCAGCGATGAGCATCTACTACTCAATTTTGGGGTGCGGAAAAGTATCACTTTCTAGATATCCAATTTTTAGACAGTGCGCTCCAACCTTGAAGATTATCGCTCCCCGCAATTTGTGTTGAGAAGAAAGGCGATCGTTTTTATTGAGTACCCACCGGCGCAAAAGCTTCATAAGGTAGGAGAACGCTCGAGATAGACCTAAATCTTTCAGCCCTCTTACGTAAAAGCAGCTGAAGCAGCCGCTGCGGCATTAACTGACGATGGCGGAAGTAATTCGTCATCAAATTCTAAAAACCACTAATTTTCAGTTATATCGCTCTGGGACCTCGACGCAAACTTGGCACTACGACCCATCTCGTGCTCAAAATTGGGAGCCTTTGAGGTGGAGACCTCGATTTCGGCATATTTTGCGGTGTAAGTGAAGTATCTAATGTAGATTAAAGCATTGTTATAGCTTTGTCGGCCAGGTGATGCTCTTCCAATGCAAAAGCTTCAAAGTTCCCACCCACAACCCGAGATGGCAGAGTGTAAGCTATAAAAGCTCTATCAAATCCATGATTTTTACAGGAATTCATGGAGTTCGAGCTTTACATGAAGGATTTACCGCCAGCCGCCAATTTATCAATATCGCTGGTCGAGGAAAAGGCGAATAAGAAGAAGCCAGGAATTTTGGTGGGTCAAGTTTTTGTTCATGAAAATTCCAAAAAAATTAAAGTTTTGGGGTAAAAAATACTAAACAAGTAGTTCCGGTATTTTTAGCTCGAGGAACGCGTGCTGGGTTGGGTGAACGTGCCGTTGTTCGATTGGAAGAATGAGCTTCTGCAGGGTAGGTCTAAAAGTAAATAAAATTGGGCGTTTCTAGGCCATCACACCTTCAACCTGCACACGACGCCGGTGAAAGGCCCGGGAGTCTACAACGCGGAAGGGCAACTCGGGAATTCGGATGCAAAGGGCTCGCCCCGGCTCATGATCGAGCTGTTCAATTGGCAGCGCCGGGTGCGGCTCCCGCCGTTTGAGATCTATTCGGCGTTTGTCGAGACGCAGGTGAGTAATTTGTTAACTCTCGACGCTTTTCATAACGCACGTGCTACGTGGAGGCCTAATTACACCACGTAGTACTCAACCTAACGTTTTGTAAAATTTAAACTTTATAATCATAGGTTTTTTAAAGCTCGCGCCAACGTTTTCACGCTTCTAAATCGTATTCAGATGAAATGGGGCCACATCCCGGTCCCAAAAGAAGTCCCGAAAAACGAGCAAGCCCTCGTACAGTCGCGAGTTGAAAATATTCTTCGAAAGCATATGAATAGTGAAGATGTATCCCGGGAGGAAGAGGATTATGTTTGGCATTATAGGTAAGCTTTAAAAATATAAAAAAAACAATCAAAAAATTTAGACACTTCATCTCCGTCGTCGTCCCCGACGCCCTGCTGCTCATCTGCGAGTGCCAGGAGATGTGGAAGAGCCGAGAATCTTATGGAGAGGTATCGTCTTTTGCCTTGCTTCGCAAACCCCTGGGATTTTTAGGTTTATGCATTAATGAATGATTGGGCGCAACTCTCGCATGGAGTTTCGTTGTTATTACTGGGCAAAAGGTCAGTGCAATCTTTTGTAATTCAAGTAAAACTAATTACTAAAATCCATTTCACAATTTTAGAGGGCTGGACCCGACGATCCGGCGATACGCTGTTGAACATCTTGACGGGACCTTAAGCGACCAAACATTCCATTTATTTATTTTACCTCTTGTCCAGGTAGGCTTTGTTTTAAACCTTATAAAGCCTATCGTTTAGGCCCTAAAATGCGAGACATTTGCTTGCTCGGCCTTGGCGTTGCTCCTCGTCCGGAAAGCCCTTTCCGACTATCGCATCGGCCATAAGCTCTTCTGGATCCTCCGTGCCGAGCTGGCCGATTTGAAGCACGAGATGCAAGCTAATTTTCTTATTTTCAAAAACCTTCTTTTTAGGGATTTGGGGAAAGGAGATGGTCAGTTTTCCAACCAGTTCAAGCTGTTGTCGCTGATCTTGGAGGCGTATCTACGCGGAAATGAGGATCATATCAGGATGATCACGAGACAGGTAGATTTATAAGTTGCCTTTTCGTCTCATAGTGGAAAAATCGCCAAACATTGTCATAGACTGTACACCAATGTATCCACTTTAGGTGGGGATGGCGGATCGCCTTACGCAGCTCAGCGTCATGCTCAAGTCGTTCACCAAAGATGTCGCAACAAAGGTAGTCTGTTATGTGACTTCAAGCACACCCATCATTTTCAGAAGCTTCGCGAGGAACTCAAGCGAAATCTGTCCCACTTTGAGCACCTCGACTCTCCGCTTGACCCCAGTGATGAGCTTGGGGAGTTACTGTAAGTCGTACTGTAACTAAGTTAAAAAAATCTGATTTTTATAGGATCGATCGCTGCAAGGTGCTTGGCTCGGCAAAGATGCCGTTGCGGTTAGCGTGGCGGAATGCCAGCCCGATGGCGTCAACCTGGCAGAAGAACTACGAGATTCTGTTCAAGAATGGGGATGGTAGGTTAAGGAAATATATTTTTTTAAACGTCTTGAGAAAGAGATAACTCTTTATTCATTAATTTAAATTCATATTCTTGTTAAATTAAATTTTAGGAAAGGCGGAAATTACGATAGTTTCTTTTTAGACCTCCGCCAAGATATGCTCGTGCTCCAAGTGCTCGAAATCATGGACGCCATCTGGAAACGAAGCGGCATAGACTGTTGCCTGTCGCCATATCCGGTCTTGCCAATGGGCACGAAGGTATCGATTTTTAAGGGAGTTTTAAGAGAAACATTTTATCCCGTTTTATCGCGTTTTTTAGCTCGGTATGATCGGCGTGGTCCAGGATTGCGCGACCATTTTCGAGATCCAATCGGGTGGCGGGAAGGTTGGTTCAAAATTTCAAACTAAATTAAATTTGTTGAGATGGGAACGGCTGTGAAAAGTTTGGAGACGTCTTTTATCAATCGACACGTTAGGGACCACGCTACGGCTACAAAAGAGTAGGTTTTCATTTCTGTAAGACGCGATGAAGCTTAAAAAGTGCCATTTTTACAATACGATTCAATCAAAAAATCATAGAAGAATATATCATAGAATACTCATTGAACTACGTTTCTTGAAAAGGTTTTCAAATATGTGTTTTAGCTATCTGATGCGTGTCGATCGTTTCCTCGTCTCGTGCGTTGGCTATTCCGTTGCCACCTATATCATGGGCATCAAGGTATTTATCTAAACGACGCGCCAAACACCGTAACCCCTGTAGGACCGCCACAACGACAACATCATGATGACGAACAGCGGCAAGCTGTTCCACATCGATTTTGGGCACATTCTTGGGCATGGCAAGACCAAACTGGGCATCCAACGGGATCGCGTTCCGTGCGTTTTCGAGCTCAACGGATGCTTAAAAATATATAAAAAAAACAACAACATTAAATTTCCAGATTTGTGCTCACCGAACATTTCCTGTGCGTCATCTCCAAGGGGGGCAGCGTGCAGAAGGATAGCCACGATGTCGTCAAGTACGCGTTAAAATCTCATCGGCTGCAGGGGCTTCAGATTCCGGCAGCTCTGCGTCAAGGCCTATCTCTACTTGTGGGACTTCCGCTCGCTTTTCGTGTCGCTCTTCTCGGTGATGCAGGGTATGCAGCTGCCCGAATTGAGCACGAAGGCCGATCTGGAGTACTTGAAGGTGAGCGAGAAACCGGTTACGACATTAAATGCTCAAAACAGCAAAATAAATATATCTAACAAGAAAAATAATGAAACGAAAGAATTCCGTTTCAGAAAGCGCTCCAGGTGGATGTGATGACGCGCAGCGATGCCGAGCAGCATTTTATTGACGTGCGTCAATTAGAACCTAAGGATTGCCATTACGCGTTTTAATTTAGTTAATTTTATCTTATTTTGTTTGATTTTTAGGTATTCACGGACGCTTTCAACGGGTCGTGGAGCACGAAGACGAACTGGTTCTTCCACACCGTCAAGCACTTATAAAATTCACTGGTCTCTCTCCATATACAGTATTCTCGCGTCCACGATTCTATCCCTTTTTTGTTTTTTCGTTATTATGTACCGCGATCCTAATTACGGCTTCGACTCTCGCTTTATCTTTTAGTCCCAGCACTCTTGCCATATCCATAAGCACCGATTCGTAAAAGTAGCTTTACTTGCGGAAGTTCTCCGCAGACGGGTAGACTGTACAAGGTTGTCCGCTGGAATAAATTGATTTATTCTTAAAAAAAAACTAAAAAATCACATTTGGTACATTCCAATCAAACGCACAGCCTCTACCCTATTCTTCACATTGGTCAAGAAGCAGGGCAGTCCGGTCATTCTCCCGTTTGCTAAAAAAATAAAAAATAGTTGGCGAAAATTCTTCTAACTTCTCCTGGCCTCGACGAAGCCGATGAAGTCGGCTTAAAAATACTTTCCAAGTTCTTGGCAAAGATTCTTCTAACGTCTTCCGTCCCCGGGGCGTCATAGGCGCCAGATGATGTCGCCTTGAAGATCCTTGTACGAATTCGTACGGAATTTTCGACCCGGCGTCATAGGCGCCAGGTGACGTCGCCTGGAAGATTCTTGTACTTGATTGTGTAAGAAGTCTTTAGATTGTGGCCCATTTTCCCTAATCGTGATAACTTCCCATCCAAATGGCCCCCATTACAGAGTCATTACTCTTTGTAATTCTCTGGTAAATTCGGAGTTGTTTTAATGAAGTTGGACCGGTTCTTCTGCCTGATCGCAATTTCGTGAGGGCATTTCGCCTCGCGTGAAGCGAATAGGTTTCCTTGTTTCAGATCCTGTGGATGCCAATCAGCAGCCGAAGCCACCTCGGAGCCCGGCCGTTAGGTTGGTCGATATGAATTTGGAATTAACATAACGACGCGAAATAAGTTTTTGCTGGAACCCTCGGCTGATCGTTTTCAGCCCACACGCCGCCTATGCTGCCACCACAGGGTTGGGTAAACCCGTAAGTTAACCTCGATCGCATAGACCACTTTTTCCGCCTTTCCTATCAATGTAAATTTCAGGTGCAGCGTTTTCCGCTGAGGCGCGGGTTGCGGCCGCCCGAGCCGATCCATTTGCCGGAGCCGACCGTCGGCCGCCAGACCATGATGCAGCCTCGCCCTCTTGTGACCGGGCCAATGAAGCCACCACCCGACCGCCAGCCCATGATGCAGCCTGGCCCTCGTGTGACCGGGCCCATGAAGCCGCCACCCGTCCGCCAGCCCGTGATCCAACGCCGCCCTCTTGTGACCGGGGCCACCATGCGGCCACCACCCGGCCGCCAGCCCGTGGTTCAACGCCGCCCTCTTGTCACGAGGGTCGCCACGCGGCCACCACCCGTCCGCCAGCCCCTCATCATCCGTACTAAGAACGCTCCGCCGCCGAAGCAGCCCAGTGGCAACCCGTCGCCGCCGGGAGATGTGGCCACAGTGGGAGCCGAGGTGACTAATCAGACATATCAGATGTGTATTTTTAGACTTCCCCAAAACGTGCCGATCCTATCTGGCATCGCTACCCCACACCACGACAATTCCGTTCCGACCCCCGTGGTCGAGCTGTGCAAGCCGAAGGGTCAAGTTGCCGGAACGCGAGAAGCTTCGCACAGGGAATGGCTCATGTAAGAAGGGTTTTCCATTATCTTTGCTTTGATCGCTTTAGCACCTAAGCCCCCATTAGCAATTAAAAACGGTGAGAGCTTAAAATTCCAAATTTTTATCGATAATTTTTACTTTTTGCTACCGTTTATTAGATTTTTCTCCAAGTTTTGCTGCTTTTGATATAGTGAAAACTTATTAAAAAACGCGCACTACAAATTGGACCTTAAAGGTACACTAAAATCTCGTTCAAAAAGTTCGGTCGTGGTATGAAATTTGGGCTCTTTGCCGCTGCCGACCCAGCCCCTTCTTATCGCCTCTCCCCATCCCCCTTCCCGTCCCGCCCTTGGCCTAGTGGTCCAAGGCGCTGCCCCGAGCTGGCAGTCAGGGTTCGGTTTTGCTCCGCGGCGAGCGCCTACCGTAACCCTGTTTGCTATCCCGCGGACGGTTACCGGCCAGTAACCAAGCCAACGAGACTTTAGTGTACCTTTAAGGAGACGCCGGACAGAATCGCCAAGGTACTTGAGGCAATCACTGGCATGGACTGGATGGGCCTGGATTTTGCGTTTCCGATGGACGCTTCTTATGGCCAACCCGAGGTGCAGGTCTCGATCGAATGCTACGGATATTACGGCCACGAGTAAGTCTCAGGTAGCGCCAGAGCCACGATTATTTTAGGAAATGCTTGAAAATCCGCGAGAAGATCCTACATGACCTGCGCCCGCGGATGCTGGACGAGGGCAAGACACTCGTACGAGTCGTTGTCGGCAACATTGGCCAGTTGCAGGTGACTTATATTTCGGTAACTCATGACGTTACTGGACGGTTAGAGGGAGGATTTTGAGCTGGAGGAGAAACTAATTTTTCCCCAATACGGCCCTATGACAAAATATTAAACCCTTTGATAAGTTTTTGCACAGCTTTTAGATACATCAGCCGATAAAAGAAGAAATTAGCTAAAATTTTTGTTTTTTAGAAAAAATGGAACATGGCGGAAATCTTCGAATCCTACCTTATATAATTTTGGCGTGTATCTTTGTGTGTGTGTGGATGTCAGTTTCGAGGCCAGATTTGAGGGCCTTCCCGTGTCCAAAATGCCTCAATTTTTCGTCACTTGGAGGAATCGACCTTTCTGTTTCCGATGGCGTTCTCAGAATTTTGATAAAATACAAGTTTACAAAGTTAAACCCGGTTTTATTCATTTTTGGGGTCCCTGAGGTCTAATTTGCATAATGTGAAAAAATACAAATTTCCTCATCCTTGCCAGTTGCACACGCGCGTGTGGTTGGTGGGGGGTCCGGAGGACCCGAGCTATCGGAAAGTCAAATTTCTCATGCAGAGGCCGCAATCCAGCGCCCAAGGCCCGCGAAGCGGGTTTTGGGCGCTGGTTTTTAAATCTTCGACAACTTAACCTTTTAGCAAGCACTATTTTAATCGTTATAAGATGCATAATATATCATTAGGACACATTATCGTCGGCAGAAAAACAAAAATTGGTTCTTCCTCCTGCTAAAATCTCCGTTCGCTAATAGCCCAGTACCCTCAAACACTGGGCACTGGCCCCAATTCACATACCCCCCGTGTGAGATATTTTTTTTAGCACACCACTGTCAAGACTGATGCGCCGATCGGTGAAGCCAGCGACCCCATGCCAAAGCCCACCCATCTCGCCACCACTCGAACGATGGCCAAGACGGCACAACCGGCTCTTACGGGTAATAGCAAGTATTGGTTAGCACGCTAGCGATGTTGGTTTGCAATTGGTTTGTCGAAATTTCAGTTTTTTCGAAAACCAGGTTGTTAAAATTTAATTGGGCGAAATATCGTTTTAACGAAAATAATTTGCGGAAATTTCGATGTGTTACATTTTCAATTTGCGCAATTTTTCAGAAGAATAGTCGAGGCAAAAATGACATTGAAATTTCGAAAGATTGAAATGTAGACAACGTGTATTTCGACAAATTAGATTTCAGCAAAATGATATTACACGACAAAATGATTTTCAAGGAAATAAAAATAAGCCAACAATGTTGCAGCGCAGGGCTCCGGCGCTGACAAGCAAAAGGGCACACAGCAGTCGCCGACGCGCTGCGACAAAAAGAACATGGAACCGAAGTCGGCCAATCTCGAGGTGAGCTACTCGCGAGCTAGCTTTGCCCGTCGAAACTCTTCTGAAAATTCGGGGCTTTGGCATTAAGAAGGGCGGGGGAGCGAATTTGTCTAATATAAATAGAGGAGCCTTTTCTAGCGTTTTCACTAACGCATAGCGCACAATTTTACAACTTTAACAAAAATTCGAGATACTTTTTGCACTTAAAGGGCTGCCGACGGCATGTGTCGATCCCCCCATCAACAAATTGGCAAGTAGCCAACAGGGGAGAGAGCGCGCCCAGGGGAGAGGCGCAGAGACATTTTCTTTCCCTCGCGTAATCGATTGACTTATGCCGTCCCTATCCCTTTAAAGAGTTAAACTTTACTAACAAAATCAATTCAACAAAAATTAAAATTCGCATTACAAAGTTACTAGGCATTTCTGAAATGAGAGCAGGGATTCGGTCATGGATCTGAAACACACCTAACAACACGATTAAATTAAGTGATATCATTTAATTTGTTATGATGTTTACATTACTACTAGGCTGCTGGGCTTGGAGAAAAAAAAATTAGGTTCCCCACCGATAATGCGAAAGCGCCGAAATGTCAGATTGCTATGACCAAATAACTTTCCTTAGTGCGGCAGCTGCTGCCGTATTCTCGACGGCGACTGCCTTTACCGCCCATGTTTCTGGACAGTTTGCTGCAACAAATGCCGGACGCTCAGCGGGTAAGTTTTCAATTTCAGCTCCCTTGTTTTTTTGAGCAGTATCTGAAACTAACATCGAAGGCAAAATCCCTCCTGTTACTCCAATTTTTTCAGCCATCTCAATATGGAATGCCATCAATCGCCTGTTTGCAAGCACTTCCTCGCCGAATGGTACGTAATTTCTAGAAGCATGATTTGTCAAATTATGATATTTCTGGATTAATGCTACAATATTTGACACTAGCTTAAAGTTAGTTAGTGAGATTTCTGAATTAAAATTAGGGGGCGTGAAATTTTTTGGGTCATTTTCAGACTTAATTTATGGGTGGGCCCTGGTTAACCTAAGTTACCCCCGACACAGTTTAGCTCTTTCATGGCTTCACTGCTTTGGTCGCTAGGGCAAGGATCTGTTTTGTTTTGCGAGTGTTGCGCTAGAGTTGCCGCATAAAACTGACCCAGCTGGCCGAAAATAATAAAAAACCCATGAAAGTATCAAAAAAATATTGTTCGAAGTAACGTCCAAAATATAGGGAGAAGCCCGAGCAGCAACGGGATCTGACGTTCATCAACGGAGCCTGCGAGGCTTGCATCGTCAAGAAGCTGCTCTACATGAAGGTTTGAAAATAAAGAACAAAGTGTCGAACTGATCATGATAGGACCAGTATCTGAAAGAGAAGGACGCGCTGAAGGGAGACAAGGAGAAGCGCGAGAAGGCTCCGTGCCAGAAGCCGGCCGTCAAGAAGGACGCGCTGAAGGGAGACAAGGAGGAGCGCGAGAAGGCTCCGTGCCAGAAGCCGGCCGTCGAGAAGGACGCGCTGAAGGGAGACAAGGAGAAGCGCGAGAAGGCCCCGAGCCAGAAGCCGGCCGTCGAGAAGGAATCGAAAGTGGGTATTCAAGAACTACGAAAAACAGAATTTTAACTGTAAAAGCACTAGAGCTCTTTGAAAGGCCTTGCAAAAATCTCTTTGTAGGCGGTGGCTGAGGAGGAGCCGCAGGACAAGCACGACACCGACACCAGCGTCTAATACGTCGGACCTGAAGCCGTCGACAATTGAAAGATCTTTGAGCTATGTGATTAGAAAATGATTCGAATTCATTTTTGTGAATACGTGCGGTGTCGTCCCGATTTTTGGCATTGTGGTGATAATAAAGCACCAGCTTTTGAAAAAGACCGAATCTCCGAATACCTGCAAAACTAGATATCGCAAAAACGGGTAGCTGAAATGAGCAGATCATGAAAGAATCGCGATCCGTAAAAACCATAAGCACCGATTCGTAAAAGTAGCTTTACTTGCGGAAATTCTCCGCAGACGGGTCAAACTGTACAAGGTTCTCCGCCGGAATAAATTGATTTATTCCAAAAAAGAAACTAAAAATCACATGTACTTTTCAATCAAACGCACAGCCTCCTCTACCATATTCTTTACCTTAGCCAAGAAACAGGGCGGTCCGGTCAGTTTGTCGTTTTCTAAAAATAATAAAAATACATGGGTGTTCCTTACCGTCCTTGATTCCTCCAAAAAGTGTAGGAGCCAAATTGAGAAAGCAGGGCCCGAAAACAGTAGCCATATAGACGAAAACACGCTCGTATTGCTCGATAAACTACAAAAAAAAATGAATGAATTGTTAATAATGGCCAACCTCTTCTAAACTTGCCCAAGGCAACGTGACAGGCGCGCAATATTCCTTCATTTGCTCGTAATAATACGTAAGGTACTCATCCTTCTTCTCGTTATACACCTCGGCGCTGACCACCATCGGCAACATGCGGGCCAAGTCCTCCAGCGGATTCCCGTAGCGGCATTGCTGGAAGGCGGTAGATGACAAAACCGTATTCTACCGCCCAGTCGATGATCGCCAACATTTCAAAATCGTTGGCGCCATGCTTTTTCCATAGAAAATTTGCAAGGTACATATCCCCGTGAGCAAACATACGCTTCGGGCCTAGAAAAACTTTGGAAAAAGGTTCAGTAAAAGCTTACAGGCTTCAAGTAGTCGCTCCTGATATCCTTCCCAAGTTTTAAAATGCTTGGCTTGACTTTTCAGAATGGTCAGTCCGTCTTGGAGCTCGGGATATTTCTCCTGAGCATGACCAATTGTTGATTTTATCACCTAAATTTTAATTGCAAACTTAAGAAAGGAATACTCACTTCTTCCGTACTGAACGCTAGCATCAGGGTTTTACAAAAATCGTTGTTAAAGTCGGAGAATTCCTCGGGGTGGCAAAGGGCTGAAAACCGAGCTTCCAATAAGATCAAGGTTTTTGTCAAAATTTTTCAATCTGCACTTACAATATCCATTCACCAACACGAGCTGGTCGAGCATTTCCCGCACAGTTGAATCCTTGGCATTATGATAAAATTGAAGCCCCGTGACGTCGTCGAAGAATTCGAGGGCTAGGTAACCTAACAAAATTACTAGGAAATTATCAAGATGCGATACCCGCTTCTACTCCGCTCTCCCCGAATCTGCCACCACCATAGAATTTCGGCAGCTTCAGATGCTCCGAGAACTTCCAGCGGCTGTTCGCCAATTCGTAGAAAATCAACTCGTTGTCGTTGGCCTGTAAACAAATTATTTTCAAGGCTTTGAAGACAAACAGCTTTGCAGTGTCCGTCAATAGGTGCGTAGCCCGGAACATCTTGGATAAGTTTTTCGATTTTTGCTTGGGAAGTTATCTAGAAATGTTAGATTTATGGCGAACTGTCGTGACTAGTAGGTATACCTTTATGAGAGCCCTTTCCGGTAGCCGATCTCGTTCTTCTGTCCAATCAAACGTCACAAGGGCAACATCACTCAAAAATCCCTGAAAACGGAGCGTCAAAGAAAGTGTGTATAACTCACATTGGCAGACAGGGCTTTTGCTTGCCGATTTTTACCGAAGACGGCCTTTGTTTTTAGCGATTTTTGCAGGTCTGCCTAAAAATCAACTTTTTTAATTATAAAATAGCACCATTCAAAAAAAATAGCGGAATCCTAGATAGTTAGAATAGCTAGGTTGTTACCTGAACAATATCCCACGTGATCGGCGAACCCGGAATTAATTTGTCGGCCATTTCAAAGAATACCGATAGTCTGGTCGGGAGCGCCGGCGCAAAAGGGAACAAAATGGACGCGTGGAATGTGTGTGCTCTTTTGTGCTCTCGTATTGCACAACATTGCTGCCTATCAATTCTCCCGGCCCCGACGGGGCCGATTAACAAGCAGCGCGCATTGTTTCCACTGGTGAGAGCGAGAAAAATTTAACGAATCGGTAGCCACGGATGTGGTGATGTCTGCTCGATAAGTCATAAAACGGCAGAGCCAAACCACACTAAATTTCTTGAAAAACAGGAATGCATACAGACTTTATTGTTTACCCGGCATTGTACAATTACAAGTACAATTGTATACGTTCATTTCGGCGGCGTGAACAAAAAATTACAAATTACGATCACAGGTGACAAAATAAAAATTACAGGTTGTAATTTTTGATGACGCGAGCGTTTTCGTGGATCCTATTCTTCACTTTGAACAAATACCAGGATGGCCCAGATAACTTGTCCTCTTCTAAAAAATACAGTGAAAATAGGAAGCCTAACCCAACCGTCCTCTGTCTTTGAGCTGTTATTGCCAATTTTGGAAATTCCAGTGTTTCGACTTTTTATGAATCTATCACCAACCTGGAAAACGCATCATTATATGTAGAATTTAATTGCACTTCTCTTAAGTGTCTTCCTAGAGTGGCGACGACTTCCTATAAATGGAAATTCTTGAAAGACTCACTTGGGCACGAGATATTCCGATGTTCTGGCCATTTTGAAGCTTTGAAATGTATTGGAGAAATGATCCCCGCCCAAAATTAGGTATTGTAGCATATTTTCAGTCAATTCGGTGCCGTCGTTTTCGAGATAGTCTTTCGAGGTGGGCAACTTTATCGGCCATTTAGACGACAAATCACTTATATATAAATTTCTAATGTCCGTGCGCCCGTCCGCCCGTCCGACCGGATCGCTGCGGGACCCCAGGACCGGTTCGGACGGGTCCGGGAGCCCGGGACGTTTCGGGATTTCGGGATTTCGGTGTATGGGTTCTTTCAAGGGTATTCTAGCCATTACGCGTTTCTTAGATGTTTTTTTAGTAGCTAAGAAGGGAATGAACTTTCTTTCAAGGGTATTCTAGCCATTACGCGTTTCTTAGATGTTTTTTAGTAGCTAAGAAGGGGAAATAACTTTCTTTCAAGGGTATTCTAGCCATTACGCGTTTCTTAGGTGTTTTTTAATATCAAAAAGGGGAAATAATGTTAACGTTAACCATTAGACTTCCCTTCTCTTTTTGTTTAGGATCAGCTACGGATGTTGGGGGTTTCTTTCAGGGGGAATAGGAGGAGTGGAAGGTTCTTTGGTTTTGGAGGAGGTGCATAGGTAGATCACGGAAGGTATCCGCTCCAAGCGGGAAATATACTAAAGAGAATGGGAAGCACCGTGTATTGCCTTGCCCCCCGGGAGGGCCAGGCAAAAAAAGCCGCGAAGCGGCTTTTTTTGACTGGTGAACTTTTTAAACATTCAAAACTCTGCAGCCCTGCTAATTAAAACATGCTCTATCAGCTGGCATCGAAAAAACGGTGTCGAAAAACGGTGACAGGCCACATGTGACTGTTCGGGTGATTCGCAGACGGTCTTTTTAAACCACATTCTTGTTTTTGGAGTTTTGCGGCCGCTCAACTATTATTCGAGAGTTTTTTTTAGCCTGGAAGGACGATGATTGTGACAACTCTGCTGCAGCACCGCCGGCGACCATGCCACAAAATAGAAATTTGACCATACGTCGGGGTATCATTTTTTTTCTCGGGCCAACTACTATCAATCGCGTGTTCCGCTCAAAACGGTGACGGATTGGTTCCGTGGAACTCGGTGGAGAGGGAGAGTTTTTCGGGTAGAGAACATTCGGACAATCGTGTGCCCTCGTGCCCTTGGAATTTTACATAATCACCCGGGTACCATCATAAAAGCACCCCTGGATCGCCGACGTCGTTATAAGCGTTTAGGTGGCCAACTATGACGTCGATGTTTTACAATTGAGCTTGATACTCTAGTCGATGTAACTTCTGACGTCGGGTTTTTTCAAAATGTCGAAAATCATAATGTCGAAATTCATAAGCTTGTATTTCCGGTAGAACCCTCCAATCTTAGGCAAAAAAATTTCGATGTGATGATTTTCGACTTTATGATATTTCGGCATTATCAAATTCCGACATTCTGATTTTCGACGTTATGATAGCAATTCTCTGAAGTCGTACCTGCTAGAATTTTGTTGAAAAAGCTAGTGATATACGCTTATTAACTTCCTCTTTTAGTATCAACCAGGGTTGAAAAGCCGCTTCGCGACTTTTCAACCCTGGCCCCGTCTGCCCCCATGATATTCTTGGCTTTACATAATTTTCGCGGATTCGGATGACGAAAAATGAAAAGTTCTCTCTCCGTCCCTTTATATAGGCTACCGCGACTTCCGGTGCATGCTAATTTTATCCTAACAAAGTGGGGTGTCCGATTTTCCATGAAAAACTTAATTTTAATGTCGAAAACAGCATATTTTGTAAAATCTAATATGTGTGCAGTCATCTCCAGCCCATTACGTACCTAATGACGTATCGAACATACCCCTAAGTACTTCCCTTCTTGAGATACTACTGGAACACGGTGACGGAAGTTGCATGCAAATGCACACACACACACACACAAACACTATTTTTTTATATATAGTAGGATACGATCCATACAATAAGACGATCCATCAATCACTGCGTCACGTGCATTTTTTGGATTTTCGACAGTGGCTAAGACGTATTTCGCTCACTACCCGCCTACAAAACACAAAAGTTTTGTGTTTTGTAGGTTACTAGGAACGACAATTTCTAATCTCTTGTGTGCTAGTGTAGGAATACAGACAGTTGCTAGATTTAAGTTGGAGGATTTCCTATATTTTTTTGTTTCCTACGAGTTTTGTAGCGGCGGAACGTTGTAAGATTCTAGCTTCACTTATTAGCTAGTCGTAAAACGCTGAAAATCGCGAAAAATTCAGCAATGGTGGCCGAGACGCTGACGCACGTCGATGGAAACTCGCTGGCTGGCACACCGATTACTTGGGAAATGCTTGAGGTGGTTAACTTTCTCGTTTTTGTAAAACTTAAATTATTTTTTAGTCGGCGTAAGCGCCTATGCGACTGTTCTTTTTCAGCAAGACATCCAGCATCGCTACAAAACGACAGCTGTGACTGGCAAGAAGCGCAGCGCCAAGTTGATGGCCGACGGAAATGTAAGTCAAGTGGATCTACTCTTTAAACTATCACGAACTGATTTGTAACGATTTAGATTATTTTCATCATTTTAGGGCTTTGTCTCGTTCATCGTGCTCGTGGAGTTTGATTGGCTGGGCGGTACGGATGAGCTTCCGGATAAAGCTGTTGTCAAGGTAATTGTTTCGCAAGAAGATGACGCTCTTTTCAGATCACCTCCTGCGAGAAACTGGAGAAGCTCTCCCACGAGATCAGCAGCTTCCCCCAGGAGGCCGAGGTCATCTGGCAGAATTGCAAGGCGGTGCGCTAGTCTTTAGAGGGGTGATGTAGACCTTTAGGCAAACGACAACGAGCTGGATTTCTACCAGCTTTGGGCGCACAACCTCCCGGCCGGCCTGAAAATACCGAAATTCTACTGTGGACGTCATTTTGGGGAAGATGGTGTGGATGCTGGTCAGTTTTTTTTTTGTTTTCAAGCGACAATCAATGGTAAGATTTTACTTTGCCCCCCCCCCTCCCCCACTGCCAGAAGGTCCCAAAGTTTTCGGTATTTTCGATTATTTTGTCGGGATTTTTGCAACGTCATTCGATAGAGCGTCAAAAAATATACTAAGAGTTTTAATTTAAGCCTACAAAATGTAAAATAAAAAAGTTATAGCCAAAACGTTCCGACCGGGGGGGGTAAATAAAGCTTAACCCAATAAATGAAGGATAAAACTTAAATTTTGTAATTTTTAAGGGTATTTCGCCATCGAGCATTTCGACAAGGTGGAATCCCGCCATTTCTACCATAACGTCCAGGAGTCGGCGGTGTTGGAGATTTTGGACCAACTGGCGCTGGTCAACGCGCAGTGTAAGTCGAAAAATACGGTAAAGAAGAGCACCTTGTAGCCCTGCTGCATCCGGAACAGTTTGCGGCGTTCGACAACGAGAATGCGGACCATCTGCACCGGATGTTTGCTTCGTATGAGGTGAGGGTTTGAGATAATTGATTTTCCGGCATGAAAATCAATAAAATTTAAATTTAAAAACTTTTAGGCAGTCACAAAAGCTCTCGATGAAGCTGAAGAAAAGAACCCAAACCTCCTCGACAAACTTCACACGCTCCGAACCCAGACAAAATACTTCGAAACCCTGGAAACATTTCAAGGGCGTCTATCGGAATGCTGTAAGAAATTTTCAACCTATTTTCTGGGCTTAAAACATTTGATGCTGTTGCATTATCGGGGGGGTCCTGATGATCAGTTTTTCAAATAAAAATAGAGGAAGTGCTTCTAAACTGTTTTTTTTCCTATTCCAAAACTAAAAACTTCTAAAAATTTATGAAAAGAACTACAAAAATGGGCGATTTTCGACAAAATTTTGGGTTTTTAGACAGTTTTTCGCTTGGAATAAAATTATATTTTGCGGAAAAACCCTATGAAAAACGTGTTATGAAAAATAGACCCACCCTGATAATGCAAAAGCCCCAAACAATTTTAGAATTTTAGGCAACGGCACAAAAATCTTTTGCCACGGCGACATGTGGCTGGGGAATATGTTGTGGAGGAAGGACGCGGAGACTCAAGATTATTACATGCTCGTCATCATCGACTGGCAGGTTTGTGCAAGTTTTCAAGGTATAAAGCACGTTTTTGAAGCTTTGCAATATGGGCAATCCGATGGAGGACCTTGTGCGCCTATTGACGGCCGTGATTTCGGGCCAGGAATATCAGCGGAGGTTTGTAGAAAATCTGGGCAAAATAAAAATACTGTCATGCTATTACTAGGAATTACTAACTATAAAAAAGATAAAATATTGCTACAAAAACTGGAAACTATTAAAGCTACAAAACCAGTTTCAGAAAAACCTTCTACCTCTCCTATTACTACGACGCGCTGAAGAAACTTGCAGACAACGTCGCACTACCCTGGACGAGTTATGAAGATGTAAGAACAAAGAATTTATATATTTTGACATTTTTTAGTTCGAAAAGAAGTATGAGATGGTGTTCGTCCTGATCTCCGCCATGTTCCAGCCGATGATTATGAACTTTGGGCCGACGTTGTTGAAGACGGTCAAGGACGGTGGGTCAGAAAAAGAATGCATTATATTTTAAGCCATTTCGCAATTTAAAAAAATCTAAAAAACCATATGTTTTTCACTTCAGAAAGCCAACTCGAAATCTGCACCGAGAACTACATGGACAAAGCGAATAATATGCTGGATGAGGCGGTGCACTTGATTAAGAAATGGAACCTGTGATTGTTAAAACTCAATTAAACGTATATATAATAACGATTTCTGAAGTCAAGAATTTATTGGTCAAATTTAGAAGGGGGTTTTCGGGCGCGTCTCCAGCCACTTCTTCAGCGCCGGGATCGCTTGGATGCGATCGCGGTGGGCGAGCAACTGAAAGGATTTTCGGTTCTTTTGCGTTATCGGGGGGGGGGCTTTCCTCTTAGGCTTCAAATTTTCTGATGTAGATAAAGCCGTACTCTTTTTTACTATGAAACGTCAAAAACTACTAAAAACACAAAAAAATAGATTTTTCTATCAAAATTTAAATTTTTTACATGTTTTTCAACGTTTTCTTAATAGTTTTGCTACCTTTTCAGCGCGGAATTCGGGTTTATATTTTGCTACCTACCTCCGGGTACTTGTCCCAGTTGTGCGGCAAGAATTCCTGGAAAGTGGAGACGTGCTCGGCGAGTAGCAGATCAGCGTACGACAGCTTCGAGCCGACCTGAAATGACCGTTACTAAACTGTAAACTAAAGTATGAAAACCATAAACTACAGACCACATTGTCTTTCCAGAAAATTCGAATCAAACCCACCAAAAATCCGCTGGTGCTCTTCTTCAAGAAGTGCTCGATGATCATGGGAATATACTTGTCGCGGGCGGGCTCGTACACCTCTTTGTAGAGCGCATCCTAAAGGGAATTCAAGATCGTTAAATTCATTTAAAGTGATAACCCAAATTAAAAACTAACCTTGTCCCCCGGCACGCGTCCGATCAGCACCGGGAAGAAGTTCTTCTGCTCGGTGAAGTAGTCGGCGAACGTGTCAGCGAGTCCGTCAACTTTGGCCGCGTCAATGTCGTTCTCCCCGGCGTAACCTACGAGTTCTCGGGTTTTTCCAGCGGCAAACAACAAGATTTTTGCTTTTTAAGCATAAATAATTCTGCGATTTGTGAGAATCGATCGATTTTTGGGCCCTTTTTAAGTCCCCCTGCTAACGAACTAGTACCTAAAAGAGTTTAAAAAACTAAAAATTATATTTTAAGAGTATAGAATCCAGTTTCACTAACTAATTTTCGAAAAATGAAGGCTTAACTTCAGTTTACCCCCCAGCCGTCCCCCACCTACCGTATCTCCGCTCCCTGTTCATTTACATGTGTGTAAAGTATACCAAGATACTCGCCAAAGCAAGACGAACATTTTGATATATTTTACACACCTGTAGATGAACAGGGAGCCGAGATACAAAAGTTGGGTGCCGGCTGGGGGGGTAACCTGCACTCTCACCAAAATGAATTTTTGTAAAAATTCCTACTAAAATATATGATTTAGTCATTCAAGTTATTTTCTATAAATTTTGCAAAAACACTTACCAAAACGTCTGGCCAAGAAACGAGCGATGGTGATCGATTGGGCGATAATAACGCCGTCGACTTCGAGGAGCGGCAGCTGCCCGAATGGCGTTGCTAATAAAGACTTCCGAAACTAAAAGATATACTTACATGACTTCAAAGCGGGCCACTCTTCAAATGTAATACGCTTGTCCTCGTACTCAACGCCGGCCAGGGCGAACAGTTGACGAGCAATCTGCGGAAAATCGAAATTAATAGATTCCTCGTTTTTCTATACCTCCGCTCGGCCTTTCAAGCCAAAGTATGTAAGTTTGTAGTGGGGCATTTCTGGAATAAATATATTTAACTTGGTGAAATCATGCTAAAACTCTAACGACGGCCTTGAAAATTGAAAACTGTTTTTGGGGGGCAAAAGAGAGATAAAAGTCGGTTTTTTCGCCAAAAATTTGAGGAAGCAATCGAACTCGATAAATCTCAGCCTTACAGATCGGCAAACTTTTATTTTCAGCGGAAGAACAGAGAGAGATAGCTTGATTTTCTAAGCGGAACAATTTCAAAATTTAAGCTATTAGCAGCAAAAATTACGAAATCTCAACTTTGAAGACGCGAAAGCTTGATTTTTTAGGGGAAAAACGAGATACGTGTTAATTTTCTATCCGGTAAATTTTCGAAACCCAGGCTAGAACAGTAAAAAATTGAGAAATCTTGCTTTTAAAACCTGAACCGAACCTGCTTTTTAGGGAAAACGTAGATAAAGGCATTTTTGATTCGATAACCTTAAAAAAGGTTATAGCCATAAAAAGTGAGAAATATCAACGCTCAAGAAAAGACTAATTTTTAGGCAAAAGCCGAGCTGAGAGTTGTTTTTGAAAATCTCAGCATTTGAAGCCGAGAAAAAGTATGACTTTTATCGAAAAACGGAACGGAATAAACATTTTTTGGTTCGTAAGCTGCGAAATTCAAGCACAAGGTAAGCACAGGTTAGAATCAGAAAGCATGCCATATGGAGAAGCTTTAGAATATATACTTCTTGGCAGTGACGAGAGACGCGTTTCGCGTTGCCCCAAAAATTCATGATAAAACGAAAGCCCCAGGCTTATCGTCAGACTCTAAACACCTCCCCCCGACACTTGCCTGGGCCGCACAGCGATCGAATATACTTTATCGGCTGAGTCAAGAAGGCCGAGGCGTTGAACTTCTTCTCTCCGGTGTTGCTGATGCTCCCCTTATCGGCGGCCATGGTCAGGCTAGAAGACGCAGAAAAGCCACACACGCACGCACGAGCACGAAATCGGCGGATAATATGGGTGACACCGCCGGGTCTCAAGCCTTTACTCAAAGTTTACCCCCATTTCTTGTGGGCCCGCGTTTTGCGCCAATTTGCGCGCGGAGAACAAATAGGCATCCCACATGATCCGCAGCAGGTAGAAGAAGGTGGAGAAGAGGCGAAAGTCCAGCTCGAGTTCAACCCCTGGAAATGCTAACACTGCCCCGCACAATAGGCACGGGCTAAAAACTGATATACAGTTTAGGGTACTGGTCTGATAGCGGGGGGGGGGCGGATGTGCAAGTAACTTACCGTGGCCTAACAACCAGGGCCTCAATTCATGAAAAACTCACCCTTTTTATAGCTTTTACCCATTTTTTGTCATTTAGAGAGCTGGTTCATTATCCGCGGGGGCTAACTTTTCCTAGATTCCTTATGATGACCCCTATGAGGAAAAAACTCATTTTATAGTATTTTACGCCTTTTTAGATATCAAGTCTTTATAAAGAATAATGAAAATTTTTATTTTAGCGTGAGTGAGGGCCCCCCGCTAACGAAATAGAAGGCATTGCAAAAGGTGTATCCTTTTTGGAGATCGGAGTCTACTAAAAACTACATAAAATACACAAAATGTTCTTAATACCCAGGAACCTAAACCCTTTTCGGGTTTCAAGGTGGTTACCAGAGTCGTACCGTTCGGCGTACCGTCACTGCTAAACAAGTACGATTTTCCACTGTCCTTCTATACCTATATTAGCCATTATGATGCATTATTTACCGTTACTACACCGTTATCATCTCCCCTTGATGCTTGCGCTTTGCTTTGCTGTTGCTTTCGAGTGCCCTCTAGAAGAGAAAGCTAACCCTCCAAGAGAGTCCAGAGAAACACGGTTGTTTACGGGGGGACCGAGTTTGCATGCAGATGCCGCTATCCCAAACGGCAGCGCTTTCAAAAGGCGCAACATTTCAAAAAAAAATCATTTCTTACTCCCCTTGAAATGACGGTCACCAAACTTTTGTTTAGGGCCATGTCCACGTACAAGTTGACGTATTTTCCGCTGCGCGCACGTGCTGAGGTTGAGGAATTTTCAAAAATCCAAATGTTATATTTAGGTAGCGCGTCAGTTGTTTGCCCTGGCCGGTCAAAAGTTTGAGGATGTTCGGGTGCCGTTTGAGGATTGGCCTAAGGTGAAGCCGGGTACGTCTTTATTAAATTTTATTGTTTGTATTGAATTCAGAAACCCCATATGGTCAACTCCCGGTTCTGGAAGTCGATGGGAAAACGCTTGCCCAATCTGTGACCATCGCCCGCTTTCTGGCCCGTCGTTTTGGTCAGCCTCCGGGGCCGGCAGCTTTGAAAAAAGCAGGAATTCAGGATACTACGGCGCCGACGAGTTCGAGGCCGCGCAAATCGACGAGTTTGCCGACGCGATGAACGACTACTTCATGGAACAGAAGAACTTCTTCCCCGTTTTGATTGGAAAACAGGTCGGGGACAAGGTAGGAAAGCGAAACGCTCGAAACATCCTCGTTCCTATAGGATCGGCTAAGCCAAGAGCTTTTCGAGCCGGCCAGGGACAAGTTCTTCCCCATCGTCATCGAGCGCTTCCTTCAGAAGAGCAAAAGCGGATTTCTGGTTAGAATATAAAGCCTCAACCCTAGAAACGATTCGCTCTAGGTCGGTGAGAAGCTGTCGTATATCGACCTCGTTCTTGCCGAGCACGTCGACCGATACGGGCATTTCTTGCCACACGCCTGGGACCATTATCCGCAGGTAATTAAACATTTATTGAAATACTTTTATTTTTAGCTCAAACAACACCGCGACAAGATCCAAGCCATCCCAGCCATCAAGAAATGGCTCGAGACGCGGCCCGATGATGCTTTCTGAACTGAAAAATTTTCCGCAATTGGTGTAATAAATTTTTATTTAATGCTATTCTGTAAGAGGGTTACACGAAGAAAACAACCCGATGAGCTCGACGTCTCAGGCCAAAAACGGCCAGAGACCAATGACACAACACACGAGCTGGGACGGGGTTCTGGCACGAGTAGGTGAAACGTTGGTGATCCCGAAAAGTGGGAGGATAAACGATGACAAAGGGGGCTGAAAAGACAAACATGTTTCAATGAATTAGAAGGGACGGGCTTATTATACGTTAACGAATAAAAGCGAGTAAAACGATATTTCAACGAAAGACCCAAAAACACTAAACTAATCGCACATAACACATCGATGGGCACAATCGGAACGGGGTAAATACTGTAAGCACCGGTAACTGCCCAAACGGCAAAAATTAAGCCTTCCAGACCACAATGTAGACACTTCACAGCCCTAGGACAATGACTCTACTCTACAGAAGCGGGTGAGAGGCAAGGGGTGAGCGGGGATGTCACAGAGGTGGGGGTTGGGAATCAATTAACAAACAGTACACAAAGTATACACAAGCGTTGCTGATTATGCCGCAAAAATACGTCTCGTCCAGGGAGGTAAAGAAGGTGCCAGCCACCGGAACCCGGATCGAACTTGAAATTCAAGCAACGCCCGGGCCCCAGCACCCGACACCAACTTCTCTCCCAATTTTGGTTCGAGCATGGTGGTGGCGAAAAGTTGACGCAATTTTTGGGCTCAAAATTAAATAAACTAAGAGAATAAATATAGATATCCAAAAGTCGCGCATAACGTGCAGATAAAGATGTCTGGCCGCAGGGAACTACATTTGGATCCCGGTGTCCGAAGAGGAGGGCGAAGATGGCACACTAAAACCGGGAGCACTGATTTGAAGGAAAGAACTATACCTGTCCGAGCAAGAGTCGAAGCCGCTGTCAGAATTAGACGAATTCCATGGTCCCATCAGCGGGCTCAGTGACAGGCCGAGACGATGCTTCTGACGCGCGGCGAGCACGGCGGCGAATTCCTCTTGCAAGAATAAGCGGTGCACGTTGTTCAGTCGCCCGTAGGTGACGCCGAAGACGAGACGGCAGTCGTCCAGCTAAAAAGAATTTGCAAATAGCTAGCAATATTCCATACCAGCTTCGTAAACAAGTCGAAATACTCGCACAGAGTCAGCATCCCGCTGCGCACCAAGACTAAAAGAATGGATGTCCAAAAAATAACAATATCACTTACGCTCAGCAATAATGATTTGATCCTCGGCAGCCTGGTCGAACTGGAGAACCAAGGCAATATCGGATCTTTCGGAGAGCAAGTCAAACAGACGCTCCCAATACAAGCTGAAAAAAATATCCAGCTGTAGAAGAAATGATACCGATTGACTCTTGTAGCAGCAGCATCACGTTTCAATGACAACAAGAACTCCTGGATCGTCAGCCTAGAAGGAGTTATCGAAAACAACAGGATTATTCACCTTTCTTTTGAGATCTTCAGCGTGAGATCGCTCATCTGCCCTCCGTAGATTACGGTGCGCTCAACAAGATGACACATCGTCTCCGGATCACAGTCAGTAATAGCCATACGGGGTGGGTTCCAGAACATCTACAAGTAAAGATACAATAACACCCAGCAGAAAGCAAGTACCTGATCAAAAAAGTCGTCCTTGGACGAGCAGCGCACAAAATTCACGGCGGTTGCATTGCACTGCGAGATCGGAGCAGTAATGGCTTCAGTTAGTTGGGAGTCCGATATAGTGACTTGATTAATTAATTCCATATCGCAGATCCAATAGAGAAGGCTGGCCCAGTGGACCTCCTAAAACTTCAGATGTATCACAAAAGTTTCGAATACCTTTTTGAAATTGGAGATCTTCAAGGTCGCCGTCGTGGGCAGAAAGGTTTCCAAGATTTGATAAGCATCAAAGATCTAAAGCAAAGTTGTTCTGAAAACAGCCTAAAATCGAACCCTGGTGTGATGGACCTCCAAAAGCGCCTGACCGTTCAGGCCAATCATGACGGTTTCGGGGTTCGGTGTGCCCTGAAAAAAACTTGTAAGAACAAGCTGCGGAGTCATACCTCAATTTCCACAGACTTGAGATAGAAGAGATTTCTGGTGCTCGGAAAAGCCATGCACTTCGCCAGGTCGGCCAAGGTCTAAAGGCGGACATTGGAAAAGGGAAAGGGAACACTTACAGAGTTTTTGGAATTGAGCACCATTGACATCACGTTCAACCAGATGTCTCGTGGAAGTTCAGGCATCTTGGTACCCATGTCTAAACGGACTATTGAGCCGAATAATGCTTATAATAAAAGTTAGGAAGAAATATGAAAGAAAAGAAAAAGAAAAGAGAAGAGAGAAAAGGAACAAAATGCAAAAGTGAATTCCCGAATCGAAAAAAACGAAATGAAAAATTAGTGCGCCTGAAACAGCGCAGACGCGACAGTACTAAAAACGGTCTCCGTCCAGAGTCATGTGGCGGAAATTAAATTTAGATTTTTGAACTCGGCTATAAAAATAAAAATGCTAAACTAACTAACTTTAAAATTTTAATGGATAGTTCTGCAGTTGGATCGTGATTTTGTGTCTGCTCTACTATGAGTGCGTAGCCCACAGATACAAGTGGTCATTTATCATAAAAGCATTAATAATCACAATGATAAATACACAACATTAACCCGCATTAACGAAACAGATCCAGGGATATAGGGAAGGCTTATTCCGTAGAATCCATGTCATCGTCCTCTTCTTGATAGCCAGCTGTTTTCTTGCGCATCGCCGTGGTCATGGCTGTCACGTTGGCGATAGTTCGGTGGAACATCTCCATGCTCTAAAATGGGAACTATAAAAGAAAAACTAGGAAACCGGACCTGTTGAGTATTTCTGATGTAAGTATCTATCCCCTGGAATTGCACGGTGGCGTCTGGGGCCCCGGGGATCACTTTGTCCTTATCGTACATTTTCTCCATTATCAAGCTTTGTTTCTGTGCCTCGACTACTGTCGTCTAAAAAGAACAATATTTATAGGGAGGCTATTTCCTACCAAATTAGCTTCTATCGTGTCCACGATGGCCATGATGTCATCATAGGCACGGGAATAGTCTGCGGTTTTCCCGGTGCGTTCTTTCACGCAACCTGCCAGCTTTTCGCTGTAGACCTGAAAACGAATGTGATGAAAAAAAAGTAGACCCGACCTGAATAGCCGCGCGGAGATCAAAGTCAACTAAGCGGCGTGTCGCCAGCGTAGGATCCTAAATGGAATTAAATAAGTCAATAATAAGACAATACCATAACAATAGGCTGTTCCGCTTCGGTGCTCTTCTCAAAAGCGCGACTCCGCAAATCCTTTTGCACATGATAGAGCATGCTCAACGTAGAGCAGTCCGGGCAATCTGTCATGCCGTGCGTGATGCCCTTTGGATTATGGCCTAAAAGCATATCGGAATCACTAACTTGATTTTTCCATATTTTTACGGCAAAAGCTGCTCACCATATTTACATGTCAAGCCTTCAGTATTTTGGAGGCCGCCTCCAGGTGTGGCCGGAGCAGGAATGGGCTGCTGACCCTGAGACAGGGGTGGGCCCTGGGACATCGGAGGGCCCTGCGAACCAGGTGGACCTTGAGAGCGCGGAGCCTAACAATTTCCCAAATTAGAAATGGCACTATTTACTACCTGCATGCCGGGACCTGTAGATGGAGGGCCTCCCGGGGTATGCATTTGTTGATGCGACTGGGGCGTGTGAACTTGTTGCTGTTGCTGCTGAACAGCGGACACCATTGGGCTCCGGCCGGGTTGGCCTTGTTGAGACATTGGCTGCTGTGATAGGGGTTGGTGCACCTACATAGAAAAGGGGATATAAATATCTATAAAATGAGTTACAGATTGATTGCTCATCGGCTGCAGCATGCCCTGGTTGCTGTGTTGCTGTTGCATCGGTGGGCCGAGGCTGCTCATCTGGGAGCCGGGCATCGGTTGTGATCCCATTTGTGGCGTTCCCTGGCTCATCGGATGCTGAGGTCCAGCGTGGCCTGGCATTTGCTGTTGAGCACCAGGATGAGCGGGCATTTGAGGTTGGGGGCCGGCGTGGGAAGTCATTTGCTGCTGACCAGGGGCAAGATGATGCTGGGATGGTGGATGAAGCTGCTGTTGCTGTTGTTGTGCGGGCCCTTGACCCATCTGAGGGGGGTGCATCTGATCACCCTGCAGCGGATGGAGCTGTTGCTGTTGCTGATGTCCCGGCATTTGTTGCTGAACTCCTCCATGTTGCGGCATTTGCTGTTGGCTCATCTGAAAATTTATTTGTAGTGAAAAACGATTTTTGAACTCCTGAAAATTCATTCAAAAATTGAGACTCACATGTGCTTGTTGTTGCATCTGTTGTTGGCGTTGCTGCTGCAATTGATGCTGGTGCATCTACAAATTCTCACCATCCCCAACTAGCTATCCACAAACCTGTTGTTGCATAGCTGGGTTATTACTCGACATCGTTTGAGGGACATTCGACATTGGCATCGGTTGAGCCATTCCCTGGATTTTGCCCTGAATTCGTCTCCTCTGGGTATTGAAAAATCAACGCACCTTGGCCTGCTTTTGGATGGGTTGTTGCGTGAATTGTGGCCCTCCGGACCCTTGCGCGGCTTGCTGCTGCTGTAGCTGCATTTGCTGTAAATTATAATTTTTCATTTGTCAGTTTCTTGATTGTCTACCTGCTGCGTCATCGGCACGCCGCTCTGCTGCTGTTGTTGCATGGCGTGCATTTGCTAGAAAAGTTAGCAAGTCTTTTATCTTATTTTTACCTGTTGATTCATCATCATTTGCTGTTGCTGTTGGGACATCATCTGCGGGTTGCCGCCCATCATGTTAGGATTGTTGGGGTAGGCGGGCTAAACACAATTTTGGTCCCATTTTCGAAAATTACTCAAGTCTACAAAGCCTGTTTTTAGAGACTATAATCATTATATCCAAAAACCCACACTTGTGTGCATCATCTGGCCCGGCATTTGTTGGTTGGGATATCCTTGTTGCTGCATCCCCATCTAAAGCAACAAAAATAATAACATTTTTGTTAACTTTACCTGATGCTGGCCCATCATCATCCCCTGTTGATAGCCACCACGTCCCATACTGCCTTGTGCTTGCGGGTTTTGGCCCTGGTTTCCGTACATCATCTGGTAAAATAATTATTCGTGTTTCGTAACTAAAAAAACCAAACCTGCTGCTGCCCGTGTGGCTGGACGCCTCCCTGATTCGGGTATTGACCACCGCCCGGTGCCGCCATTATTAGTTGATGTTCTTGGGTTAGTTTTGTGAAATGGAGGTGTTATTGGTTGTGATAGCAGCTGGGAGTGGAGGGCGAACTTCCGGCGTTCGAAGCTTCCCGCCTCGACGGCTAATGCGCGCCCTACACGTACCTTGTAGCCTGTAAGATACGCGGAGCTAGCACCTTTTCGAATTGCATCTGTCTCTAAAAGGTCTTCTAAAACCAATCCCACGTTGCTCCTCTTTGTTTATAAAGATTGTTACATCTTATTGGGGAATCTCGGAAGTATCTTTCGATTGGTATAGCCTCTAGAAAGGCCCCTTACGATATAATAAGAAAATGTAGTTATAGAAAACGGTATTGAAAATTGGATTAGTATATGGGGTATCTTTTCAGGTTTCGTTATTATTTTCATTCGCTACCTTAAAAGGCGTTTACGGTTTACCGTTTACCCATTTATTCCATTTCTATCAGACCAGATAGATCTAGATATTTTGTTGTATTAAATTAATGAATTATGATCAATTAATTCAAAATGATTTTTAGCAACGTTCTTTAAAAAATAAAAACTACAAAACGGCTGTTTCCACTTATTGTTCTTATTTGTAAAATATTCTAAGCGTACGGACAATTTCTAGTAAAAGTATCCCCGCATAGGCTGGCTTGCTTTCTGTGTCTTAGAACATCGTTTTTTTTGTAACTCTATTAGTACTTTTTTACAGCAATGGTCGAAAAGAAGGAGGATCCGAAAAAACGCCGGGGCCGCTCCTCGAGCTCTTCATCCTCATCGTCCAGTTCGGGTTCGAGGTCCGTTTCTACTGGTTTTTTTCAATAATTTCTTCTCCAGCAGCGGCTCATCTCGCTCATCCAGCAGCTCATCGTCTTCGCGTTCTCGATCGCCTGCCAAGTATTTTATATTTGTTTTTACATTCCTTTTCTTTTAGGAATCGTGGTGGACCTCCGGCCCGCCGTCGCTCGCGTTCTGCTTCGCCGAGGCGTAGTGGCCCAGATCGTAAGTTTTGTGTGACAATGCGAGTTATTCTTCCAATTTTGAGGTCGCAACAATGCTCGCTCGCCGATCAGACGTCGTCGCAGCCGCTCGGGATCTGCCCGTCGTCGCTCACCAATTCGTCGTTCGCCCCGTCGCTCATCGCCCAAGAAATCTCCGCGTCGCTCGTCCCCAGCGGCCCCGAGAAAGACGAGCCCGGCTCGTCGCCTCTGCGTTCGACATTTGTCGCGCAACGTTACCAAGGTGTGTTGATTTTAATGAGGCTTTTATCCTTATCTTTAGGAACATTTGGCGGAGATTTTCGGAATCTACGGCGACCTGAAGGCTTGCGAGCTGCCGACTGATCGCCATCAAAATATGGGCCGTGGCTATGGTTATGTGGAGTACGACACGCCGGATGCAGCTGAGAAGGCGCTGAAGCATATGGATGGCGGTCAGATTGATGGACAGGTTGTGTCGGTACGTTTTTTGGCGAGTTTTTCTCGGTAGTTCGTTTCGACGGTGGCTTTTGTTGCGATAAAATACCTTTGTTTCTAGGTTGAAGCTACTCTGGGTCGCCGCGACGATCCACCGCCAAGAGCTCGTAGTCCGGTATCGTGTTTATATTTTTTCTAGGTTACGAGTTGTTTTAGATTCGTCGTCGCAGCCCACCGCCTCGCCGCAGCCCGATTCGTCGATCTCGCTCACCGGCCTACCGCAAGCGCTCACCTCCTGGAGGACCGCGCGGAACCGGCGGAAATACGATCCCTCTTGGGAACAACAGGTATGCTTTTTTAATTACTAGGCTTATCAGCTTTAAAAAAAATTTGGTTTCTTTCTGGTTGTGTTCTTCTTCAAAAACTTGTGTTGGCACGATTTAGACCTCGCCTAAAAGTCAAAACTTCACAACTTTAAACAATACAAAAATTGCGATTTTTTCGACCAGGATCTTTTGAATTTTTCTGAGCTTTCTAAACTGTTTGTTCAGTTGAAGCTAATTGTAAGCTAAGTTAGCTAGCTGCCCACTGTTGCAACGCCAAAACCTTGTTCTTTCAGAATGCGTGGACACCGCAGCAGAAGCCGCTCCTAGACCATGATGCCAAATAACCCGATGCCACACTTCCTCACTTTCCAGGCCTTCCCCCCTAATGTTTTTTCGTCCGGTCTAGCCAAATTCCAATTGTTTCGTTGTTACATATTTTGATCTCTTGATTGCGACGCGAGATGTGTGTTCTGTTATGATAAAGTGGTTCGGATCGGCTGCACTGGTTGTCAAGAGCATCGAAACGCAAGTGGGCACAACACGGAACTTGCGGCTTCAGCCACCGGAGGTGCATTTCAGAATAATCGCCCGTAGCAAAAAGGCTGGGGAGATCGGTGGGGGACTTGTGGAGGAGGGTGGACAATTATAGGGCATACACTAGGGCCTCTTGGCGAGGGAGTGCATATTGTTCTCGGGCTAGAAGCCGAAAACTGGTGCCTTTTTAGTATACTAGTTGGTTGTTGTTGTTTAAGATTTGGGCGGTTGCCAACTTTTTCTGCCACTAAAGCTCGAGCTCTGCGTTGAGCTCCGGTTTTTTTTGAAGGTCGAGTTGGTGTACGCTTTTAAAACCGTTATTCTGGCTTTTTCATAGCAGTGCAAGCGGATTTTCCGGCGTTCGGGATAAATAGGGGGAGTGTTCTAAACAGTTTTTGACTATTCCTGTACATAAAAACTTTGCAGGTTCTTACAATACAAAAAATAGCAAAATTCTGAAATAATTTAAACATTTACTTAGCTTTTTATTTTAGCTAGTTTTCCCCTTGAAAAATATGGTTAAATTTGACTAAGAACGCCATTAAACACCTACTATTGCGTTATTAGGCATTTCTATACGCAGAGAAAAATTTAGTTTTCTCAAAATGTAAAGTAAAATTATTGTGTTCAGAAATAAAAAGGTAGAAATGGTAATTTCGATGTATTTTCGATCCTGTTTTTTTTTCGCCAGATTTTAGTAGTTTTTGATTGCTCGAAAATTATGAAAGTTTTTGCCTTTTTTTAGTTTTGACCCGCATTAGACTGCATTTTTGCGTCCAAAATTTTCGCGCTTATATCATTTTATATGAACTTGTTAGATGTAAAAACTGTTTAAAATGATAGAAAGCGTTTTAATTACATCATTGGACTCGGGATGTCGTACGGGATTCTTAGGTCAAATTAGGTTTCTCCCGCCAACAGTTTGTTTAGCTAAAAACACCTCCCAACTTTGAACGTCGAACAATGGGCTCCGTATTTTTCGTCCAGCTATTTGGGCAATTTTGAGGGGGGGGGAATTGTTGCCAGGGACCAGCTCGCCCGGCCGTACTTCCGAGCCTCTACTTGGCTATAAGCGGGGTGCTGGCAGTATCGACTAGAAGCCCTCGGGTATATTTGGGACATCTATATTCTAAACGCTAGGTGAAGAAAACGTATTCGGATACTGTCTAACTGATCCTGGTAGTAAGCTGCTGTAACGATGATCCGAGCGCATTACGTGAAAAAATTTGCGGATAAGGGCAAGCATAAGCGGCGCGCGAGTCGCAGCAGAAGCCCGCATGATGGGGGTGAGTGCTAGAAAGTTGGAACTTTTGCATTATCGGGGGGGGGGTTCCCTGACGATCCGATTTCCCACGCTATTACACTATTCTTGTACGCTTGGAAGATCTACAAATTTTTGTTACAAAATATACAGATTAGAGATTTTTCGATGAAAAATGGCCGATTCGAAAAAATTGAAACTTTACCTTTTTCGCAATTTTTACAAATACGATCGGCTTAACTGATGCTGAATTTTTATAAAAGCTATTAAGATGTTGGCTATTACATTAATTTGTTTTTCACGCACAGAAAATGCAGATTTGTGACAAAAATAACCGATTGTCGAACATTTTTTTGGATTTTTCTAAAAAAGTTTTCATTTCAAATTTCGCTAATTTTTAGTAAAAAGATTTAAAATACTATAGCACTATGGATACTTCGGAAAAATTCGGCTCCTCTGATAGCCCCCCCCCCCCCCGTTAATGCAAAAGAACCGAGAGCCTTTTGCCGCCTAATATACATACTTGTGTTAAACACATTTTTTGCTATGTTATTCTTATATTTTTCGTTATTTTAAAGCGTCAATCTTCTACTGCTCCATTTTGCGCCCAAAATGGAAAATTTTAGTATCGATAGCGCCCAAAACCGTAAAAACTCATAGGCCACAAAATGCTTTCGTTGGATAACGTAACCTCGCTGGGGTTTTGTAAGTTTTCAAAAAAGGAGAAAAGCAAAAAGCGGAACCTTAAATCAAAATAAATCTAATCTTTTTAGCCGAAAAAACGCGAGGATGGCGGCTGATGCAGAAGGCGTTGCCCAAGATCATCGACTACGGCCGCTCGGAGGGGATTTTGCAGTCGAAGGGCGATGTGGGTTTATTAAAGAAATTAATATTCATAATATAATTAAAGATATTCAATATTAAAAATTGTACTTGCTTCTGAGAAAATGTGGTAATTATGTAACTGAATGCGTTTTTAGGGCGGTACTCCCGGCCTGAACATTACCGGCATTGTGCTACAGGCCACTGAAGAGGCCCACACGGTCAAGGAGCCGAAAAATGGAGATAAAGTATGTGTTGTAGTTAAATTATATATAAATAAGTTTAATCTATAGGTAAACCTGCCTACGAACGATATTACGACAATGCACGAGGCGATACCATTTTTGCCGGTTCCGGTGGCGCTGTTTTGTTTGGTCTTGGTGGGTTAAAAGCCTTACATCTAGCATTGTAAAAAGACACTTTACAAACTAATACTCTAAATATAATAGTTACTATTTACAAACCGTATTTCTATAGAAATTCCTAGAAAATTACTAAAAAACGCGATCTACGCGACGAGATCATTTTTCCGGGTATGGTCATGTCGTTTTGTACTCTCTCTCTCTCTTTTCTCTCTTCAAACTTGTAAACTGTTATTGTAAATTATTACTCTTTAAATTACTACTATAAACTATAACGTTTGCTAACTACAACTTGAATTTCTATAGAAATTTCTAATAAGCAGGAAAAACGGCAAGGCCCTTAATTTGTCCGCGTTTTTTCGCGTTGTTTGGCTGGGTTTCGACCAGTATAACGTTCTGAACTACAGTTAAAAACTACAGTAGCTACATCTGTATGAAATTTATATAATAAATTATGAATCAAACCCATTTTCTATAAAAAAAATACTAAAAATCCCGTCATGCATTTTAGAACATCGTAATCCCCGGCTCGGGCACGATCATTTCTGGTGTCTGCGCGCTGTGCATGGGCCAACCGCGCATTAATATGAAGGAGGGCAGAAAGTTGACCACATTATGTAAGTTTTAAAACGGTAAAAAGGGTAAATATGATTTTTTTAGTAATCAACTTTCTCGTCGGGACCTCCCAGTTCTTCACGATCACCTTTTTCCTGGTCGGTTGGTTCTGGAGTATCGCGTGGGGCGGGTTGCTGATTATACATTCAAGTATGTTGTTTTTAAACATTTTAAACAATCGAAACATAAGCTTATTTGTAAGCTAATGCCCAAATTTAGTGCAATACCGTGACGCCCTACAACAACGCCGACAAGAGGCCGTCGCCACCGCAGCTATTGAAGCGCTGACGAAAGATTCGATTCTCCACCGAAGGGACGTCAAAACCCTCGTCAAAACGCATAAAGAACAGACAAGGATTAATAAATAATAATTGTAACGTAAAAATATATATAAAATTAAACCAATTAACAAAGTTGAACGCTTTCTAAGCGTTCGAAAGCTGTGTTATACGCATAGAATTTTTTTCGTTATGATGTGATTTATTAGCATTTTTGAGCAATGTATATTGAGGAATTACAACTTGAAAATTGGCTCTAAGCCCAGGCATTCTTGAACTGGTCAAAGTAGACGTCGCCCTCGGGGTGATCGCTGTTTTTGACGACGGATTCGGTGGATGGGGAGCGAGGCTGGATGTGGAGGCAGCAGCAGAAGGTATCGGCTAAAAATTAATAGTAAAAAAACTAGAAGAGAGGACAAAAGATTGTGAAGTAGAGATGCTTACATAAAACGGCCAAGAATCGTTCCCGATACCCACGGCTCAAGATGAGGAACATTATTTGGAAGGTGAAGTCGCCACTAGAAAGGAAACAATTCTGTCTCTCTCTCTCTCTCTCTCTCTCTCTCTCTCACCATATCTCGCTCTATCTGTCTCGCTCACTTTCTCTGTCTCTCGCTCTCGCTTTCGCCGTCTCTCCCTCTCTCCCTCTCTCCCTCTCTCCCTCTCTCCCCTCTCTCCCTCTCTCTCCCTCTCTCCCTCTCCCCCCTCTCTCTCGCTCTCTCTCTCTCTCTCTCTCTCTCTCTCTCTCTCTCTCTCCTTTCGTTTTTTTTCTAAAACTCACCCCACAAAAACCAAATCCACCAGCGCCACTGCAGGCGAATAAAAGTCGCCCAGATTCCAGAGTAGGAGCACGAGAGCTTGACACATTAGGCAGAGAATTAGGGTGTTTAGAGCGGTGGAAAAGAAGAGGTAAGTCATCGTCTAAAAATCAAGTAAGTCAAGCCTAAGCCAGCCAAAGCCAAGCCTACCTTGAACGCCCTCATATTCTCCTGGCCCTGAAAGCGGATGCTGAGGCGATATTCTTTGTAGGCCATACTGTCATCAACGGTGACGACTAGCCGATTGCTCAATCGGACCAGGTGGTAGAATAGCTAAATATTTACTCTGAGATTTTTTATTAAGTCAACATTAAAACGTCTTATACGCAAAACATACCCCCGTAAAGATGAGGACCACGGTCAGGAAGCAGTACATGAAGATTTGAGTGGCAACGAGGTCAAAGAGGACTGAAAAATCCGGAATTCTGAGGGTTAAAAAGACTGTAAACAGCTAAAATGCCCAGGTACACGCTAGATAAAGTAATTCAGCGCGACCGCAGCGCTTACGCAACGCGTTTATGTCATAATAGCAGATGTTCTTGCCCTTAACTTACAGTAATGCACCGAGAATCCGTAGCAGAACGTAGCCGAAAAATGGGCGAACGCGATGAAGACCCAAATCCAGGGCCGTGGCTTCTTCTCATAGTCTTTCATGAAGTAGAGGGCTAGTGCGCGTTCCCCGACGAAGCAGGCAAGTAGGAATGTTCTTGATTGAAGCATGGTGCAGCGCAAGAAGGAGCACGACAACAGGAACAGGTCCAGCGGCCAGCAGACTGGAAAAAATATGATATGTTAATGGAAATGATCAGCAAAAAGGATTTCATAAAGTTTTTTTTGCAACTTTTACTTACGCTTATTTACTACTGACAAAAAATACAGCCACTTTTTTGCTAAAAATATACAAAAATTGATTTTTCTACCAATTTTTCCACTTTTACAATTTTTTAAAAGGGCTGCCGACGGCATGTGTCGATCCCCCCTCATCAACAAATTGGCAAGTAGCCAACAGGGGAGAGAGCGCGCCCAGGGGAGAGGCGCAGAGACATTTTCTTTCCCGCGCGTAATCGATTGACTATGCCGTCGGCATCCCTTTAAGCTTTCAGAGAATTTTTCCCTTGAAATGCAATTAGGTTTTACTAAAAATAAGCTTAAATAACTTTGGAGTACGTTTCTAGACTTAGTGAAGTACACCCCCCCCGATACTGCGAAAGCCCCAAAAAAGTGAAATGTTTATTTTAGGTGAGCTCCTAAAATGTCAAAAACTCACCCAACGTCGGGATATACTTCAGCTGAACCAGAATTAAAAAGAACTGCGAGGCGTTCATCGCGTTTTCCATGATAGTTGCGTACTGCCAAAGACGTAGCATATTTCGATGGAGGGACCCGGAGCGGAGCTGGGCTTGTAGGGCGACCGTCTTGACGAGGATGGACAGGAGGATGACGGTCACTTCGAGGATAAGCATTGCGTAGTATTCGGTGATGACGCCTGCTGGGACCCAATCAATATCAACCAGGATGAAGAGGTAGATGGTACGATTAAAAAGGCGTACTTCCATCTGGAAATTGGAGATAAGAGTAGGCTTAGGATTCAGTGGAAACGACCGTAGGCTTGGCTGAGGCTTGGCTTAGGTTTGGGTTAGACTTAGCCTAGGATTGGCTTAGGCATGACTTAGGCATGGCTTAGGCTGGGCTTAGGCTTGGCTTAGGCTTGTTTTGGGCTTGGCTTAGGCATGGCTTAACAAACGAGCTGGAAAAACCTTAAAAGTGTAAATAACGTACCATTTTGCCTAAAATAAGCCTTGCGAACAACACCGGTTTTGCGAAACTAACCTTGTGGACTTGTAAACTAGCCGCAAAAACAGATCGACGCCAGCGCCCCCGTTAAACGTTATTAGGTTGGTTAGTGGAACGGGGCTTGGATTGGTCATTGAGCTGGCCCGCCGGCCGATCGGAAATTATCCTGACGGCATTTTTCCTAGCGGTGGTTTTTTTCGGGCGATGCAAAGGCAGAATCTTCAGGAAATTCGCAGTTTTATCAAATTTTTGAAAAAAACAGAGAGATAAGGTAGGAACCTCGCGGAGACATGGTGGAATTTCGGACAACGCTCGCGGCTACCCCCGGGTAATCGGCCATTGCGATCACGATGCGCTTGTCAGATTTTTCTAAATAGACCTGTGGACAGAGATACAGCACTTCCGGAAAATGCTGATTTACATGCAAAAAATTTGCATAGAAGGATGGTTTATGAGGCTCTCCCCCTCACTATGGAATCACCAGTTGAATCGCCGAGTGATAAGCGGCGCGTTTAATAAGATTCTAACGAGGGTTCGAGTCCGCTCACGATTTTTTGTTTTTGCTTTTTGCCAGAGATTTTTGTACAAGGTTCTATGTTACTAGTAATAGCCCGAAATCCCTAATGTTTAGCCATTAAAGACCAAAACAATCGAAAAATGAAAATCAGTTCTGCCGGCTAGACTTCCTACACTTGACCATCTGCAAAAATGAAAAATTTTACAAGAATAATTTTTTGACCACGTAACGTCGACAACTGTCATAAAATTTAGAAGTACTTTAGCCCGTATGATTTTGGACTTGTACAAAAATCTCCGGCAAAAAGTAAAAACAAAAAATCGTGAGCGGATTCGAACCCTCGTTAGAATCCTATCAAGCAAGTCCCTTACCACTCGGCCATTCAACTGGTGATTCCATAGTGATGGGAGAGCCTCATAAACCATCCTTCTATGCAAATTTTTTTGCATGTAAATCAGCATTTTCCGGAAGTGCTGTATCTCTGTCCACAGGTCTATTTAGAAAAATCTGACAAGCGCATCGTGATCGCAATGGCCGATTACCCGGGGGTAGCCGCGAGCGTTGTCCGAAATTCCACCATGTCTCCGCGAGGTTCCCTTGTTAGGATTGGCTTAAGATTGGCTTAGGATTGGCTTACTGTAAAGTGTTTTTACTCAAGCTGGTGTTCTAGAATGGGACCAAGCCTATCTTGTTCAGAATTTTTTGCTGATTCCGAATCCGTTTTCCAAATTTGCTGCGGACCTCGCGTTGAAAAGTCATTTGGGGTCTAAATTATGCTTAAAAACGGCATAAATTCGGATACTGGCCCACTATTCCCTGCCTGGGTCCAGTTATTGTTGTGCCCCTTATCTACCCTCCCGAAGCCCCGTTCCTAGTTGACACCATGGTGCATTGGTAAACTGTTCGCTTGCCAAGCAGAGCGCGACGGTTCGAACCCCGCTCTGCACAATTTCTTTTGCTTTTTGCACAAGAACAAATGATTTTTGCATAAAATCGCGCTTTGACGTCTAAAACCATTACCGAGCCAGTTTTAACGTCGGAGGTGACGACGACTTAAAAAATAACGCAAAAAAATCCAGATTTAGTCAATTTTTTTAGTATAAGTGCCGAATAATTTTATTAAATAAAGGTCGGCAGCAAATTTGGAAATCAGCTTCTGAATCAGCGAAAAATTCTGCACAAGATAGGCTTGGTCTCATTCTAAAACGCCAGCCTGAGTAAAAACACTTTACAGTTTGGCTTGGCTTAAGCTAGGCGTAGGCTTGGCTTACGCTTGGCTTAGCTTAGTATTAAGCTTAGATTCCTTACCCTAGCGACACCAGTGATATCACCAACTTCAGCGTTCATAGTTCGGAGTTTTCGGTAAATTTTGAAACTTGCCAGTGTAGCTTTTGACCGGGCCCTTGCTCATAATTGGAGCGTGAGAGCGTCATTGCACCAAAGAAGAGTATAAACATTAAGTTTCTCCCTCAATCACGCGCCCCGCCTTGCCCAAAAATTACTCGTGCTCAATTTACCGCGGTCAATTCAAGGGGGCTCTCACCATTTTGTGGTCGTCTGGGAATGTGTAGCCTCGGGTTTTGGCCGTTTTGGTGTTTTTCTCAGCGTTTGCGTTTCAAATAGCGCCCATTCTGGGTGCACGCAGCAGTTCATAAAAAAGTACGTGCCGAAATGGAATGAATTTCGAGGGGGAAAAGCGCCTTGTTTTTCGGCCTAGGGATTGAAATTAGTGGATTCGGGGTTGCGTATGGAATTTGAGGGTTCTTGCGCATTATCGGGGGGGGGGGCAGTTTAGCAAAGGATCAACTTTTTTCTTTGGTATTCGTTCTTTTATATAGATAGCGGAAGTGTTTCCAATTTTTTTTAATATTTCTAAACTTAAAAACCTAACAAAATTTGTTGAAAAAAAATTAAAAAATAGCGATTTTTTTCAAAAAATCTAGCTTTTAAAAGTTTTAAAATAGTTTTTCTATTAAAAATTTAGTTAATTTTTACGAAAAACATTAGTAAAATACTTGATCTGAAGTTGCTAGAATTTATTATTATTATTTTTTGCTTTCTGCAAAAAACTAGGCTTTGCGCGCCGCCCCCCCGCTACTGCAAAAGCACCGATTCGAGCGTCAAAGTGACGGATTTGAGAAAAATTTCATCGAAAACCGAATAAAAATCCATATTTTGTAAGCTAAGTATGCCACAAATTTTATATTTTGTCACAATACGAAGCAATTCTTTTAGTTTTAATAAAATTAAATTTTAAATGCCTTTCAAAACCAGCCCAAACCACCGAAGCGAGGAAAAGACCAATTGGCCGGTCAAAAACGACAAAAACAACGATACTTAGCGCCGCAGCGCCACAAATTGCATATTTTGGCGGGCTAGCCGGCCGGTTGAAACCGACAATAAACCGGATTTCGGCATTTCGGAAGTGATTTTAGGACATGGCGTAATTCTAGGGTATGGGACCGAAATCGGTCACTTTCATTTTTGAAGACTACCGTGGTTGCGCCCAAAAATTAGCAGGTATTAGTGGGTGGGTATTTTTGGGGCCATTTTCGCGGGTTGGTACTTGTATTGGCCACTTCAAATCTCGAAAAAATCGATGTAGAGGTTAGTGAAAATCCATAAAAATATTTTTAAGGATTGAAAGTTGAAAAATCTTAGCCAACCCGCAATTTGTGTTTTCTAAAAAACACCATGTAATTACCGCAACCTTCAAAAAGGTGGGCAAAAAATGGAGACAAAGCTCCTTGCTCGTTAGGATTTAGCTTGAATTTAGACGCTACCGCGATAAGCCAGGTGGCGCAACGGTGCGTAGGCCACAACCGCCCATGGGTTCGGTCCAGATGGTTCAAGGGAAAGGGCGTACTGTACGTGTTTTTCGCGCGTTGCGTGCGGGTGCGCGGAATAGCAAGCGGTTTTTAGCTGCGCGGGCCTGCTTTCGCAATTGCGCGACGCGTCTATCGCACGCGTTGCGGTCTTCCAAAGTTACCGGACGTTTTATTAGGAGCCGGGCCGCCGTGAGGCTGAAGGCGATGCAAAGAAACGTAAAGGGAAGTTGAAGCAACGCGACGCAACGCAAAGTCACGCAACCGCAGCGTACCGTAACCCGACGAAACGGAAAGGGCACCAAAATCCCGGCAACTGAAATCCCGGCTCACAAAATCCCGACAACCGAAATTGCGACAACCAAAATCCAGACCGACCAAAACCCCGACATGGAAAATAGCTGTTTAAATGAAACGGCATCAACGATAGCGTCAATTTTGGTTGTCGGGATTTTGGCACATCGGGATTTTGACACGTCGGCATTATGGCTGTCGAGATTTTGACCTGTCGTGATTCCACCGCGCCAGGATTCTGGCTGTCGGGGTTTTGGCCTGTCGGAATTCTACCTATCGTGGTTTTTGGCTGTCGGCATTTGGGCCGTCGGGATTATGGTTTTCGAGATCTTGGTTGACGGTATTTTGGCGGGAATTCACAATAACCATAAAAACATTACTTTGTTTTGCCCATTCCTCCAAAACCAATTTTTGAACTTACCATCTTTCAAAAGGTCGGACAGGTGCAAGAGATCTAGATTAAAAAATCCCGAAACGAGAATAGTTCTGGAATTGGATTTTGCAAAAACAGGTTAAGCCCCGGCGCTACTGGTACAGGTGGAATCCTACTATATATAAAAAAATAGTGTCTGTGTGTGTGTGTGTGTGCCACTTTGCATCCACTTCCGTATCGTTGTTCCAGTAGTATCTCTATAGGGGAAGAAGTTAGGGTTGGGTACGATACGTCATTAGGTGCGTAATGGTCTAGGGATGACTGCCCACATATCAGATTTATAAAAATCAGCAATTTTCGATATTAAATTTAAGTTTTTGTAAAACCCTCTTCGTTAGGAGTAATTAGCATAAATCGGAAGTGGGCGGTCGCCTATATAACGGGTCAGAAGCGAATCATTTTCATTTTTTTCATCTGAATTCAGTTCAATTATGCAAAGCGTAGAACAGCATGCGGTCCAAGACGGGGCCAGGGTTGAAAAGTCGCGAAGCGGCTTTTCAACCCTGGTTAAACATAAAATTAGTGAGGATTCCCGGAAAACAGGGGGGGAAGTGCTAATTGGTGTATTTACATGGTCAGAGCAGAGGGTCCCCTCTCTAGGGAGTTGTGGAATACCGTAATCAGAATATTTTGAAACAGGTTTTTGGTAATAAAATTCAGTGTTTTCTGGCGACGTAGTTGACCCGTAAATTGCGGTTGAAATTAGGATCTAGACGCAAAAAATGGTATTTTTAAAGGGACTCGGAAGTCTTGTTTGGGTTAATGGCACTGGACTTTTATCGGGGGGAGGGGGATAATTTTCCCTTAGTAAACCTGTGCGGCCCTATAACAAAATATGCACTATTTTGAAAGAATTTTACAAGTTTTTAGATCTAAATCATATCTAAAATTATACCAAAAATTATTCGGAAGTTTTTGGCTTTTTTAACAAAAATGTATGAAAAATGACCAAAAATTGTCAAATTGCGCAAATTTTGGAGATTTTAAACCCATTTTATAACTTCCTAGCAACGAAAAACCATCAAAAACGCTATAAAAATACAATTTTGTTAACATTAAAGGCAGAAAAATCAACATAAGCTCGCCCCGCCCCCGCTAACAGTCCAGTGCCAAAAAACTCGCAGTAATTTCGGAGATAACTAGAATTTGGTGCCTATGCAGTAGATATTTCCATTTCCATCCGCTTCAACACGCCCCCTTTTGCGGAAGATAATTGATTTAAAACCTGGAAAATTGCAGGTTGGCACGGAATGCGGCAAGTACGGATGGCCTACCCATCGAGAGAGGGGCCATAATTTAATAGAAATTATTTGGGATACGGTAATCGTCACAGAGTTCTCGGACAAAGTGATGGGTTGGGAATTAAAAAAAATAGCATGGCATAATTTTTTATAAGCCGCTGATTCACGCATTGAAGGAACCGGCAACGCAGAAAAATTCATTAAAGAGGCGGGATCGTCTCTAGGGATTCTGTTGTCTATGGATTTTGCCGTTACAGCGACACGCGACGCGCGAGCCTCATCGCTGGTAAATTGGCGTAATCGATTCCGTAAGGTAAAAGCGCGGGTAGCTGGTGCGTGTGGCGGTGGAATCACGTAACGTGTTGGACGCCCTCCTTTGCCAAAAAGGGCGAGAAACCGGAAAAAACGATAGTTTACAAGGTAGGCACAAAATACAGGTGTCCAGGGGAGCACAGCGTAGTCGTTGCTAGCTACGCAGCACTGCAATTTACGCCTGAATTAGGTGCTGTCACCGCATAGTATCGACTTGGAGTGATGTAAAATCTTCTAAACTACTTAAAGCATTTTAATGGTTTTATTTTAGGGTTTTACGATTTAAAAGTTCAATCTACTTTTGAGGTGCATACCATTCTCCTTATTATTGTTTTCGAAGCATTTTTAGAGGGTTTATTTACAATTTAAGGTGTAAACGGTTTTGTACAGTATTTTTCCTCATTTAATTCTTCTAAAAACCCTGATTCTCTTTTTCTTTTAGTTTTTCCAATTTTCTAATCAGCTACACCCTAGTTTTGTCATTCTGCAGGTTTTTACACACCCAGACAAAACCTATCGAAATCTTGGGAATTCGGGCAAAACATTTTCCATCGTTTTTCATGTCGGAAACAACATGCAACTTTCACGTCTATTTTATGGGATTGCGTGGGTGGGGCGATCAGTACTCGTTCTGTGGAATAGGACAGACCCCCGGCTAGGGGCACAACCACAAAATAAATCTTCGAGAAGGAGGGGTGGGTGACGCGCACCACAAAAATCTTAGAAATGGGGAAAGAAACTTCTGCACTTTCCACTAGACGCAGGGGTCACAGTATAGTTGCGTAGCCCCCGTCTTTGCGCGCCTTGAAATTTTTCGGAAACTCACGCCCTTTCTCGGGAAAATTCTTTAAAATGGGGGTGGGGGCCTGTTTTTATAGCACACCATCTGGCATACTATCAACTCCATTCTCATTCCCGTTAGGTTTATTTTAAAGTAGCAATTAAGTTTTGTCCAAGCTCCTCAGCTTTAATTCTTGGCAAATAGCCAGATTCTTGCGCAACGACGTCACCGCGCGTGTATTCTAGCCCTTGGTTAAACGTGAAAACGCCGCAATTTCAAAATTATGACATAATTTATGGCATCCTAACGTAATTTTAATAATTCTAGCCTTTTGAATTTTTTAAATGGTTTTTTCTTCGCCTTTTTCGCAACGAAACATGTTTCTGATGCTTTTCGACAGTAACGTCAAGTTTTTTTTGCACGAGGGTTCGCTGCCTAAAAATGTAAATTTTGACATCACAGTAAAAAATCCATAGCCAACAAAATCCCTTTGACGGTCCCCTTAAAGACTCTGGTAACTCAGAAAATAAATCTGAACTGATCAGCCTCCACCCAACTAAACGTAACGCTCACACTCGAAGATACGTTTCGTAATCGATTACGTCAGCTTAATCGTGCTGCTACATGCTAGTGACGTGTTTCTCGTATTTTTTTTCGTCGACATCCATAAAAAATCAATATTAAAAATCAAGAACCGCTTCTGTAAAGTCCCTTTAAAATCGAGCTCCGCTGATCTGTAGTGAGCTCGACTGATTTTGGGTAGACATTCGCTGGTATTACACAAAATCCACCCCACGGGATCACCCTCTTTTTGCGGCTGGAGTCGATTAAAAGACATGCCAGACATAAAAGGAGACCCCCGTCTTGTGTTGCCCATGTTTGGGGGTTGCCAATTTTGTGGGGGTCGGGTCGGATGGGTGGCTGTGGTTGTGAGCACGAGCCTTGAGAAGAATTGGAACCAGTTCACCCCCGCAGCCCCAGCAGGAAGTAGCCATAAACGAGCAGCATGGTTTGCGGGCTTCGTCTTCAATATTAGAATCCGTATTGTACACTTTTGGTAATGCAAAATAGCTTCTTTCGCATTTTTCGTCAAACTTCTACTTTTTCATCCTTTCTTTGGTTTTTAATCTGCGTGATTTAACATTTTTAATAAATCAGGCAGCGCCTTCCGACGTGTACAATGCGTAAAATTTAGGCCTTAAGGGTATACTTTGCAAAAACAACAATAAAACACTGAAAACGGCAGTGTTCTAGCATCTTTTTTCCGCCAAATTAGTTAATTCGATTGTCCCTCTTAGCTAGGTTGTACTGGTTGTGTCTTGTTTACTCGCAATAACAATGTTTGTCGAAGAAAATATGCTATTTTTCGGCTATTTTTGACTACTTTTCTTTAATTAAAAAATAAATTATTGTTAAAATTTTTGGTGTCAAATTTATGCGCTTTTCTAAGTTGTTAAAACGCAGGTAAAAATCCTAGATTCTATGGAAGCAAGTTTCCCTTTTTTATTTTCGGGTTTTTACTCTCGAAATTCCAATTTTTTGATTTTTTTTCTTGACTGGAATTACAAAATTTTGCAAATTTTGTGATTTTGATTATTTGAAAGTTGTGTTCGAAGAGCTTTTTGGCATTTTATAAGCCTATTGTTTAATTTAGATAACTTTCGCTGGAAATGGGTAAAATCGGGACCGGAGGCGCCAAAGAAATCGGAAAACAACCGGGGTTGCAAGGAGCAGATCAAATCCGGCTTAACGGTTTCCTTGCTTGCCCTTTCCATCCCTTCCTGGCTGCTATTTCAGGTTTTGCCCTGACCACTTGAAATCACTATCCCGGTGAATCAGTCGAGAACTTCCCCCCAAACCCCCTGCAGCTTCCAGCTTGAGCCCTAGATTCATGCATTCAAGTCAACTTTTCTCCATTGAAAACGTGTTCGCAACTTTTCCGTTTTCCCTTTTTTAACTCGTGTGAATCCATATGAAAGGCGTCCGGTCACTACCCCGAAAGTCATTACCCCGAAAAGTCACTACCCCGAAAGTCACTACCCCGAAAGTCACTACTCCGAAAGTCACTACCCCGAAAAGTCACTACCTCGAAAGTCACTACTCCGAAAGTCACTAACCCGAAAGTCACTACCCCGAAAAGTCATTACCCCGAAATCGTTTACCCCGAAAAATGATAGCATTGTTTTTCTCGGAAAAATCCAGTTTTCATGCGGATTTCCTATGAAAATCATGCAAATTATTTCGGGATAGTGACTTTTCGGGGTAGTGACTTTTCGGGGTAATGACTTTTCGGGGTAATGACTTTTCGGGGTAGTGACTTTACCCCCATCTGAAAAAAATCTCCTACCAGATTTCCAGAGAAACAGAAAAATTTGCGATCTCTCAATTCTACAAATTTTGGATGCATGCCAACGGTTTTACGGTACTGGACTGTTAGCGAGGGGGACTTTAGCGGCGGGTGAGCCAATTTTCCCCATTTTTCCTGTACGGCCTCATAACAAAATATAAACCAATTTTGGAAAGGTTATTCGACGGTTTTGGGATCTGAAAAACACATCAAAAACCATAAAATGTGCGCACGTTTCGATTTTTTGGCAAAAAAAGTGTTTGGAAAATGGCCAGAACGGGTAAAAATAAAAAAATGTTTTTAAAACTTTGTAGCAATGCAAAGCTATTAAGCGCACCATAAAAATATGTTATGTATTATCAATAGCTAGGTAGAAATCCTCCCCCCGCTAATGTCCTAGTACCCAACCCGGCAACCCGATCCCATTAGAAACCCCGAAAATTTTTTGAGAATTCCTATGAGAATTCGATTAAAATTTGCATTTTAGGTGTGGCTCAATTTTTTTGTTTTTATAACTTTACGGTTTTTACTAAAAAAAGGAGAGCCTGTGAAACGACAAACCTGTATCCAACATAGCAATAACTTACTAAATTATGAGGAAAAGTCAGCTCTCCCCCCCGGTAACAGTTTAGTACCTCAAAAATGAGCATACCAGCTTTTTCCGGCTGGTACTTTGCAGGCGCGCCCGTTCTGGTTTTTCAAGACAATGAGTGCGAAAGGATTTCCTCGACCTAACAGAGCAAAAGGCAATTCCAGGAATCCCCCCCCGTTTACGGACGTTCCGTCCCGAAAGCGCGCGGAATAGATGGCACCGATTCCGGACATCGGGGCAGCAGCAGCAGCGGAGATGGGAATCGCCCTCCCTCCCGCCCCAATACTTTCTCCTCCCCCTCCACCCTCACCATTCCACTCCATCTTCGAGCCATACCAACAGATTATTGCCATGTTGCTCTGGATACCATATTGCTATGTTGGATACAGGTTTGTCGTTTTTTACAGGGGGTTTAATGGCTTAATAAAATACCCGGTTAGTGTGCGCCTACCGTAGTCTCCTGGAAACCCAAAAATAGATCGAAACCGTGGGTTTTCCAGTTTTTCGAGTCTTTTTTAGGTCCCACACGGAAAATGGAATTTTTTTTGGTTGTTTTAAAGGGACTGGCAAGCCACTGGGTTGCTCAGGAATTTAGTAAGCTTTATGTAAATATTGCAAAATCTTTTCGGATTTTAGTTACGTTTCATGTCTAGTTTTAGTTTTTGGTTTTTTCTGGCGTGGTTTTTAGGCGTCTACACGGACCTGAAAGTTATCTGGTTACTGTAGAATTAACGTATGCATCTTGAAACGGCTGAAAAATGGAAAATACCTAATTACCAAAAAAATGAAAATAAAAGTTTAGTTCCCCGATTAAAATTTTTTTGGGATTACAAAATTCCACTTTTTAGATTTCTATCTGTATGCTAAAATACGCCTACTATCATCTAAACCTCAAATTTAGCGCTGACCAGGCGGCGGCGCCAAGTCGGGGACGTTCAAGGTTGCGCATTACGTGACTCGGCATTCGTTAAACTGCAGAGTTCAGGGTCTCGAAATCCTTAATGCAAATTAGAAACCTGTTTTATTGGCGCGCTCCTGTCACAATCGGCATTAAATTTATACAGAAATTTCCGATTTTCCGATTCAAAACAGCCGGTACTAATATGCGAGTTTCAAAGCGTATTACTTATCAAGTATTTTCAACGATTATGGTTGTGCCGAAAAACCCGCCAATCCCCTGTTATGGCAAAGCAAACAAACCGCCACCGGCTCACTCAAACCGAACCGGTTTCGGCACAATGCCGCCGTTCCGCGCCAATCCGCAATCACTCCTTGTATAGACGAGTTTTTTCTGAAGCGCGTAAACATAACTAGACTTGGGTTCTAAGCGGATCAACTCCGACTGTTAGCTGGGCCTTCACGGCTACACCATGCTCCAAAATACGCAGTTTTTTTGGTAGCGGCGGGACTTGAGACCGTGCGCGGTTTTGTCGTTTTGCGTAGCGGCGGCATCTGACTTGCGAACCCCTTTAATCCACCCTATTTTTCCAGAATAATCCGCACTGCCATCGCCCTCCTCGAGGCCATCTTCGTCTACCTCATCGCCCCGATTTTCTACAAGCCCAATTTGCGGAAATATGAGCACCGATGGACGCGTAAGGTTTTAAATCAAATTCTCCACTGATTTCTGACCCGCCCAATTTCTGTTCTACCCGAATTTCCGGGGGCCAGCGAAACGTGGCAAACCTGTTTTATCACTTTTTTGTCTTGTTTCCTTTCCAAATTACGGCCGGCACTTTTTTCCTGGACCGCAATTTCACGGTCTATTTCATGGTTTCAAAAAGGAACTGGACTTTCTCGAAATAGACTGAAATATATCGGTCGCAAAAGGGATGAAAGTCTATGATTTTAGATTTGGATCATAAACTCTGTAAAATGTAATGTTTAGTGGTGTCCGGCGGAACGGATGGCATTGGAAAAGCGTATATGACGGAGCTGGCAAAGCGGGGGATGCGGAAATTTGTCGTGATTGGCCGGAATAAGGAGAAGCTGAAGAATGTCCAAGACTTTTTAGGTAGGGGTGAGAGAGAGATATAGATAGAGATAGAGAGAGAGAGTGAGAGAGAGTGAGCGAGAGATAAAGAGAGTGAGAGAGAGAAAGAGAGAGTGAGAGAGAATGAGAGAGAGAGAGTGAGATAGTGAGAGAGAGAGTGAAAGAGAGGTAGAGAGAGTAATTATATACACTTTTTAGAACTCACCCACAAATGTCGCGTCAAAACGATCCTGTTCGACTTTGAGACAGGTGACTACGAGAAGCTCCGCCACGAAATTGACACTCTGGATATTGGCTTTGTCGGTATGTCATAGTAGGCCTCAAAAATACAATTTTAAATTTAGTAAACAGTGTCGGTGTCGGCCGAGAAAATCTCGAGCGTTATGGTGACAACCCGAAGGCGGATCGACAGATTTTGCGTGTCAATGGCCTTGGAAGTGCTGAGGTAATACGCAGAATCTTTCTAGAAAATTACTGTCATGACGTATCCATCTCTCAATTTCACCGCGTAATCGGTTTATACTAAGCTGATTTAATGTCGTAATCGGTTTATGCTAGATTTATTTCATGTCGTAATCGATGAACTCTTCTTTTTCAGTTCCTCTCCCTCGTCCTCCCGACGATGGAACGACATGGCGGTGGACAAATCGTCGTCTTGTCGTCCAGGTAAGACTTTCAGTTTTTACGGGAAGCGCGACAGGTCCAAGAAATTGCAAACCAGCTTTCTTAAATTAATCGAAATTAAACTTAATGTTTTTCAGCCAAGGCTACCACCCGATTCCACTACTCGCGGCCTACTGTGCTTCAAAGGTAAGCTAATGAGTTGAAAGAAATCGTTGTGGTGTGTACTGCAACGTACCATGGCGTGCCAGAGCATGCGTAGCGGAAAACAGCAGAGTGTATGGTAGCGTAGGGTGTTGTACAACGCAGCGTAACGCAACGTAACAAACCTTGGACGTAGCGTAACGTGGTGTAGCGCACTATAGCGTAAAGTAGCGTAGCGTATGGTAGCGTACCTAAGCGTAAGGTGTGGTACTGCAGTTAGGCGTATGGAAATCTGGCGTACTGTAGTTTGTAGTTTGTAGTCTGGTACACTAGCTCAATGTATCATCGTAAGATGTCGTAACCTCGCGCATGCATCATATCGCGGCGTATCGTAACGGATTCCTTCGTAGGGGGTTGGAGCGTCGCGAAACGTACTACATACTACAGCGTGCCGTAGTATGCATCAGATTCAATTTATTAACTAGTTCATGTATCGTAGCCAACTACAAACTCCAAGCTATAAATGCCCTTTTCTAGGCAGTAATGTCCTTCCTTTCGGAGTGCATCGACCGCGAGTACAAGACGATTTCCGTGCAATACCTGACGCCGGCCTTGGTGGCCACAAAAATGGTCTACTACTCGGTAGTTGTATTTTCTGTAGCTTTAGCCAAGTACCGTACCCAATACCGTATTCCTTTTTGCAGAAAGGCGGCCTCTTTGTCGTGCTCCCCGAAAAATTCGCGCATCAAGCCGTGAACACCGTCGGGCTCGTCAAGGTGACGTCCGGATGTTTCAATCATGAGATCCAGGTAAAAAATCTTGGCAAATTGGGCAAACTAGCATCGACCATTTGTTTTGATCAAGCTTTAATGATAAAACTGTCTAGTGTAGAAGCTTTGAGATGTAGCAAGCTAGCAGATACTCTTTGAGAAAAAGCTAATATGTTAAAGATAGCTATCAGAGACACCTCAGGATTAAAAAAAAATAAATCCGAAGGGTATTTTGCAAGGTTTATTTGAGAAATAGAGGGTTCAGCTGTCATCCCTGAACGTCTTGAACATGTTTTACAGATGCTAATCCGGCACATCTTCCCCTGGAGCATCCTCAAATACCTCATCATGCCCGTGTACTATTACCATCGCCATAGGTTGGTTTGGGGGATATCAGAGATTATGGGGTAGGTAGACTTAAAGACGTTTTTCTGGAATTCTTTTGCTAATTGGGACAGAAAACCGAAAAACCAGCAACCAGCTAGTGGGCAACATAGCAGAGTTTCTTTGACGAATGCCCTTTGATCATACGAAGTTAAGGATGACCCGCTACCACGCCGAGCAGAAATTCAAAGAATCGTACACGAAACCGCCACTCCTCAATTCGCAAGGTAAGAATACTGCGTTTCTTACCTTTTTGTACCAGAGAATTCCTAAGCCAAGTTTTTAAAGCCTTTTTGCCAAAGATCTGTTTAAAAACACATTTTTCAGCAGCAGCAGCCCAACGTGGAAGTGCATGAGAAACGGGAATTCTTAAATATTTAATCGTTTATACAATATAATTGCATTTTCGCTAATAAATATTTGCTTGTGCCTATTTGGGCTGAACGGCCAGACGGAACGTGCGGATTTGTTGTGGCTTGAGGGTGACTTGCGTGGTGACTAAACGGGATTGGGCTTGAGTAGAAGCTAGCCTACCGCCCATTGTGAGATTCCGATTTGCGCCCAGGTACAGCTCCTGAACGCTCTGGATTTTGAAGCCGGTGAAGAGATTCTGAAAAAAGAAGGCATTCGGCAAGCGAGATAGAGAGAGAGCGAGAGAGAGAAAGGGAGTGAGCGCCAGCTCCCAGATTTTTCTGGGCCACCGCCACCAATTAGCCAGACTCACCCCAAAATCGACAGTAGCCGCTTGGGAGAGCTGAGAATCCTCATTTGACTGGAAGATGTGCTCGAGTCTGAGCAACACCTCATTGCCCCTCTTCTCAAGCGTCAACAAGTTCACATTGTTCGGTAGCGAGGCCGTCAAGCCGGAATACTAGAATACGGATTTTAAAAAAATTAAATTCCTACTTTTGTCTTGTACTGGCTACGGTAGCCGGCAGGATCGGCGACCGTAGCGTAGGCGGCGATCGGGCGGTGGAACATCTCGACGGCCATCGGACGGTGAATAGCTGCTTGGGTCTGGGAATGGCAGCATTTTAAAGGCACAGGCAAGTAGGGATGATGATGCAAAAATCAATAAGGAATGAATACTTACAATTATTCAAAAGCTGTATCGTCTTAAAGTACCTAAAAGACCTTAAAATCGAAATCCTGCATTCCCAACCCCTTTAAACACTCACCGCGGCGTCGCCGATGAGTAGCCAGTGCTGTCCACGGACAACCAGTCCCTTGCCGTCTTTTCCGGGCTCGTCGAGCGCTTCTGACACCCCAAAGTGATCGTCGTAGAAGCAACGGCGGTGCAGCTGAAAATGCAATTTTCGGTGTACGGGTTGCGGTCACGGTGCGTCTACCAACGCCCCAAAAACTCACCATAAGCTCAATAGCGCCATCCTTGGAGGTACCACCCTGGGACCTGTCGGTAAGGACCGTCATTTGGCTCTTGGTGTCCTTGATGAAGATGCGGTTCGTGACCGGGTAGTAATTTCCGGAAACCGGCTCGCTGTCCTCGTATTGGAACATTGGGTAAGAGTCCCAGCTGGAAGGAGTAGAATGAGGAAGTTAGACAGTGAGAGAAAAAGAGAGAGAGCGAGAGAGAGAGAGTTAGAGAGAGATGAAGAGAGAGAGGGCGAGAGAGAGAGAGAGAGCGCGATGAGAGAGAACGACATAAAGATACACACGTCCTCTTCAAAACCTGTCGACCACTCGAGTCTGTGTAGAAAATTCCATTCCCAGCAATTTCCGAGGTATATCGAGTGATGAACTCCTTGCCGACGGGGTTACTGTAGAAGAAGTACATTTAAATACCCTTAACGGATACCTTCCCTCCTTTGGCAATGGCCCGATCACCCAGTCGAACTCGATCTGCGGTTTCCCAGCGTACAACCGCACTGTTTGGTACACAAAGTCGTTGACCTTTTGGCGAACTTCTTGGACAAGTGGGCCCTGGAAAATCTCTCTCTCTCTCTCTCTCGCTCTCTCTCTCTCTCTCGCACTCTCCCTCTCCAACCTACCTGAACCGCCGATATCGCCACCACAGTGCCCAAACTCTTCGCCGTCTGCGTCAACGGCCTGAAGACATACGCCCCGGAGGGTTGGCCGTTGTTTCCCATGCTCTAATGGCCGATACAACTTTTTCAAGGCGTTCAAACCTCGTAGTAGAAGAATTCTTGCCGCAGATTTCGGCGAACACCAGTTTTCTTGTCGAGAACGGAGGACAAGAAGCCATTAGTATCAAATTGGAGTTTAACAAACTTAAAAGAACTCGTTTTCGGGAAATTGAAGAGGTACAAACCTCGTTTTCAATAGCGGCCGCGTCGAATTGGTTGGGTTGGGTGACTGTTTCTGGGACGGCAGCAAGAGGGGGAAGTGGTCTGAAATAAGAGTCTCTCTCCTCTCTCTCTCTCACTCTCTCTCTCTCTCTCTCTCACCTTCCAGTCAGCCCACTGCCCGAGACGAAGAACGTCTTGAATCCGGCGGGGCCGAGCTGGACGGGAATGAACAACTCGTAAGGGGCAGCATCCGGAGAGGACAGTGTCGGGATGGACTGCACCGCGGTCACCTACATCGGAAATTTAGATTTAATTTTAATATATTTACTTTCGACTACAAACTAGAAAAGACTACAAACCGACCTGGACCTGTATGGCCGTGCCGGTATCGTCTTGGACCGAGGCAACAGGGTGGTAGAAAGGGACGCGTACGAAGGAGCTCATCGCCTTTCCGACCGGGTTGAAGATGCTGACTGCATAGGAGCCGGAAGCTCTAAAAATAAGAAATCGCTCGTGCTCACTCGCTCTCTCTCCCTCTCTCTGTCGCACTCTCTCTTTTCCCTTACTTGCTAACATCACATATCGTTTCATTACTCAACAGACATAGCACATGTTTCGGTGGAGCCGCACCGCCGGAAGCGCTCTTCAGCGCGTCGTTGATCAGAACCTTTAAAGGGAACGTGACAGCAGCGCGAAATTTCACAAACCTCTAGCTGTCGGATACCCTTATCAAGTCGTTGGGCATAGTCGTAGGTGACCACTTGCTTGGCCGTGCCACTGATATTTAACTATCATATAGATTTTCACGCTTTTCAGGCATTTTCACGCGAATTACGCTTGAACGCGTTGAGGACGTTGCCGGGATAAACGTGACACGAAGCGCGCCCCTACGAGTACAACACGCGCCCTATGACTTACGTGACAGCATCGTGGTGCTGGACAAGACCGCTGGCCCGCTTGGCAATTTCAAGGGCGGGGCCGTCGTCAAGGAGGAAATTGGCTGATAGCTGCTTGGCTAGCTGCAAAAATTGGATATAATGATCGTACTTTACGGGTTCCTAAATTTTCCATGATATAAACAACAACTATACAATGGAGGCTACAAACTACAGCAACGAAAAGAAGACTGCAACCAAAGTTCCAAAAATTTGACCATAAGATTGTCATCAACAGCCCTAAAAGCGAAGTCTACAAGCTACAGGCTACAAACTACAACTATTACGTACAGACTATAAATTACAACTAGCGACTGCGGACTACAAACTACAAAAAATAAATTTGCTCCTAAAACTGCAAGCGACAACTTTTAAAGAAGTCTAGCCCACACCCAAGAACGAAGACTACAAACTACAACTAAAACGCAGACTACAAAGTCTATTACTGTATAAAATTCTGACTCAAAATTATACGTGAACCTACATTCAAATAGGAGCTAGCTTGACGAATCATGCCCTTAAAGGTCGGCCGGGAGGTGAAGTAACCCGTCCAGAAGCTGTGATCACCGGAGGCGTACCTAAATTATTTAACTTTTGTCAGATTATAATGCCTAATATCTACAGTAATTTTAGCCTTCCACATTCCTTTAAAATCGACTTACGGGAAAAAGTCGTCCTGTTTTGGCTGGAAAATCGAGCCGGTTGATTGCAGGGCAGCCGCGTAGCAGGCTGGCGTTGAATATTGCACATTCAGGCCCATGGCTGGCTAAAATCGAGGCAACTGATTGCTCGACTTTTCCATTTTTGCCTTCCTAGCCCCTTTAAAGAAACCTCCAGTAGATCCTCACATTAGCATTGATGTATTTGATCAAGATGTCAAGGTTCTTGAACCACTTGCCGGCCGACTGGTACTGGAAATCGTCGCCCATCGTCAGCATCACGTTGTTGGTGCGGTAGTGGGAGGCCTAGAAAAATAGAAATAAAATTAGCGTATTAAAAAAATTATAGTTTTCAAGCCTCCTACCTGATCTTTGACTTTATCCATAAATTCACGGGCTCGCCGATCGATATTACCATCCTAAAATAATTTTTGAGATTTTTAGGGTATGCTTTACCGATTTGGTTTATTTAAGCTAATCCATTTAATGCTTAAATATACATAAATTGACGCTTACATTCAATTCCTCGTCGTTGCATCCGGTATCAAAGCAAAAGCCCGACAAAGGGCTGTAGTGGTTGAAGAAGGAACCGCCCAGGATTGTCGTTTCTGAAAATATTGTGAAATCTCTCTTTCTCTCTTACTCTCTCTATCTCTCTTTTTCTGCCTCTCTCTCACTCTCCCTCTGACTCTCTCTCTTACTCTCCTTCTTTCTTCGACTAGCTCTACTTACTCAAATCATCGCTTCCGACCCAGTTGAACTCGATGTTTTTCTGGGTATGACGCTGGGATCGGTCCAAATAGTGAAGTCGAGCAAACCACAGCGACGTCATGCCCATCTGAATTTGAAAAATAGAAACTCTATGTCTGATTTTATCCTTAATCTGGAGTTTTTGTTTTGAAAACGTAAATTGATGGTCTCGAGGTTAATTTTGACGCTTTTTCCTACAAACCTGTGCTGCCAAGCTTGCGTATTCGCGGCTATGCCCGAAGGGGTCAATCTGCCAGGCGGCCCTCGGGGCTCCACATTCTCCAAAAAGTGTTGACAAGTGCTCATATCTAAAAAATAAGTTTATGCAGCTTCTAGGGCTTGATCGGCTTCAGAAGCTTGAAAACGACCCGAAGGTGAGCTTCGATGGCTTCACGTCTTTATGAGCTTCGAAAACTTAAGCTCGCTAAGCCTCACCCTAGGGTCATGTGGTCGATGATATCAACGTAGTGAGAAGCAGCTTCATCGTTCTGGACCCAGCCACCGCCGATCAGCTCGGCTTGGCCGTTTTGGACCACTTTTTGGAGACGTGCGACCGTACTGGCATTCCGGCTTTCCACCCAGCGCATCAGGAATCCCGTTTCGGCAAAGGAGAAGCTGAAAAAAAGCATTTTGAAAGGCGTTCATTCATGCTCTCTCTCCCTCTCTCGCTCCCGCTCTCTCGCTTTCTCTTTAACTAACCGTCGGCTCGGATCCTTCTCCAACTCGGCCACCACGCTGTCGTAAATGTGCTGAACTTCTGGAAAAACCGTAAACCAAGATCTAGAGCTTTCGAAATTTACAAAAAAAATGATTCCTTAAAGTGCACGTTCAGGCACGTTGAACGTATATTGCCTATTGACACCTGCGTCTCCTTCTTTTCCCAGTCTCTCGGCGTCAATAGGCAATATACGTTCAATATAAATATACGTCCCTGAACGTGCGCTTTAAGCAGTAGCGTACCGGAAAACCGTACCCCTATCATAATACTGATCCACCGTAATCAACCATCCCAAATCGTCGTGACTATGCGTCACCAGATGGACGTTCAGCACATTTTTGTCGTTGGAATTGGGGTTGCAATTCTAAAAAAAGTTCAATTTAAGGGCTTTTCCCGCTTAACAACCATTTGAAAATAAGCCATATTAATTTAAAAACAAGAGTCCTTAAACCGCCTATCCGGGGTTTTTTTTTTGATGACAAAAACCCACATCCCAAGCGCATTTCCCGGCCACAGTACCCGTGTAGAGCAATAGAAGAATTGCCCAAGTTTTCATCTCTAAAAAAACATTGTTATTTATATCTATTTTACGGAATCTAGACAAATTCTAGTAACAATCTGAGGGTCACCACGTGTCCGCGACCCAGCCCCCGGCCACCGACCTTTATATGGCCTTATCTGCAATTCTGAATCGGGAGTTGTAAGATAAAAGTGGAGAATGCCGGAGAGGGAGAGAGTGAGAGAGAGAGAGAGAGAGAGAGAGAGAGAGAGAGAGAGAGCGAGACTCCAGAGGGCATTCCACAGACCACTCCTGTTTGGCTGCTCCGAAAAATGCAGCAGCCAAGCCAAGGTTGGAAGGTACACGGGGCACAAAAGAGCAGATTTCGTGAATTCACAACAATTGAGAAGCTCGAAGGTTTCAGAAGAGCAGAAAGCTATAAAAAATCCGATCTACGGTTTCAAACGGGGCGCGGGCAAGGTGTTGACAGGTTCGAGGCGGAGTCGTGCTTTAAGTTAATGTGAGAGTTAATCTCCGATTTTGCGTATTTAAGAAGTCTCCCGTCACGATGAGATACCGCGGTTGCTACCGTCCACTACTATTCCATTGCGGCATACTTTGCAAACCCCTAAATTCATGTTTTTTTTTTTGAAGTTTTGTTATCACATGTGTTAGAGCTAAAATTTCTGAATAAAATCGATTTGAAAAAATATGGATGATTTTTTTGGGCCCGGGGCTTGAGCAACGGTTACGCAGAGGCGCATATGCGCAGATGTGAAATCGCGTGTCCTATGTTTTTGGACAGATGCGATATCTGTTGGTGTCGCAGTTTGAAATCCAGCCACTCTTTTCTTCAAATAACCGTCTCTACGAGCCAATTAAAGGGTCACGCTGCGTTCTATGGCCACTCCTTCCCCGTTGTAGTACCTTAGGAATTGTTTTCCCAGGCTTTCTACAGCATTTTTCTTCTGTGTCTGATTTTTCCTTGTTCTGTTAGCTGTTTATGTTTTGCCATCCTCGTATGCCGGCGCAGACTATATTCACAATTTTTTCTAATTGACAAATTCGCAATTTCAAAATTCCTATCCTCAAAGCCCCACTCCACTTTAGCGTATTTATTGGACGCCCGGCAAAAAAAATTCAAAATCCAGCTAATCGCACCCCCATTCCCTGCCCCTCAATTGCGCCCTTTTTGGATGCAAAGCGAACGGCGCGAGAGCGAGTTTTGTGGCGTGCACGCGCGCGCCCGGGCCCCCATTCAGCCCTGCAGCTGATCCGCGCCGGTGGCTATCTGGCCGGCGATTTTGTGGGCATTGCCACACGGCGGGAACCGGTAGCCCATTATGGTGTCGGTCTCTCTGTCTGTCGTTCTCACTCTCTCTCCCTCTCCCTCGTCTCGCTCTCTCTCTCTCTCTCTCTCTCTATCTCTCTGCCATCCCGTAAAAAAGTGTATATACACAAACGACATAGAGGGGAGGGGCGGCGTTTAGCAGATCAACGGCATGAAATATGTCAATCGGGCTCGAGCGAGTCATAGGGTCGAGTATGGAAACGTACTCGAGACCCTCGATTTTTGGGGCGTTACGGGACCCACCTGGGGACAAAGGGTTTCAGGTATTTGTTGAGGACCGTTACCCAAAAAATGCGAATTTTGGATTCACTTTATCTCTCTCTCTCTCTATCTGGCTCTCTCGCTCTCTCTCTCTCGCTCTCTATCGCTCTTTATCGCTCGCTCGTTTTCGGTGAATCACCAAATTGTTGACACCTAGCATGACGTACCCTCACCGAATTCCCATATGTTGACAATCCGATTACCCCAGGGATTTATGCCACCCACGGGTCTGATTTTTTGTTCAGCTCTTGCTCACTCTCGCTCTTTGGTTCTCACTGTTTTTCGCTCTGGCTATAGCTCTCCATCACTCTCTCACTCTCGCACTCTCACGTTCTCACGCACGCTCACGCTCCTTCTCTCTCGCTCTCTCTCTCTCTCTCTCTCTCTCGCTGACCCACAACTATACCTATATTTTAATTTTCAAGCGTGTCTGAAAGTTTCAGTTCCACTTCGTTCCCAAGTACGTCATATTATTCAATACTTTTTTGGTTTAGACGCTAGACTCCCAAAACTAGACAGCGGTGGCCCGGTCGTTGTGTTTATTTCTCGCCCCCATCCACTGGGAACTCCGATGCGGTGGCGCTCGTGTTGGACGCTGATTTTGATATCGATATTTTTGTGCGTGGGGGGTGAAGAGGCGGAAAAGAGGTAAGAGAAAGTTATATGGATAAAAAATTGCTACAACGTTTTAAACAAAAAAAAACCCGAAAATACGGAAAATTCCAGGCGTTACACCGCTCTAAAATTCTAACGTTTCAAGAAATGGTTTTGTCAGTTCTCAGTTTTTTAAGCTTTGTGTGGCATGAGTGGTTGAAATACCTTGAAAAATACAAACTTTACCTCACTACTCTTCCGACATTTTTCAGTCTAACCCTGACCGAACTGCTCCGTCTCGAGCCCGGCGCCCGACTCCTCGCCGAAAACCTCACCATCATCCTCCCGCAGAAGAAATTCGCAAATGGCACCGCCAGGACAAAGTCGCGGGTCTTTTCCGTCCAGAATCTCAACGTCACCAGCGACGTCAGGGGCCAGATCTTCGGTAGATTAGCTCAAATTCTGACTAGTCAGTTTTATTTAAGTTTTGGGCGTCGGTTAAAGGGCCATTGAAGGCAAAAATCCGCAACTTGCAGATGATCAAAAGCAGAAGGAGTCAAATGGATTGGCGCGTTCGATCAATCCCGCCCTCGACCCGTGCCAGAATTTCTACGAATTCGTGTGTTCGGGGTGGAAGGAGGAGAATCCTCTTGGGGATTCAGAGCTGTCTGTATCTGCAACGGATATAATTACTCAAAATGTTAATTATGAATATCAAGGTAAGAGAGAGAGAACGATAGAGAGAGAGAGAGAGAGAGAGAGAGAGAGAGAAAGAGACAGAGAGAGGAGAGAGAAAGTGAGAATGACGCAGAGAGACAGAGAGGGAGAGAGCACGAGCGCGAGAAAGAGCGAGAGCTATCTAACAAATATCCTTCAATAACTGCCTCAAATTCCAGAGCTCTTCGACGAGCCCCGCTTCTTCAAGCAGTCCAGGGAACGCTGGTTGATGTACAACTTCTACGAGAAGTGCATCGACCGCGAGGCCCAAGAGCGCCTCAAATCCAAGCCGCTATTTGATATGCTCAGGCTAGTCCCGATATCCCAAAAAACCGGAAAGCGACTTTTAGAAAAATCCGCGCAGCCCGGTTACCGTATTTAACCGACTACCTGATCTTCAGCTACCCAGCCACGCTATTTTTCGATGCGGCCGTGGTGCCGGACTTGTTCAACTCGACGCGAAACGTGTTGAACGTGGGTTTAAATGGGTGGTGACGCGGCGGCGGAATTGAATTAATCTGGCCTTAGCTTGCACGCGTCCCGCCAGGAACCACTGCTAGCTTGCTTAGATCAGCGCGCAAGGAATCCTTGCTAGCCTGCCCAGTTCCATCGCACAAAGGGTCTCGGCTAGCATGCCCAGTTTCAAAAATCTCTACTACCGCTGTCGCCTTACCAACTGATAGCCGCCTCGAGTTTTTCCCAAAAACCTCTGCTTGCCTGCCCAAAAACTATGAAATCTGTTTTCTTTCAGATTGCCCCCCAACCACCACTCCTCAACTATCAATACTACACGGCGCCAATATTCGAGGTAATACCAATTATTCAATTTTTTAAGGGAATTTTAGAGTCAACTCGGCGAGGCGCGCACATTTTTTAAGAAGATCTTCCAATTGTTGGCCGACGACGACGAGCAGGGCGAATTTATTCACGCCGACGGCATCAACCGGAGTGTGGCTAACTTTTTCTACGTCGACAAGAAGTTGGCCGAGGTGGGAGAAAAGGAGGAAAGAGAGAGAGAGAGAGATAGAGAGAGAAAGAGAGCGAGAGAGAGAGCGCGAGAGAGTGAGAGAAAAAGACAGAGAATGAGACAGAAAGATCGAGATAGCCCGAGCGAGTGAGTGAGACATTGAGAGATATGGAGAGAGGGGGAGAGAGAGAGAGAGAGAGAGAGAGAGAGAGAGAGAGAGAGAGAAGAGAGAGCGAGAGAGCGAGAGAGCGAGAGAGCGAGAGAGCGAGATACGACCCATGAGAGACTTCCAAAAACCATTGAACGGTTGTTTTTTTAGATTTCCTCCCGTTTCAACGCCGACAACAAGACCGACTTGACAGTACGCCTCGACGAGCTGTCCGATTCGATCAATACGGTAATCAATAAACCCATTTTATGCTCGATAACCCCCTTGTTTTCAGATCAATTTCACGCGCTACTTCCGTGCCATCGTCCCGAAAGATATGGCAGAGGTGGTTGACATTGATGCATACCCCGTCCGGATCGAGAATTATGGGGCTGTGAAGCTGGTCGACGAATTTCTGGCTGCGATCCCCAATCAAACACTACTCGATTATCAGGAGGGAAAGGTAGGGAGGGAGGTGTAGCCGAGAGCCTTTAGGAAATCAAGCGTTACCCAGCTTCCCTTCCCCATCCCCTGTAAACCACTCAATTTCAGCTGATCCTCGGCATGCTTCCCTTCCTGGACCAACGATTCCGGGATGCGTACAATGTACGTTTACGGAATTTTCGGTATTTATGAAGTGTGTTTTTAGGAATTCAACCTACGCATCTACGGCGTAGTCACCGAAGAAAATGTCGAGGCCGACTGCCTCAGCGAGGCCACCCAAATCTTCCAGGACCTCGCCAGTGTGATTTACATTGAACAGTGAGTATTCTCTCCCTTAAATTCGGGTCTTACTGTTGCTTCCCCTTGAAATTCAAGTTTTTATCTAGTCCTATTTCCAGCAAATTTTCGCAAAAAATCGTGGATGAGGTGGGGGCGATGATGCAGAATATCAAGGCTGCTTTTCTGGAAATTTTGGAAGAGACGACGTGGATGGATGAGAAAACGAAATCGGCGGCTAGGGTTAAGGTATAGGGTTTTTCTCTGTACCCTCTCGCTTGCACGCTCGCTCTCTATCTCACTCTCTCTCTCTCTCTCCCTCTCTCTCTCTCTCTCTCGCTCTCTCTCTGTCTTGCTCTATCTCTCTCACCCGCGCTCTCTTTCGCTCTCTCACTCGCTCTCTCCCGCACGCTCTCTCTCACCCATACCCTATAATCTCAGGCCAATGCCATCACCAACTTCATCGGCTTCAACCCGATCATCTTCAACCAGACGGCCACCGCCGAGAAGTACGAGACTGTACGCGTTTTATGGAGGAATTTTATAGTTTTTCGTGTTTTAGCTGGACTACTCGAGCTCACAGACGCTGCTCCAGATCACCCAGGCGATAGCGCGGTGGAACGCCGACCGGAATTTCCGGCAGCTGCTCCGGACGAATGCGAACGATTCGTTTGACTTCTTGGCGAGCGAGACGAACGCGTACTATGACCCGAATTTAAATATGATGGGTGGGTGGATACGATTTAATAGAACCTGAAAATACCACATTCAGCTCTCCTTGCCGGTATCCTCCAATCCCCATTCTACGACATCACATTCCCGAGAATACAAAATTACGGCTCCATTGGCCTTGTGATCGGCCATGAGTTAACGCACGGCTTTGATAACTACGGTAGGGGTACGGTAATTAGCTTAAAGTTTAACCATCAGGCTCTCAATTCGATGAAAAGGGGAACAAGAAAAACTGGTGGGACGCGACTACGCTGAAAAACTATGAACAGACAAAAAAGTGCTTCATAGAGCAGTATGGGAATGTGACGGTCGAACCGCTGGAGATGAAGGTGAGTGGGGATTTGGCTGGCTAAGGATTTTTCTCAACGCTACGCGAGTGTTCGAAACGCTACGCCGTTACATAAATATCGTAATCGGTTACACCGTTAAAATTCATTGCATAGTTGCCTTGCACTTCCTTTTAAGATGCCCATTAATGCATCGATTTAGATCGACGGCTACAAAACCCTCGGAGAAAACATCGCCGACAACGGGGGCTTACGCGCCGCGCTAAGAGCGGCTGAAAAACTCGTCCGCGCTGGCCAAGTTGAACCCCAGAAGATCCCGCCCGAGCTGAAGAAGTACAGCCCAATCCAGATCTTCTTCATGAGCTCGGCTTATGTAAGTTCAGGGGAAGAACACGTCAAAAATTTCGTAGTGAAAACCTTACGCTATAATTACCTACAGGCATGGTGCGGAAATTGGCGGAACGAGACACTTTTGACGGACCTCGTCGAAGATGTGCACAGTCCAGCGGCCGCACGCGTAAATATCGTCCTCGGGAATGCCCCGGAATTTGCCGTCGCCTTCGGCTGCCCAAATAACTCACCAATGGTCAACAAGAAGCAGTGCCGGTTGTGGTGATTTCAAGAACGTCAATTTTTAGACCGTTTTTTCCTTTTTTTCCTGGCCAGAAATGCTTTAAAATGAATATTTTTTACAACCTTAACTTATTAAACGCTAATTATATAAAAAACGGTCTATTAAAACAATTTAAGTAAAAACATTTGTTTTCTAAAGCATTTCTGACCGGGAATTAGAGGTAAAAAAAACTACTAGGTATGTACAGATCATTCTTTTTATTGTGATAAAGCTATTTATTCTCTTATCATCTATTTTTGTTGCTTTCATATTAAACCGACATTAAAATTCACATTTTTATAACTGGAGAGATCAATTACGCGCGCCAAAAGTTTTGCTTGTCCAGCTCGGCGGCAAGCGCTTCGACGGCCAGCTTCACCTCATCCGGGGTCTCGTCGCCTTCGCAGATCGTGACAACGATTGCTAAATTGTGTATTTTATAAGCTAAAAAAGTTGTATTGTTAAAATTAAGCCTTTAAAGAGCCGTATAATTAAAATTACCTTTCTCAGCCCTAGCTAAATAGATGGCATCGCCTTTGTCGGAGACCCCAGAAGCGGTAGTGGGCAGCTGGATGGTAAATTGAAGCCCATCCAGACCCATCGCACTATCCCCGGACGCCGCCTTTTGACTAACATGCCCCAGTGACGTTGCTAAGGCTTTTAGCTCTTCCTTGGTACCCTAAAATGTATATATTTACATTGCGTTTGGAAAGAATTGCGTAAAGAGTACATAACTTACGCCAAAACCGCCGGCGTCCACTACCAAAGACCCCTCAGGAACACCGATGATCGCAGCTTTCTAGTGGAAAACAAGTTATATTTTAAAAGCATTCAAACATGCATAAAAATAATCAAATTATAGACTACCTTAACTAATGGAGATACAGCTTTTAACGCCCGAATTCGTCCCAGCCATGTCAGCTCGTCAAATTGCTGTAAAAGTAACATATAATACATACAAAAAAAACTGAAAATAAACGTTGTTCCGCCTCTTAAGATTACTTTTTAATTAGCGCTAAATTATTATTAAATTTGGCGCAGAAAACTAGACTCGTGTCGGCTAAAATTCAAGCCTAAAACTCACCGCCACGACAATCTGCAAGCAAACAAAAATAAGTACAAAACGCGTGATGGTGAATCGGTTGACCATTGCCTCGGCTAACAATACAACAATATCCTAGCTAGAAATGGACTGCTGCCCCCCGAGATATGCCCGCCCCGAATCGAGGAGCCGATTGATAAAAAGCGAAAAGAAGATGGACACACCTTTCTCACCCTTCTTTCGTTCACTCACTGTTCCCCAACAACCTCGACAAGACTTTCTACGATTCTCCAAATTTGGTGTCTCGTCGCCTCGGTGGTTGCCAAGGTTTGGTCGTGGAAAAGTGAAACGTAAAACCGGGCGGATTGACCTTGAAACCTTGGATACGGCGCTGGGCCTGTGGTCACTGATCCGAAAGAGGCGTGAATCCCCGGAATTTGTTTCCATCCAACGTTTCGTGTAATTGAAAATATTTCAACCACTGCTGGTCCTGTCGGGAATTACGCAAAAATCCGAAACGCCGAACGTCCGTTCCGCGCGATTCCAAATGACGGGCCTGGACCGCAGCGGGAACGCGCGGTGCGGGACTCGTCGTCATTTGGAATCTCGCGCAATCGAAAAACGAAACGGACGATTTCAACAGTTTACAATATAAGGCTCTTACCAGAGAGAAAATTTTAAGTTGTTGTATATATTTTGTTATTTTATGACTTTTAAGCTTGCAAATATGGGCAAAAATTGAAATTTGAAACGCTATAGCTTTCTAAAACGAGCTAGTTCGCAAAAATCGGAAGCGAATTCGGAATCAGCGAAAAAATTTGTACAAAAAAGGGTGGGGCCCCATCCCGAAATGACACCTCAACCTTAGGCGCTTCCCTTGTAAGAAAATTACATTTTCAAGGGTGTCCTTTCCAGGAAAAGCACTATTTAGAGGGTCTTTTCCATTTCTTTTCCATTGCCCTTGCCAGCTTGAACAGATTTACCAAAAATTGCGTTTTAGTTTAGCGTTAATACAGTAATTTGTACACCGCACGCCTATCGACGATAGGGCCGGGGCCTTTGTTTACATTACGTCTCGCCCCCGATTTTGCTGCGGCAAAAGGCAAAACTATTTTTAAATTTTTGCAAGTGTTTTTACCCATATGACCCCCTAATTTCGATTCTTTAACGGTAATCCATATTTAACGATCCTTTCACGCGCCTCTAATGACATCCCCATTCATTTCGCGCGCCGAATTGCGATGAAAAGAGTTTTTTTACAGGGGCCCCTTAATAACGCGTTAACTTCTATAACTTTTCTTTCTGTAAACCTTTCACAAATATGGTCTTTAGATGCCCAAAGAAGACGGAGACCCGCAGAACAAGCTGGTAATTATTTTTCGACCCTGCAAGTATTTTCTTGTAGACCGCACATAAGAAGAGGCAGCAGGAGGCTGCTGCCGCCGAGGTCGCTGAGGCAGCTCGTAAAAGGATGGAGGAGAAAAACGCGTTGAAGAAACTAATGTGAGCCACTTTTGGAAGTTGTTTTTCAGTTTCCACCCTTGTACTCCCTAATTTATTTTTGAATTCAGGGATCAACGTAAACTTCGAGATGCCCAACATCAACAAGCCATGCATGCGACTCCGGCCCCGGCAGAGAAGAAGCAAGAGGTATGCTTTTTCGGGTCTCTTTTCAAATGGAACTTTTAGACCGTAAGGGACCCCTTTTCCTCCATTCTCGGAACGGAAAATTGTAGGTTATTATTCTTTGGATCGAATCAAATTTTAGATCATCTCTTGGCCAAAGCAGCCGACCTCAAGAACCTGAAAGGCACCCTGAATGGGTTTGAGGTACTTGCCAGACACTTTCAAAGATTTTCTTTAGGCGTCTCTGTGTGGTTCGAACAGCTACTCGATGTATGATTCTTTCCGGCGAGCCATCTCGGATGTTAGCGAGCACGTCAAGAAAAGCGACCAGCCGCTGGACTCCGATTCGTTACTGTCGATGGTACTCTCAGATCTTTTTGCTAAGCTTGTTTTAGTTTTTGGCGTGGATTGCGCGTGCAGCCGGCTGCAGGATCAACGCATTGCTGCCCCCTGGAGAAGTGTTTCCTGAAGCTGAAGCGTATGTTTTTTAAGGAAAATAACTTGTTTTTAGTTATTTACTGAACTTGCGACAAGCTGGGCTTCCTCAAGTTTATAACGACAGCGAACGACCGAAAAATGTTTCTTCGAAACGGCGACAGACAGTGCCTGATGAACCGACACTCCAGGAAGAGATACAGCGTAATGTAATGCAATATACAACTTTTCATCATAAATGGGGCTTTTGCATGATCAGGGGGCTATTTTTTTGCCTGTAAGCCCAATTCCGCCTGTATTTTGATAAAAAAGGTGTTTGATTGTGCTTATCATGGAATTTAGCTATATTTCCGGCCAAAAAAATCGAGCAAGGCTAGAAAGATCTTTAAAATATAGGCATTCCGATATTGCGAATGAACCCAAACATTTTAGGTGAGGAACACGATGGATATGTTGACCGCATACAACCTCGAGGATCTGAAGCCCCCTCAGGCGGCCCTTCTCTTGTTCGCCCTGTGTCGACAAGGCCTTTCGAACTGCGAGCATCTGAAGCTGATTGGGGTCGTCGAGAAAGTAAATTTACACATCCTTTGAAGCTATTTTTTAGTTGCTAGACTGTGAACAAGGACGGCAGCGCATTATAATGCACGAATTTGCGGCAATCTTCGGCCATTTGACGCAAGACCAGCATTTGTCAACGTAAGTTGCAGCTTTGCGGAGATTTCTTATTTTTTAGGAGCTGCGTCCGAATCCTACGTCAAGCCGCCTGCGGTTGCGTGGCCGTATGGCCGGTGCTCTCCTCGACGCTGATTCAAAAGACCGAACGCGAGGAGCTGGCCGTCACTCCACTCGAGGTTAATTTGCTTGTACGCCTTGATATCGCGTTTAGGACCTTTCGAAGGAAGACTACGTCGCTCAGCATTTGCACATTTTCAACGAGGCGCTCGAAGAAGCCCATTTTGACGTGAGTTTGTGGCTTCTCGTGGTCTCAACGCCAGGTTTAGGTCAAGACGTACCTCGAAATATTCACGATCACGGACTTGGCCTGCTGTCACTGTGTCGTTGCCCTCGCAAGAGACAGCAAGAAGTTCAACAGGATCATTAGCCGCGTGCAGAAAACAGTGGTCAGTGTCAAAAACTCTTCGGTCAAACTCAAGTTTCTTTTAGCGTAATCAAGAATCGATCGAGGGCGCCGAGTTGAAGCTGCGCCTGTTGTCCATCGAGGGCCATATCGAGCATACGCGAGCTGAGGAAACGGCTTCAACGGCGCGCGCCGAGCCCGACGACGCGCCTAGTGATATCGGCCTGGACACTTATGCGGACGATGTGTCGGATTTGGAATTTAGCGATTGATTTCTCTTTGTTTGTTTCTTCATTTGCGGTTAGTTGGATCTCATGTGCCTTGTAATTTATCTGGTCTTTTCCAATTTGGTTTGTTGCTTGGAAAGATTGTAATGACGGTGATAAACTTTTAATCTCTGATTTTGAATTAAATGCCTGCATAAACAAGCGTCGTCCGGAAATCACATTTCGGAGAGCCCGAATCGCAAGGATATAGCACCTAGCTCGCTTCTCAACGATATGGTTCGCTCATTCGGCTCGGCCCTCGTGCTCGCCCTGTTCACTCATCTCTTGCTCGCCGATGGGTCGGTTTTTCTTGACTAATGTTCTGCTCGCCTTATATATTGATTCAACGAGGATTTACAGGGTTGGCGATTCGGCGTTCCAGGCCCGAGTGAGACGCCAGGAAGAACCCACAGCTTCGCCTGACCCTCCGTCCGCTCCCCCAAGCGAGCCCCCGACCGCTCCCCCGACCGAGCCGCCGGCCCCGACCACGGTATTAATTCATAGCATTTCCCTCCTAAAAGTAACTATTTATAAGACCTAGAAAACTTGCTATGCTCAAAGCCTGGCCTAAAAACGGTCATTTGCATCGAAAAATAGCTTTGTATTTTTTATGTGCCGGTTTCAGTGTGAATATCCGTTCGTATGCTACACCCAGGAATGGATGATAACGCAGGGCATGAAAGTTCCGGTCCCGGATCCCGAGCTCTGCAAAAAGTCCACTGAAGGATGGTAATCCGTATCGAACCTTTTCTACAACCATTTTTACAGCCAAGCACCTGCCTGCGAACTTGGGCATGTCTTTGCCGACAAGTCTGGGGCCAAGAACTGGATAGCCGAATGCGATCCGACCGCGCTGTTTTGCGTATGTCCATTTTGAGGTGTTTAGCGTTAGAAACTTTCTGGCGGGGGGGGACTTTGATCACTCATTCCTACCTGCCTTGAAGTATACAAACAGGTTTTGAAAAGTTATAAAGTTTAAAAATTACTGCAAATTGCTGGCTGCAACTTTTTCTAAACCTATAAAAAGGATAAAAACGCAGATTTTTCGTAATTAGGTATCATGGAACATAAAACAGAATGATTTTAGACCCCCTCACTAAATTTTGGTCCCCAAATACCGATCCAGCACGGAAACGTACCTGCCCATTCATTTCGAGAAGCCTTGTTTCAGAAACCAGACTCGACCGAGGCTGGGTGTATCAAACCGACCCCCGTGCAATCGCTGATCGACTTGGAACTGGTCGTGCAGAAGGAAGGCGATGAAAAAGACAAGAATTGGGAATATATCCTATTCCCGTTCAACTTTTGCACGCGACAAATGATTATTGCTGGCAGTTGCCCAGCTGACAGGTATTCTTTTTACGCCTCACTATATCTGTTTCAGGTTCGAAAAGTTCAACCCGGCCCAGCTGACCCTATCTCCGAAATACGTGCCCATGTGCGACGCCGGATATGTGATGCCAAAGTGAGTGCTTTTGAATGTTCGGAAATTACCGAAAGATCAAAACTTTACAGATTTTTAATCGATTTCTCGACCAAAATATCAACGAGAAAATTTCTATTTTTATGCTGAAAGGAAAGAAATTCTAGTAAGAAATATAGCGATATGTTACCCAAAAAGATATTAAAATACTTAAGATTAAGTTGCTAGGGATTTCTAGACTGACAGGAAATCCCCGCCGATAAATCCCCCTCCGATGTTCTGAAAGCAGCCGTCGATTTTTCAGAAGCCTCCGCACCGGCGCCAAGTCTACCTGGTCGTGCCTTTTCAACATCCATCAGGCGGCCGGGATGCTGCCCGAGGCATTGGAGGTGGCCGGCGAAGGAGAAGATTGGGATGTTCTACGTCCGGGGGGCCTTTGCCCCGACCATCATCAACATCAGCACCACGGAAGAAAGCCATGCCCCCTGGCCCCGATCTGCTCTGATGTGTGGGTGTCCTTCACCGGCTGTTCTGGGGCATTAAATTACTACGCGGAAGGTTCAATATACCCAACTCCACTAAATTCCAAACAAACTTTTTTACGGCATAAAAAGCCCTTTTTAGCGAAAGATCGGCAGATCCAGCATAAAAAAAATGCGTATCCAGGCCTCGACGAAACGAAACACCCCTTTTTCTAGCGAAAGCGGACGGTATCTCCCTGCTATCCTCGCCGAACTGGGCATGAAGTTTGAGAAGCCGACGTATTGCAACGAGCTATGCTACTACAAAGGGCGAGGCCGAAGTGAAGCGGGGATCAAGGATGACCGTGAAGACTGCATCTGGCCGGGCGTCATCATCGACAAGGCACCTGTGTACATCGGCTCGTTCCCCTACAGCTTTGTAAGTTTTGCTTTGGCCTTGGCTAATCAATGAAGTGCTTTAGTCTGGCCCGTTCGCCGACTGGCTGGACGATAAGGACTTTTCGGCGATGACTTTGGCCGAGGCAGCCGACCGCCCGGCGCCCACCGACACGAGTAACCTCAAGTACCCGCGCTGCTACAATATCACCAAGCGGCCGGATATCATGGTGGCGAATTTATTAAATCATTAGTAAAATTTATCCATACTTTAAGCGACAAAGCCATCTAAGCGACCTTTCATAAAAAAAATGAAAAATGGAATTATCCTCGAAAATTGATGGGCTACTGTTTACTTTACCCCCCCCCCCCCCCCCAGCCGGAAGTTTTTGGCTATAACTTTTTTTATTTTACATTAATGTAGGCTCAAATTAAAGCTCTTAGTATATTTTCCGACGCTCTATCGAATGGCGTTGCAAAAATCCCGACAAAATAAGCGAAAATACCGAAAACTTTGAGACCCTTCGGCTGTGGGGGGGGGGGGGTAAAGTAAACTCTTACCCGCTTCTTTCTGTAGCTAAAACTAGTGTTCTAGGAACAGCGCAAGAAATACATCGAAAGTGACCCCTGGCTGAACTGCCGCACCCACCCATTCGGCACGCACAAGGCCGCCGAGCTGCCAATCCCCCCCATGCACCGGCTCGCCCAGCGAGCTTGAGGAGCAAAAGGTGTGCGCTGGAGTGTTCCCCGACGCGGCTCTGGAGGAAGAGCAACCCTCGCTTGGTGTCATTTTTGGTCAGTGACCTCTTGTGGTAGATCAACATCGTTTCCCATTTTAGGAATCTTTGGCGGAGTGACCGTGCTTCTGTTCGTCATCGGATTGTTCGTCGTCATCAGCTGCAACAAGTAGGGGGAGTGAGAAACTGTCCTGAAAAAAAACTGCTTTTCAGGTCGTCCGGCGGTGACATTAGTGGCGAGAAAGGCAAGGGCAAGAAGAAGAAGTCGGGCGGCGGAGGCGGCGAATCGAAGGAGGCCAGGTCGACGGCCCAGAACGACGAGGAGAAGAAGGAGGGCGAGGAGGAGAAGCCCGCCGAATCTGTGCAAGCCAAGACTGATTTGGTGGGCGATTTTGGAGCTCGGGTTTCGATTTCGTTGCTAGAATCCTTTTCGACCTAAAACAGCCGAAATTTCGATTTTTCATACATTTTCCATAACATTAAACTTTGTTTAAAATTTGTAATTCTTTCAAAAAAAAACAATAAAAAATCACTTTAAATTCCGTTACTAAACGAACGCGGACCCATAATAAAAATACTAGGTTTTTCAACCTATATCACTGAAATTCGACGTTGTTAGACAATTTTCCACATTAAAAAGTTCTATTTTAGATGCGATTAAATTTCACCAAAATCACTATGAAAAAATTGTTTTTGTTATTGTTATGCAAATTTTATGATTTGTCTTGTTCAGGACTCGGTCCAAGCGTAGAAGCTCACCGCAACAACGGCCACACACTGGTACCCGCCACGAGTCAGCCGCGTGCACCCGTCCCCTGACTTCCGGCAGCTCTACTCGACGTGTGCACGATACCCACTCATTCCATCCCTCCCCCCAACACCCCGCTCCATGATCCCACCATTTTGTATCCCTCTCTCTCTCACTCCCTCTCATTTCTCTTCGGAACAATAGAAACATTCTTTTGTGCTGTGTATGGGAGATAAATGGGATGCCACACACATTTGCATTTTTAGTACTTGCAATATCGGGGGGTGGACAAACTGTTCGGTAGTATCCAATTTTCCTCATATAGAATTCTTTCGGCAGTTTTTTTGCTGTACCTAGCTCAAAACGTTACAAACTTTGATTAAGTAAATAAAGAATAACGAGTTTTCGACCAAAATCCCGATTTTCAAGCATTTTTGTAATTTTTCTAAAAAGTTTTGGATTTGAAATTTAGCTGCATTTTTCTAAAACCGTGTTTTTTACATAATGTATTCCTTTATTTAATACGTTTCACATTCTATATTTGCAAACAATAATAGTACACGATCAAGTTGAAGGGCGCGCTGGGGGCGTGTTCACCGGGACGGAACGACAGAGATTCGGGGTTGAGACTGGGATAATACTGAATTCGAGTTCTTTTTGGGGGCCTTTTATGTTCACGGGGCTAGGCAACGGGTACACCGATCGTTTCCTCGACGCCCGAGCTGACGCCGGATGACGTGGACGAGATGCTGGCGAATAGCGAGGTCGAGTTGCCGTTACCGTCGAGCATCTGAAACGTCTTGTAAGGAAGAAGCCTATTTCTATGAGGTTTTTCACTGGAAAATCCTCAAATTGTTTATAAATTCATAAATCGATATTTGAAATTGAAAAACAATTGCCGTTGAAAATTAAATTCATAGTTTTTACCTGTAATTCTAACATGATTAGCAAATTTTTTCACTCGGTTAAAAATTACATTAATTGAGACGTAATTAGATAGGAAATAAGATGCGCTACAATAGGTTGTAAATTGATAAATTTATCTTCGAAATTAGCTAAAAAAAGTTGAATTCAAATAGTTTCGGTTAACCGGCAGTTTTTTCGAGTTAAATTGATTAAAAATTAAAAAAAACGCTAATTCAAATTATCTTTTGTCTATTCCTACCGTTTGCAGCGCTTCGGGAACCGTGGAAGATCGGATCGGCTGATCCCGAAGGCCCTGAAAAAGCGTTGTTGTTACGTTAATTAAAATACGTTTAATACGCTTGTTTAATATTACTAATTAACTCCCAACAATCTATTTCGTCAATGTGCTAAAATCCCACCTCTTCATCAATCTCCGACAACCGCTCACCCAGCGGCGACACGAGGCTGTTCACTAAAATGCGCTCTTTTACCACGACCAAGCCAAATCCAACTCTCTTGCTCAAAAATAAATAACGAATCAAAAGTAACGTCCTCGCCAAAAAACTCGACTATCCGACCGAACGAACGCAAACGATCAAATCAATCAAACAACCCAAAAAATATAATGAAACTCCGAACGGGGGTTATGGCCGAGCAGCACGACAACGCGCGGCAAAATTAACACATCAACTCGGGGGTTTCGGGGGGCACTCTCATGCTTATCGGGGTGTACTGTACTACTAGAGGGTACGGTAGTGGGGCGGAATTTAAGGTGACGTGACGACGCACGGCTTCGATACAGAACAAAACACGTTTTTCGGGGGGGGGGGGTTTGGGAGCACGAGAACGCTGACGATTCTGGGGAGGACAAGGTTTGGGGGGAAACGGTGAATTGTTGCCGGGGTTGTTAGAAAGTTATTTTTGTTAATTTTGGAAGGGTTATCGTGGTACTGTTCTATTTTGAGGGGGACAAAAACCTAATGGTGCAGCTCTTTTTAGGTTCTTTTGCATTATCGGGGGCGGCAGTAATTTTCCCTGTAAGCCCAGAAATGTCTAGGAACATAATATCAAGTGTTTTAATCGTGTTATTAACAAAACTTTGCCATATTTAAACAGGAAAAACCATCTAAAAACTCAAAAGAATTTTAATTTGTGTCGAAAAATCGATATTTTTACGTTTTTTTACTAAATTTTGTACACTTTTTGCGTTTCGGAATGGTAAAAACCCGTTTAGACATGAACAAATCTATTTATATCAGATAACTCAATTATTATTGTACCAGCGCCCAAAACCCGCTTCGCGGGCCTTGGGCGCTGGAATACGATTTTTGCATGATAAATTTGACTTTCCGATCACTCGGGTCCTTCGGACCCCTCCCCTTTACCGACCACACGGGCGAGTGCAACCGGCAAGAATGAGGAAATTCGTATTATTCGCATTATGCAAATTAGCCTTCAGGGACCCCCAAAAATGAATAAAACCGGCTTTAACTTTGTAAAATTGTATTTTATTGAAATTCTGTGAACGCAATCGGAAACAGAAGGGTCGATTCCCCCGTGTGAAACAGAATTAGGGCATTTTATGCACGGGAAGGCCTTCAAATCGGGCCTCGAAAGTGACATCCACACACACACACACACATACGCGCCAAAATTATATAAGGTAGGATAAAGATGCACATTTTAGATATTTTAAGTTTCTGTTGATTTTCCTTCACACTGAAATGAAATGAAAACTAAGCAAAACGAAAACTGAGAGCTTCGGCTTCTTAGAAGACAATTTGGTCATATTTTTACCTTTTCTCCCCGCATATTAGAAAAGTACCGTTATTGTTCCAAACTTTGTAAAAAAACTGTAGTTTGGCGTATTCTCAAGTCTGTACTTTCCCTAAACCCCGGCAACAATTCGCGGTGGCTACACACGCCGATTGGACGGCCGGGGGGAAACCTACACTTTTTCGTTTTCAGATTTAGGAAGGTGGGTCGCGCTGAAAACATTAGGGATGCCGGTTAGTGGAAATGAATGAATGATGAGTGAGGATGGCCGGTTAGGGAGGCCCGCCGAGCGGCGAGCAGGAGCCAGAATTTAGCTTGGCCAGGCTTCCGAATCAATACAAATTACAGATTTTTGTAATTTGCGTTTGTCAGAATTTAGCCTGGTCAAAATTACCGAACGGATACAAACTACCACCCTCATGTAGTTTGTATTTGCCGGGCCAAAATTCCGTACCAATACAATCTACATACAATAGATCCTGTGGTCTGTATTGGTCAGAATCTAACACGGTCGAATTCCGAACCACAACAAATTACAGATTTTTTGTAATTTCCGTTTGTCAGAATTTAGCCCGGTCAAGATTCCGAAGGAAAACAAACTACAGACCTGTTGTAGTTTGTAACTGCCTGGCCAAAATTCCGTACCAATACAACAATACACCTTGTCGTTTGTATTTTCCAGAATAGCTTCAGGTAGAGATTCCGAACCAATACAAGCGACAGAGCTACCGTAATTTGTATTTAATCGGAATTTTCTCCGGCTTAACCCTGGCTCCTGCGCCCGATCGACTCGAACAAAGGATCTGATCCCAGCCAAAGCTTCTTCCCAATATTAATTATTAGATCCATCAAGTTAAGCCAGGCCATACCTAGCCGTCTCGCCTCCTCGTCCCGCTGACTCGTTGGTGTACTTGCCATCTGAGCCTGAGATAGTCTCGGTAACACTAAAAGTTGATGCTCACCACAGCATTGGCAATGGTGTTCGGCAAACTGACGGCGCGCTTCATTCGAAACTGCCCGACGCCGAGGTGCTGCATCCGGTTTTGCCGCTCCTTCCTGAAGTAATGGATCAGAGCCATTTTTCTCGAGATTCACTGACTTTGAGAGCATATTTGTGATCGCCACTTCTTGCCGCAGCCGGTCGAGCTTCATCATCGATTCCACTTCTTGGATGCTCTTGGTGTAGGCGGTGATGTAGGAGAGCTGTCGATCACCGTCGCCCTCGCCCTAAAGTTGTGTTTCAGTAGAGTAGCCCGCCGGAGCATGAGGGTTCTTAGGCCGAATTGAATACGTATAATCTTCCTTATCCAAAAAATGAGATTGATCTTTTTAAAGACCCGGAGTACTTTCGCATTATACTTTCCTTGAAAATCCAATTTTTCTAATATAAATCGAGGGCTGCGTTTCAAGCGCTTTTGTGAATATTTTTAAACGTAAACACTTTCCCCGCCCGCCCCCCCCCCCGATAGTGCAAAAGAACCGGCATCGGAATTGGCATTGAAATGGTTTTTATTTCCGCATATTAAAATTACGGCGTAACGACTTACTGTGCATTGAAATCGGTATGATTTAGGGATAATGCCCTACTCGGAGACGCTTGAAATCTTCCGATTCACGAACCTGCGAGTCCTCGCTTCCGCTTCTCGCCGCCATCGAGGCCAATGTAGATCGGTCCTCGACGTCGTGCGAAGAATTCGGAACATGGGCGACCACATCGTACCAAACACTCGTCGAGCTCGCCGTTTCCTGCACGAAAAACTGCGATGAATAATGGGCTGCGATCGATTGCTCGATCGATATTTTTCAGGTCAAAAACGTCAGAAAAAAGCCTACCGCGCCGGCGATTTTCTTGAAAATGCGCTCTGTAATCGACGGCTTCTTATACACGGCCAGGCATATCCGTTTTCGCAGCACGATGCACATTGGTTTTGGGTGGGATAGGCGGACGATCGCCTGGAAATCAAAGGTAATTTTTTTAGAAATTTTTCCGATCTTTTACATTAACGGGGGCTTTCGGTAATGAAAACCAACTTTTTTATATAGCATCCAACATCTTTCTAATATAGAGAGGAGCTATTTTAAACTGTTTTTTACTTTTTACATGCACCTTACAAAAGTTTAAAAAAATACAAAGAAAAGGCTTTTTGACCAAAAACATCGGATGTCAACAAAAATTTCGCACATCCCAAATGTTCTCAATTTTTTTTAATAGTTTTTCCACTTGAAATTAGCCAAATTTTCATAAAAACACTATTGATAAACTAAAATACTACCCGTTGCGTTAATAGGAATTTTAAGACGGCTCTCCCGATTCTGCG